TCTAATTCTAATTCTAATTATTATTTTAGTAGACTTATATTTTAATAATATTATATAAAAAAAGCACGCGAGCGTAATTACGAAGAAGTTTAAAGTTTTACTTATTACGCGAATTATTATATATATAAATAAAGATAAAAGCTTAAATTAAAAGAAAATAGATAATATCGAAATTAAATAAGATATAAGTATTAAGAATAATTCTATTATACGCGCTAATAATTAAATAGATTTTATTTTTTAAACTACTTAAAAGCGTAATATAGAATTTAATAATAAGCGCTATTATAGCTTAAATATAATAGTATTAACGCGCTAATTAATAAGTATTAAGCTATTATAAAAATCTTAAAATATTAAATATAATTATATCTAGAAGATAAAATTATAAATCTTTATTTATATATAATTAATCTAATATATAATAATAAAAAGTTTACTATAAAAGCTACGCTATTTAAATTAATATTTTAATCTTAATTATTATTATCGCTATTATACGAGTAATATAAAGCTATCTCTTATTTAAATATATTTAATTCTTAATTTTAATTATTATTATAGATATTATTAATTTATTCTAGAATTATTAAATATATTTTTATATACTTTTTATATCTAATCTTTTTTTTATATATCGCGAGAAGATAGCTTAAAGAAATATAGCTTATTATATTAAGCTATAATACTTTTAAGAGAATACTAAGAAATATATTAACTTTTCTAAATTAACGATTTAATAAAAAGACTATAATTATAATATATATAATTTTATATTAGATAGTAATATCGAAAATATATAATAAGCGTATAAAATTATCGTCGATAACTTTAATTATAAAGTATCGACGAATTTCACGCGACTAATATTAGAGAAAGATAAGCTTTTCTTATTACTAGTAGATATAGCTCGCTTTCTTTTATATATATAAAGTAATAAAATATAATTATATTTAATTTTATATTTTATTAATTTAACGTAATTATTAATTAGAATAATAATTAGAATAATTATTTCTAAATATAGAAATTCTAATCGAGATATTTTATATATATATTATTAGTATATATAATAGAATAAGATAGAGCTAAACTAGAAAATCTTGAATTTATATATATAGTTAATTATAAATTCGAGGTTATTACGCCTTTTAGCTAGACTAACTAAGTTAGCTCGCTAGCCCTCTTAAGCTCTTTTATTAAAAATTTATATATAGAAGTTTTATACTCTAAAATAATCAGCTCTCTATAAATACTATTTCTTTATAATTTCGTAAATTATAAAGCTTAGTATACGCTTTCTAACGCTGTAAAAATAATAAAGTTTAATCTACTATTGATGAATTAAATAGATATTTAAATATGATAATTATATTAAACGCGTTCGAGATCGAATAATAATTCTTTCACCTATTTATATAACTATTATTCTTCTATCACTCTATTAATTTTATTAATTCCACCAATATAAATATAATCGTCCTCGATATCTCTCGCGGAAACATTACTAAACGCTTTAGGCATATACACCTCTTTTACCCGCCTCTTAGAGCCCTTACTAACGCGAATCCGCTATTATTAGCAATCGAGGCCGTAAGCGAGCCTAACAGCTATCTACTATTGCTTATAAACGCGTTAGAAAGCCCTCAAAAAGAGCCCGAACGGATTTACAATTATCGTTCTCCTCTATATACTCCTCGACTAGCCGCTTAGTTAACACTATCTACTCTATCAGCTCAATAATCCACTCAATTAGATCGTCAGCCAGTCACTTAGTCATCTACTCAGTTAGCTACTCAGCTAATTACTTAGTCTAATACTCTATAAGAGAAGAAGTAAGAGAAGAAACTACAACAGGCAAATACGGAGAACACTGCGGAGAACATTGCGGAGACAGTCATCAGCAGCAGTGACACAACAGGCCTACTCTCCACGGTCTCACACTAATCCACTCAGCCAGGGCAAGAGAAGTCACGACAGCAGGCGAATGCGGAGAACACTGCGGAGAACACTGCGGAGATAGTCATCAGCAGCAGTGACACAACAGGCCTACTCTCCACGGTCTCACACCAATCCACTCAGCCAGGGCAAGAGAAGTCACGACAGCAGGCGAATGCGGAGAACACTGCGGAGAACACTGCGGAGATAGTCATCAGCAGCAGTGACACAACAGGCCTACTCTCCACGGTCTCACACCAATCCACTCAGCCAGGGCAAGAGAAGTCACGACAGCAGGCGAATGCGGAGAACACTGCGGAGAACACTGCGGAGATAGTCATCAGCAGCAGTGACACAATAGGCCTACTCTCCACGGTCTCACACCAATCCACTTAGCCAGGGTAAGAGAAGTCACGATAGCAGGCGAATGCGGAGAACACTGCGGAGAAACCAAGCGGCAATAAGGCCCCCAGCACCAAGAACACGGCTCAGCTCTCCAAGATCCCACGTTATATGCTCTCCACGGTTCCACATCAAATCATCACTCAGCAAGCGGAGAACACCACTGCAACTTGGCCTGTCATCCCCACTGCATTAATATGGTACATCACTACAATAACGTCACAAGAGGAGGATCTACTGCGACGATCATAGTCAATTAAGCCTCTGTAGGAGGAACATCGCAAGAGGAGGAACTACAACAGGCAAATGCGGAGAACACTGCGGAGAACACTATGGAGAACACTGCGGAGAAACCAAGCGGCAACAAGGCCCCCAGCACCAAGAACACGGCTCAGCTCTCCAAGATCCCACGTCATATGCTCTCCACGGTTCCACATCAAATCATCACTCAGCAAGCGGAGAACACCACTGCAACTTGGCCTGTCATCCCCACTGCATTAATATAGTACATCACTACAATAACTTAGGCCTCTGCAGGAGGAATATCGAACGATGCATATTTAGACGAATTGAAATCGTCCGATGTCTACAGCTATTTCATTATTCGAAAGATTTCACTGCGGTAGGAGATATTATAGGATTCACACCACTAATTAACACGTTATCTCCATTTCTTTCCGGTATTTCGCTCACAAGAGGAGGATCTACTGCGACGATCATAGTCAATTAAGCCTCTGTAGGAGGGACATCGGACGATGTATCTTTGAACGAATTAAAACCGTTCGATGTCTACAGCTATTTCATTATTCGAAAGATTTCACTACGATAGGAGATATTATGGGATTCACACCACTAATTAGCACGTTATCTCCATTTCTTTCCAGTATTTCGATACTTCTTGCCATAAGAACATGGCCTTTCTCTATTTTTTATAGGCAATTATTATAAATCAATCTTTCACACTTAATATACCTTTCTAATTAGGCCTTAGCGCGCCTCTCTCCGCACATATATATCTATATATCACATAGATTAAATTAATTTTATAGTAATGAAAGTAGATTAAAAACGCATAGCAAGCGATTAGAGTTCGATTTAACTTAGGGCTAGGGCTAAAATTCCATTTAACTTAGAAAAATCCAATTTCATTTGACTTAGAAAAATGAAAAATCCAACTCTATGAATTTAATTTATAGGCCTTTACTTATATTATAATATAATTTTATAAATATATTATATCGTAATATATATCGCTAAGATTCTATATTATATTAGATATAAGATTCTATAAATCTTAATAACTTATATTATATTAGAGTATAATATAATAGATTAATATTCTATATTATATTATATCTTTTCGACTAGTAATCTTATAGAAGTAGAAAAAAAAGTCGAAAAATAAATTATATATTAGAGGCTATTAAAGTTACTTCTACTTATAAAATAAGTTACTTATTTATCTCTTCAGCTCTATATTAGCCCTATAATAAGTAGAAAAAAAACGACTTCTAAGTTACTTCTCTAAAGGAGCAATAATACTTTATAAGCTACTTATTTCGTATTCTATTATACGCTCTAGAGTAGCTTTCTATATATATAATACGCTATTATAGTTAAGTCTAATTCTATAGACGTTATAATTAGAAAGAAGTTTAAACGCGCTTTAATAGACGTCTATATTAGCTATCTACTTATTAAGAAGATAACTAAGACTTTAAATAGTAGCGATTTCAGCTCGTCTAATTTAGAGACGGATTTCGTAATATAGATAGAAGTTATAATAACTACGCTGAGGTATTATTATCGTTATAATAACTTTAAAAGATATTTTATATAGTTATAAACCACTATTAGAAGGCGTTCTTCGATCGTTTCTATTCGCTAAGACTCTATATCGAATATAGTTAATATAATATTATTACTATAAGACTATTTAAGAAGAAGAAGAAATAGTTATTATTTATAAGTCGAAATAGATAAGATGCTTTCAAAGAACTAGTAGCTTATTATATTTCTACTTATTATAAGTAGAAGTAACTTTGATAGCCTCTAGTTATACTCCGAGGAATAGCAAGTCGCTAATTCATATTCTAAGATTTGATAAAGGGGTATGAAAATGTAATTTACCCGGAAGAGCCGATTCGTTTCAGTCGATAGCCACGACGATATGCGTAAATGAAAAGAAAGAGAGCCTTCTCCTGTTGCGAATCGAGCTTCATCTCTATACACGACTTCTGCTAAATTCTGTCGTAGCAGTTAAGCGATTATGAAAGGAGGGGGACTGGATCGCAGCTACCGATATCACAACACTCATTTAGCACCATCATTGTTAAGGAAATATCCTAAGTGGAATCATATGCATGAATAATGTGTGTGTGGTGTGATAATTGATCTACAAGAGGCCTGCAGTAGAAGAAGTCTCTGCAGTGCCGCAGTGCCAAGGCACTAAGCCCAATCCGGACGCCTAGTGGAGGAATCCGTAACAAATGCCACCGAAGAAGAAAAATGACAGCGTCCTCGCTGTAGACATAGAGATGCCAGAGATACATCAGGTGCCATAGGCCTGCTTCTCCCGATTCTTCTCTGAAATTCCCATGCCCAAATGCTGAATCCCTAACCGGCTACATAGAGCATGCGCCATTCACATATCCATGCACCTATCCTTGGCCTGTAGCCTCCATATCCTTCGCATATCGAATATAGCCGAGTGGGGAGGCGAGTTGAGAGGCGAGTTGAGAGGCGAGAAGAGAGGCGAGAAAAGAGGCGAGAAAAGAGGCGAGAAGAGAGGCGAGAAGAGAGGCGAGAAGTGGAGCGTTACCGAGGCGAATGGTAAACTCTCCGCAATAGTGCATAGTAGCCTGGTGTGGAATGATGGAGAGTGTGCCGGCTTGAATAGGACTGCTGCTGCCCGTGCTCTTGTTCTCCGTAGTCTTCTCCGTAGATTTCTCCGCAGTTTTCTCCGCAGTTTTCTCCACAATTGACTGTTGCCATGGCCTATGCTGAGGAGCGGTAACTTGGTACTCAGCAGGGCGGAATTTGGCTTCAATAGCTGTCAGTCTGGTCTCGAAAGCTGTTAGTCTGGTCTCGAAGGCTGGCATAGCCTGACTGATTGCGTCATCGATTGCGGCAGTGATCATGGCTTGTAGGGAGGCTGTTTGCTCTGCTGTAAAACCTGGCATAGGGTAGCTAATGTTCGCCATGGTGGTAGGACGAATGGCCTAGTGAAAGGATCGCTGTAGACGAGTGTATGTAGGGTCCGGTTAGGTGCTGGACAAGGCGAGGTGGGCGTCTAAGAGACTCTGGAGATGCTGCACTCGGTGGGAGTAGTGTTCTCTGTAGATTTCTCTGATAGTGAGTGTTGTAGGGTCCGTGTAGGTGCTGGACGAAGGCGAGGTGGGCGAATGTAACGAGGACAGCTAGTGCTAGGCCTGAATCGACCGAGGTGTTGCTACCATTGTTAAGGACGATCTTTAACGAGTGGAGGGTGTTGAAGGCTAGGGTGAGAGAATAATATCGTGCCATCGTGGATTTGCGAAATCCTAGGCTCGATATGATGGAGGTGGTAGTGGAAAGAACGGATCCGACATATCCAGTGTCCAATATACAGCTCGACAAGGTCTCTGAGGTGGCCTTGAACAAAGAATCCCTGTTTCATCAATCCTCTGGTGGCATGAATTCATGTTTATGAGTGCGTGCGGCTACAGCTGTGAGCTTATGCGTCCTTTTTGCTCGACGTCCTCCGAAGTGGTCTGCTAGGCTCTAGAATCCCACTTCTGGAGATTAGGGCCATTGCAAAGCCTTTCAAAGTAAGATTAGAGACCAGCTCTACTAGTCATACTTGCACAATTGTCGCGCACATAGCAGCTCCTCATACTCGGGCAAGGGAGCAGGAGCCTGCAAAGTGAAGAGTATAATCAATCCACTGATGCTGGAGATCGACAAGTAGCCAAGAGAGGAGTAGCCAGACTCTGCTAGCCAAGCGGACTACGCGAGTTGTAGAAGCTCGGCAGGACCTTCTCCCCTAGTGCGCATCTTATGAGTAGAACGAGCTGAGGGGCGCCGTTCTCTTTGCGAGGCTTTTGTGACCCTTGCGTTTCCTTTGACAGCGGGAGTCTTCTTTTGCTCTGGCGATTTCTTGGCCGGCTTTGCCTTGGCGGGTGGGCGGCCTCTCGGACGCTTGGAGGGCAACTCGTCTTCATCCTTTGTGGCCGGCTTCGTATTGGCGGCCGGGCGGCCTCGGGGACGCTTAGAGGCTAAAGAAGTCTCATCTTTCGCGGCTGGGTTTGCTTTGGCGGCCGGGCGGCCTCTCGGACGCCTGGAGTGCGCTGAGTGACGGTCTTCCCTAGCTGTCTCCTGTTGAGCGCCTGATGCAGTTACAGCTGCCTCGTTTCGAGTTGGCCTGCCGCTTGCGCGAGCTGTCACTCCCACTTCTCGCACCTGATCTCCAAATCCCGGTTGCCGAGCATGAACCTTGTCAGCCAAAGACTTTCGAGTACTCTTATTGACTTTGGGCGGTACCGTAGTCGATTTTTTGACTCTGCGACTAGGATTAACGTCTGGTGTCTGCTGACGTCTTCTCGGCTTGGTAGCAGCTTCGGCAGGCGGTAGAGCTTTTGCAACAGGTGGCTCTGGGGGTGTTAATTCAGGATTTGGCCCTGGTCCGGCCCAGACGTCTGAATTGTTCTCATCGTATGTTGTGACAGGCGGCGGTATGAGAGGATTTGCCCAGGTTATTGCAATGAAGTCATCATATCTGCTAACCTCTGGGTCATTTTGTTCCCAAAAGTCATACATCCACATGCCAGCTGGTTTGATACCCCAAAATCTGCGTCGCTCGTAGTCAGTTGTGTAGACTCGTATTTCTTCGTCAGCCAAATCTCCCCCAATATGCTTCCAGCCTTCGTTGATAAACATAGGCATAGCCCGACCAAAATGAAAATTAATCCTTTTGCGCTCCCTCTCAGCCATCTCCGCTTCGGCGGCTTTTTGGCGGTTTTCGGGCGTGTTCATTTCGACTTCCTTGCGGGCTCTTTCGGCGTCCCTCTCTGCATTCATTGCGTCCACTAGCCTCTGCATATCTGGATCCCTTGGGACCAGGCGTGTTGAACCTTCATTTTGGGCCCTGCTAGGGAAGCCTTCAACGAAACCATAACTGACCCTACTGGGCGGGCTACCAACAAAATCCGTAAAGATGTCTCTGCTCATTTTTTCGCTCTCGAGTTGAACAATTGGTCTCTGAATCGCTGGCTTTACTGACCGAGGGTTACGTGATATACAGTGTGGCCACTAATTTCAGATTGGAGTCAGGTGTACGTGCTGGTGAGGCGACAATGTGCAACGTCCAACAACTGGCAGACCTTGGATTTGGACCAGTTCAATGATGATATCTTGATGAAACTTTGTGAATGGGACTTGGAAGAATTAATGACTCTTTGGTGGTGAGACTTTGCGGCATTTATCTCCGCAAGTTGTTGCAATGCAAAGAGGGGCTGAGAAGAGGGGCTGAGATTCGGGGCTCGTCTCATGCACAAGAGTTGGCAGGACGATCCGCTGCTATGAAGAGAGCCTACGTTATTTCCAGCCAGTGTTTCACTTACTCTGGGGTTATACCGGTTTGTTGGATGTTAAGGCTTCACATAGTCGCCCGAGCTTGCCAAGCGGCAGCGTTTCACTTAGCGCCCACGCTACTTTTAAATCCACCACGACCAACCATGTTGCCGCCTGCCTCGGAACTTGTCTTTCTGCGATTGAAATGATTCGTCATCCCTTCCGGGTGTTAATTTTGCAGTTTTTGGTTGGTACGTAGATATCTGCAGGAGTCTTCGTATGTCGATTAGCTATTCTTGCTCATTTGACCCCACTCATCAAACTCCTGACACCGCGAGCTGGGAATCCATGATAACCGAGCGCTGCTCCCTAGACTTTTTGCTCTACGCACTCCATGCTGCTTCCGATCATGCATAACAGCGTTAGAATTGAGACTTTTTCTTGTGGATCAGATACTGCAAACGATGTCTCTGCACGAGCTCAGGCTTACACCAGCGTACCAAGTGGTATCTACCTTTGCTTTACTTCTGCATGAGCGAGATCAAATCAAGACATCTGCTATCATGGCTCGAGATCTGCGAGCTGGATCTCCCATAACCGCAGCGTTAAGAATAGCTCTCCAAGTGTTTGATACATTGCTTCATGTTTTCGAAACATCTCGTGCTGGGTGCTCGTCAACCTCTCATTTCTTAACGCGGATCATGCCCAATACGGGATAGCGGCGCTGTGCTCCATCTTCTTGTATCTATTTGACTGCCTTCTGCCACAGCCAGAATTCTATCCGTCTAAACATTCCACCTTGCTTGCCTCGACCCCTCACCCAGCACCGCAACAGATTTCAACGACCACGATCCTTCGTTCTTCCTTTTCAATCTTTCCAGCTTGGAGGCCCGTGGGTCTCAGGCAATTGACCGTTGGGTATTCCCCCAGCAACAATGAGTGACAACAAGCAGGGTGGCGTGTTATCAGTGCCAGATCAGGCGTCCGAGCCAATCGTAGCATTCTACCTTACCCAAGAGACAGATCTACCCGTCAAATTTCAAGGCGAATACCAGGTAGTGACAATCAAGATCCCTGGTTCGTCAGGACAGCCTGTACAAAAGCCAGCATTGAGGGTCACCTTCGCCCACGATCAATCTATCGAAGAGCTGGTAGGACTGGTTGGGTTTGGATCCGATCCTCGATGCCACCTCTTACTCCCGGCAGACGTTGTCGACCCAGTGCATTGCAGGGTCTACGCTCAACTCAACTCTGGTCCCCAAGTTTGGCTAGTAGATGATAGTTCAACGCAGGGTACACAGGTCGAAGAAGATCAGGATCCACGCCACAAGTCAATCAAGACTGTCCATGGTCGTCGCCAGGCCGTACAAGGATTGCATGCTGTCAGGATCGGTCCCTATTTGTTCAAGATCCGAGCACCAGTCAGCAACACAGAAGTCCGACGACGCGAAGACTGGTTTCGCCTCAACAAACCCATTCCAGTCACAAGGAAAATGCTAGATCGACAGCTAGACGGCCTCGCGTACGACTGGCTTCGGATGGATCGTGTTGGAAGTGGAGCCTTCGGGAATGTGTACAGGTACATGGAAAGGAACACAGCATTATTCATTGCTATCAAAGAAGAGCGGACCAGGTCCAAAGAGCACAAAGCGATGGTTATGCAGGAGATAAAATTCATGAAAAGTTTGCGTCACGTAAGTTGCTGCCACGGACTGATGACGCTTGCTAATTCTGTGTAGCCCTTTCTCGTCGACATCCTATTCAGCCACTCCGACAACAAAGCGCTGCCAATGTTTTTAACCGCAATGCCTCTTTACTTCGGCAACTTGGGATCTATACTGCCACTGCCGAACATGTCTACGACGGAGCGAGTAATGCTCCAGATCGCTGAGGGTCTACGCTTCATGCATTCCAATCTGATCTTGCATAGAGATCTGAAACCAGCAAATGTCTTGGTCACTTCCCAAGAAAACATCAAGATCGCTGATTATGGTTGGGCGACCTCTCTGAATGACACTGTATCACTGTATGGTGTGTGTGGAACAGTATCATATTGCGCACCCGAGGCGTTCAGGCAATATGGATTGCATACACCAGCGTTGGACGTGTACTCGCTAGGAGCTGTGTTTTACTCAATGCTCGACCTAGACAAAGTCGAGAGGGGTTGGGAAGTGAGACCCTTCCGCGGAGAAAGACCACATGTTTAATACTACATTCGAAAATGCCTCTAGGAACCCTCCACATCAATTCGGGGGTCTCATTCAATGTATGCTGGCTCCAGATCCCGAAGGTCGATGTTCCTTGGATGAATGCATACAGATCGTCGAGGCGCAAGATTACGATTGGATCAAGCCGACACCTTTGATGCCAGTGGCAACACCGACACGTTTTGCCACCGGTACATTTGGCGTTCACGGGACAGCAAATGCCACAAGATTACAACAGACTCCTTTCGACCAAGCCAAAGCGACAGCCGACATGCCTAAGCTAACCCCATTTGCTCGGGTTAATAGGTCCGAAAACCGTCAAAGCCCGCAGCAAGCCCCAGGAAAACCTGGCTACAAGAATTGGCGGCCTATTGTGCAGAGAGAAGAACCAGCGGCACCGAATCCACAAGCGGTACGAACGCCAAAGCCTTGCAAGCCAACCCATGTTCAAGGCGTCAACTTCAACGCCGGCCTGCCTTCCTACGAAGACGCCACGCGTCAAAATCCGTTTGCAGTGAAGACAAGCAAGGGAGAGAAAGACAAGAAATCCGCTCATACTAGACTCGACGTTAGTGACAGAATCCTCGGCCATCGAACTAAAGAACCGCCTGTTCTACGAGCACCCTTGCCCGCAGTTGGCAAAGCCCCAAAGGGAGGAAGCCCGAGAGTGGAAGCTCTATCAGTCGTCAGAGCTGGCCCCCTAGCCAGCATTCGCGGACGGCAGCCGCAGAACCCTCGGCAACTCGTACGTCGTTCCCGCGAACACACCATGAACATCGACCGCGCCCAGAACGCTGGCGTCCGCAAAAGGCGGGAGCAGCTGGACCGGCAGGCAGAGAGGAATAGGCGAGTGGCTGACCTCAAGAGAGGCGCATGTGACGTTGCGAAAGGCTACTTCGTAATCTATCGTGCGCTCTTCGGCTTGGCGTTCGAGGGACTTGCCGTGGGCAGCGAACGCATCTATAAGATGTTCAACGACCAATCTGGCGCACGAAAAGCTTTGGAACATGCAATCCCCAACATGAATGCCAATGCGCAGCTCATGGCTAGCATGCAGAGGCAGTCCCTCAGAGCTGCGTCCAGCAACAGACTTACGGCTGGCGTCAAACAGCGCTCTTTTAGGGTCTACACGGATGAAGAAATGATGGATCATCAGCTCATGCTACCGCGAAGGCGATAGTCGGACGATGTATGAAAGACATGTACCTTTCATTTGATTCGCACGCACATTGTTTGAGTGAAGATGGAGGGAACACGTCAAGATTATGTATGCTCAACGAATGACAGTTGCTTCCGTTCTATGTTCATGCATAGTGTCTGGAGGATACGGTAGGAAATTTGGGTATGGTTGCGGACATTTTACTTAATAAGCGGCAGCAGCATTGCTTTCATTTCAATCACAGCGTCTGGGCGGAGGAGGAGTGGGATAGTCAAAGGGTATGGAAATCAAAACACTCATTCAGCAGTTGGGATAGAAAAACACTCATTTAGCAACACCATGACTAGATACAATCAAAGAATGTCATTCATTACTACCTGAGCATGCTAATCTTTCTCCAACCTCACGGCCGGATTACTTTCCACGAAGTTCAAGTCCACTTTGTGCCCCAGCAGCTCCCGGATATTCTTCACGCCGTATTTTATCATGGTCGGTCTCTCCAAACTCAGTCCCCAGCCGTATATCCTCATATCTGGCGGCAGACCCATAGGCTCTAACATCTCCGGTCTGAACATGCCGCTGTTGCCTATCTCCACCCACTTATCCAGTCCCTCGTGGAAGCCAAAGATCTCCATGCTGGGTTCGGTGTAGGGGTTGTAGGCGGGCTTGAAACGCAAGCGGTGGATGCCCATTTTCGCGAAGAAGACTTCCATGAAGCCTATGAGTCCTCCTAAGGTTAAGCCGTAGTCGGCAATGACTCCCTCGACTTGGTGGAATTCAGCGAGATGTGTAGCGTCGACGCTCTCGTTGCGGAAGACGCGGTCGATCGAGAAGTAGCGTGCGGGCCGGGGATTGGCGGCGAGTTTATGGAGCATGTAGGTTGAGATAGCCGTGGTGTGAGTGCGGAGGACGAGTTTGAGGGATTCGTCGTCATTGTAGGGATAGCGATAGCCTATGGAGCCATACTTGCCAGTTTCGTGGACCTCTTTCACGTTCTCGAAATATTGCTCGTAGTCTTGCTTAGGCTTTTTTGGTAAAGGTTCGGATGCTGATCCATTGGGGAGGTGTTGGGTTTCTTGGGGGTCTTCGCGGGGTCTGTCGGCGTAGGGTGGGTCGGAGATGAAGAAGGTATCTTGTTGATCGCGGGCGGGATGTTGTTGGGGGACAAAGAGGGCGTCGAAGTTCCAGAAGCCGGTCTCGACATACCTAGTAGATTCAGTAAAGAGTGTGCATTGAAGTCGGGCCGCATATACCGGTTTGTTGGCATTTCCTCGAAACCCATTTCAAAGAAGATCTGTCGGAACTCGTGCCGTACTTTGTTCACTATTGGCGAATGTTAGCCAGACCAGCCTCTTCCTCTGCTGATGTGAGCAGTGAGGGTCCGTACGAGGATGTAGAGCCCCACTACCGGTTGGGGCACCCATAGATTTGAAATTGTATGGCTTGAAGCTGACCGTGTTCCAGGTCCCACTGCATGGTATCAGCTCTTCTGTTACGCCATGGCACAAGCGGGAACCCTCCTACCTAGCCAGCATTTCTGCCGTCAAATCTGTCTGCTCTTTGACGAATTGCCTTGCAAACTTCGGTCCTTTGCTAAATTTGTAGCTTATGACTTTGTGCATAGTAACCAACTTTCGCTTCTTTAGGTCGTTGAGAATCTTAGGATCGGGGTGTGTGCGAGTGCTTTGTATTGTTTGGAGTTGTTCGCGAGATGTGTCTGTTATCGACTCTCTCTAAAAAAGCTGTCAGCTGTGCGTCTTAAAACGAAAGCTTTTGCCCTTACATTGGCCCTCAGAATGTCGTTGTCCTTCTTAATCCAGCCCTCTTTGAAAGCTTTACCCCGGCCGATCTTTGCGCTCTCCTGGCCAACAGCTTTCTGCCAACGTGGTCAGCACACTATGAAGTACCTCACTTCCAGTCGACCTGGCATACAGTTGAGCCAACGTACTGGCAGATCCGAGATCTTCATCCCCTCCACAGCTTGTAGCACCGCCTCGAACACCTTGGCCTCATGACTACCATTGGCGGCGATATCCTCAGCTTCGGGGGTCAAAATAGCTTCGTCTTTGTCCAGCGTCTCATAGGCCACCATCTCTCGAGACTTCAGCCTGTCTAGCGCACTTTTGATTTCCGACGAAGGCGTGGAAGGGAAGGCATCGGTGCTCAGGATTGGTTCGTCGGTCTGGGACAGGACGTCCAACACCTTCGCAGTAAGGTCCGTCGCCATGGCGGAGTACGTAGTATATTACACTATGGAAGGGGGTCTGTCCTGTCCGTCTTTGCGTCCATTGTTCGTATTACGGTACTCAACCGCGTTGACTCAAAGCTTCCACGAACATCTGATGCCAAGACCATATTGAAGCTAGTCTCAAAGCAGCGTCTGCAGCCGAGCGGCGGAGGTCTCATGCAAGATCGGAGAGTCAAAGTGTCCTCCTTGCATCCTACAGCGAGCAGATCCAATTCACGTTGCTTTATACTTGCTTTACCATTCTTAAGCTGGCATGCAATGTTCAGTCCTTACCCAGTACGCGCCCTTCCCATGTCTTTAGTTCCTCACCTGTCCCTCTGTGATGCCCCTACGTTGCTGGAAGTCAGAAGGCAGTCGCATTACTCGCCTTCAAGGACTGTTTTTGCTACCATGTCTCCTCGTGGTTTGCCTCTGGGCAGACGGCGGTTGGACCATGACCGATGGCGAAATCAAAGGAATGAGGTACGAGCAGTAACAATCCTCAACGCTGCCTAGCTAATGACCGACCACAGACTTGAGGCTGAGCATATGTTCTATCATGGTTTCGACAACTACATGAAGCATGCTTTCCCAGAGGATGAGCTGAAACCTATCTTTTGCGGACCATTGACGCGGGATCGCGCCAACCCTGCCCACATTGAGCTTAACGATGCCCTGGGAAACTATTCCTTGACTCTGATCGATAGCCTCTCCACACTGGCTATACTGGCGTCATCGCCGTCGACAATTGGAAGCAAGAATAAGGCGATGACCAAATTTCAGAAAGGTGTCGGAGCTCTGGTCGAGCAATATGGCGATGGATCTAGCGGCGAGGCTGGAAAAGGCAAACGTGCAACAGGCTTCGACGTAGACAGCAAGGTTCAGGTGTTTGAAACGGTCATTCGAGGTGTTGGCGGACTTTTGAGCGCACACCTTTTCGCGGTTGGAGATCTACCCATCGAAGGCTACCATCCAAAGGATCAAAGCTCCAGCCAGAATGATCGCGGCGCAGAGCAGATGCTTCCGATCCAGTGGCCAAACGGGTTTGTCTATGACGGGCAGCTTCTACGGCTTGCCCAGGACCTTGCTCGCCGCACATTACCAGCGTTTCATACTACAACCGGTATCCCATATCCCCGAGTCAACCTTCGGCATGGTGTGCCATTCTACGTCAATTCTCCCCTTAACCAGAATGCCGAGACTGGTCAATGTCAAGCAACCCAGAATTCGAAAGCAGAATTGACCGAGACATGCAGTGCAGGAGCTGGTAGTTTGGTCTTAGAGTTCGCAACTTTGAGCCGGTTGACAGGCGATCCGCGTTACGAACAACTTGCAAAACGAGCCTTTTGGTCGGTCTGGGAGAGGAAGAGTAGCATTGGTCTTGTTGGTGCTGGCATTGATGCTGAGTCTGGGCTGTGGTTGAGTGGTTATACAGGCATAGGTGCCGGTATCGACAGCTTCTACGAATACGCACACAAAGCTAGTGTCCTCCTCTCCGGCTCGCCACTGCCAAGGGACCAATCTCATAATCTGACGGAAGGAACTCCGACCTCAGTACACACGAAACCAGTGCCCGAAGGACAGCAAACAGCTGAAGCATTCGGTCGTGTCTGGCAGGAATCGCATGCTTCCATCAAACGGCACCTTTACCGCGGAGATATGTACATACACCCTCATTACGTGCAAGCCGACCTCTACACCGGTGCGTCTCGAGCTTTCTGGCTTGATAGTCTGAGTGCTTTCTATCCTGGCTTACTCGCCACGACCGGCGATCTCGAAGAAGCAACCCAGACGCATCTTCTCGCCACCGCACTTTGGACTCGCTACTCAGCCTTGCCAGAGAGATGGTCAACATCGACCGGTAGCATCGAAAGTGGCTTGAGCTGGTGGGGAGGGAGACCTGAGTTTATTGAGTCCACCTATCATCTCTATCGCGCAACTCACGATCCCTGGTATCTACATGTTGGCGAGATGACTCTTCGAGACATCAAGAGGCGTTGCTGGACGAAGTGTGGCTGGGCTGGTCTACAGGATGTACGAAATGGCGACCTCAGCGATCGGATGGAGAGCTTCTTTCTTGGGGAGACGACCAAGTACCTGTTCCTGCTCTTTGATGAGGATCATCCGCTGAACAAGCTTGATGCACCTTTCGTATTTAGCACTGAAGGTCATCCACTAATCCTTCCCCGTCGGATCAGTGAAAGATCTTCGTACTCAAGAAGCCGGCAAACTGGGATGTACAGTAAAGGTGATGGCGACGATTCTCAAGGTGCTCTCACTTGTCCCATGCCGCCAGCAATGCTTCCATTCAGCCTTTCTGCCACAGCTGCCAGGGCTGATATTTTCCATGCTGCGAACCTTGCGCGTCTGCACCTAATGCCGACACGAGATAACGTGGAGTCGCCACTCGCTGAGTACTCTCGTGACCACCCAAGCATATCTATATCGGATGTACGGTCGCCATCTAATTACACATATTTTCCGTGGACGTTACCATTAGAATTAATCCCTCACAATGCTACTTGTTCCAAAATAACAGCTAAACATACTTTCGACATAACGTTTCCCACGGGACCCAACATGTTGATGGGTCCTGGCTTCCTTCAGCGCGTTGGCAATGGGATTTTAATCAATTCCATGGGCGGTGTGCGACTTGGTATGATCCAAGATGTGCCTTTCGAGACTGACGATGGTGCAATCGGCAAAGAATACAGGGTCCAAGCAATCAACAACATTCTTCTAGGCAAGGATGAACGAATCTTCATCGCCAAAGATACTGCATCCAATGTAGTCAACCCTCTAGATCCGAACTTCACAAGAATCCGTGACACCTCCATGCTCGACCTCATAGTCGACGTTCAACCATCTGAAGAGGCTGAACCCAAAGGACCCACTAGTGATCCAGTCGACAACAACGAAAGCTCAACCTCTGGCTCAGAGCTGGTCCTCGGCGCCTCCATAGCAGCTAAACCCGAAGTCGCTTCGAACATGAAACAAGCCTTCAGCTCCCTCCTGCAGCATGTCGCCTCCTTGATCGTCGACCCAACTCCGGCCCCTCCTTTACCCAAGCTGAAACACTCTCCACGCGAATACGTTGCTGCCATATTACCCGTAGGCGTTGGACTGGCACCCTTACCAGACGTCGACGATGCCTTAGGGCCAGACATTCACGGCGCGCCTCAAGGTGACGTCCCGTGGCACAGCATCTACGTCACCAACGAGAACTGCAAGAGCAGACTCCCCACCTCCGTACCAAAGGAACATCAAGTCATAGTCATCAAGCGCGGCGGCTGTAGCTTTGACGAGAAATTACGCAACATACCCATTTTCGCCCCATCGAAGAAGTCATTACAGCTCGTCATCGTAGTCAGCTACGAAGATGAGCCAGGCCTGCCTTCTGGGTGGCTGATAAGGCCTTTGCTGGAGAGTCTACAGACAACGGCTAGTGGGCTGCCGAGGCACCATCCGATCGCGATGATTATGGTGGGAGGAGGGGACAGGACTTATGAAATCTTTGAGAGAGCTGTGGGTTTGGGGATAAAGAGGAGGTATTCGGTACAGGCGCAGGGAGTTCCGATTAGCAATTTGGTAATCTTATGAGCACGATTTGACATTTGGGACCTTATCATAATCTGTATTAAATATGTCTGCATTATACATGATTTTGGAATATACAGTTGAATGTACGAACGACGTCGTTTACATGATTGCCTGCGGCCTGTTCAGTGAGTGTGCAATAGCCGGAAATTCATGAAGCTAAGCCTACATATTTCTGATAAATGTACGTACAAAGAATACGAAGTAACGTCTCGAGAATATGGATCCATGGATGAAAGCCATGTAACCAGAACCTGAATCTGCTGGAGAACAGGTACTCGAAATGAGGTCTACAGATATGTGAGATGGTGTGCAAGGCCCATGTGAAATAGGCTCCAAGCCATCTAGAATGATGAATGGTAGGCGCCTGCCAGTGCCTTCAATCTAGTGCATATGCCGCAGCTGGGGACGAAGGTGGGAAATGCAGCAAAGTGTAGCGATTGATGGCTGTGTGAACTGTTTGGTGTGATATAATATGAATGATGGTCTATATGAGTGGGAAATGTGGACTACGTAGAGCCGCCAAGACCTGTGCCAAGCAAGGGTCCATGCCAAGACTGCTGTCCAGAAGTGAGTTACTTGATAAAGCGAGGACACCAATCGATCGAGCGATATCCGGCTAAGCGGAAGGACCTATCGGTGTCCTTGCTTCATCAAGTAACTCACTTCTGGACAACAGGAGTAGGTAGAAACCATGACATGTACGGCCGCCAAGACCTATGCCAAGAGTCTTGGTATGTAGAAACCATGACACAAATGGTCCAAATGGTGACAGTCAGGCATAGTACGAAGCGGCTTGGGGGAGCATGGCCTGACGAGATGAATTGTAGGATCCATGGGTGCTATATGGAGTGAGTAGGACCTACCAGTGAGCAGGCACGAAGGTGGCATGTGAAGCCAGCGAAGAGTCGCTGGTATGAGTGATAGAAGTAGGGAGCAGCGTGCGGGGGATCTAGAAGAGACATGGATGCTGGCGCGTCCAGCAGTGATGTGAACCGGATGATTCTGCCGGAGCCAGGGCCCTTTGCGATAGAGAATTCTCAAGATACTATGGAGAGGTGTATGTCACTTCCACGCGTTGTGCTAGACAATAGAGGTTGTTCTACGCAACAGTGCGAGACGAATGGGGGAGCGCGATGACCTAAGAGGATAAAATGCTGCGCAGTCTTTAGTCTATGACCATGCGTGTCGATCTTCGCCGATAATCGTGCGCTCCAAGTATGATGGCCGAGATCACGTGATATGTTGGCCACGGGATGGATCGTCACAAAATCCTTCACTCTGAGTCGGATTCATCTGCAGGCTGCAGTGCCAACTCGGTTTCCAGCGTAGAGTCCCGGAGCGGTGGAGGATAATTGATGAGCCCATGGTGGGGTAAAATCGGGGTGGGCTGTAAAGTAAGACCGTGCCTGATTGGCTGGATTCGCTTACCCTAGCCGGTTTTGAACAACAAAACCCGGGCCCCCCTCCCAAATTTTTCCCTTCTTCCTTTTGTTTTCATCCTTTCCACGGTCGTCTACCTGGATACCATCACCCACTATTAGCATTTGTGGGCCATCAAAGATCATCAAAATCTATCATCGATCTTACATACCTGTTTCGAGTATCACCCTCCTTTTCTTGGTCCGTGTCCTATTGCTCGCCGTCTCATACCCCACCCTCCCATTTCATCCGCCCCAACCATGTCGTCGACCACCCCGACCATCAACAAGACAACTTCCATCAACCAAAACTTATTGACTCAATTCGTCAAAACCAAAAAGAGTAAACATTCGAAAGAAGTCATGATTCACCAATCAAGGGCATCGCCGCCGCCAGATGACTTCGTGCTCTTTCCACAAGAGGTAATTAAGGAGAAGCATTCGAGTATCAGAGCTGCCAAATCAAGCCAACCTACCGCAACAAAAAGCGCAAAAAGTTCGTCGTCACCGATGCCTCGACATCACGTCATTGAGCCCAAGGCAGCCACAGCTTCACGGCGAGAAGCTCGCAGGCCCTCGAGACGACCAGTATGCTTGGAACATATGTCGACAGTCAATTGTACTGTCGACTGCGCCAACGCCAAGCCAATGGCGCATCTGAAGATGCCGCCTAAGGCGCCATCACCACCGCGCCTGCCCACGCCTGATCTATCTGACCTTGAGGACGATGATCTCTGGTCTTGCTGTGGATCGTCTTGGTCTTCTTTGAGTAAGGAGAGTATTCGTTGCAACCGTAACGCTGACATCATGTGGGATGAAATGGGTGCGTCATCCAATCCTTGGCCTCAAGGCAACAGAATTCGCTGACGATACTGCAGAAGAGAAGCTGACGAAAGGAAAGGCATGGCAGAGTAGAAGCAGCAGTGATGCGAGAAAAGCGGTACTCAAAAGAGATTGCTGATTTGGGGGCAGGATCTGGAGAGAGCTCGCCGCTATTTATAACTGGATGGATACGAGCAGACGATTTCCCTATATATAGCTGGATTCGTATCTTTCTAAAGTATTATGAGGTCATGGTAGGGCGATGTCAATAGCTGTCAGAAGTATTAGAACATACCAGTAGTGGAAAATGGACTGCCATCCTAAAGCGTGCAAGTTCAGGACCGATGGCGTCCCTTGGAGTCCGAGTCGTATCCTCGCCAATCTATGGTCGCAATCCAATACAATCTTAGGCTCTAGGGTCAAAGAAGCATCACACTGTGTGTTTGGAGGATTCTAAGTCGAAATCGATGGAATTTGAAAGAATTGTCTTTGCTCATGGTATGAGGTGATGTTGAAGCTCAATGTACTATTTCTGTTTAGGCTTGGTGTCACTCTAGCCCGTGCGAGCATAGCGCGAAATTCTACCCGAAGTCTTTCACACAAAGATCTAGCATTATCGACAACCACAAAGACTTCATCTTCCTTTTCTACGAACAGTGAATCAAGATGGCTAAGAGAGGGTACGCACGGCTATCAACGTATCCTCCATAACAGGCTCCTAGCTGACTTGAATATTTACAGACGCGGTGGTGCCTCGGGCAACAAGCTCAAGATGACTCTCGGTCTCCCAGTGTACGCACCACTTCCTACCAATAGCGCCCAATTCCTGCACTCTAGATCTAGACTGAATTGGCTTCCACAGCGGCGCTGTCATGAATTGCTGCGACAACTCCGGCGCACGAAATCTCTACATCATCTCCGTCAAAGGCATCGGTGCCCGTCTCAATCGTCTTCCCGCTGCTGGTGTTGGTGACATGGTGATGGCTACAGTCAAGAAAGGAAAGCCTGAGCTGCGAAAGAAGGTCATGCCGGCTGTGGTGGTACGGCAGAGCAAGCCGTGGAGGAGGGCGGATGGCGTCTATCTGTACTTCGAGGATAATGCTGGTGTGGTGAGTGGTCATCCTTGCGTGGATGTGAATCCTAAGGCTACGAGACTGTTGAGATTGCTTTGGTGGACCTTATACGAGAAGAGATGGGATCAGCGGCAAGATTGGCATGACAGCAGCTGGGACGTTCTAACGGTCAATCGCGGCCTTTGAGCGATGACACGCTGACGCAGCTATCCTACAGATTGTCAATCCAAAAGGTGAAATGAAGGGGTCGGCTATCACAGGTCCCGTAGGAAAGGAGGCGGCAGAGCTGTGGCCGGTATTTACTTACCCGTCCACCGTGCGAAGCTTCTGCTAACAAGCATCCAGCGTATTGCAAGCAATTCGGGTGTCGTGATGTGAGGATGGTGAATTGCATGGAACAGCAAGAACGAAGATGAGCAATGATAGCTTGATATAGCCTCTGCCGTGTCTAGACAGCTCAAATCAGTGGGGATGTTTGCAAATGGAGGCGCTGTCACCAGCTGTGTCTCTGTCTATTGTGCATAGATGCGATTCTGTGGGGCCAATTGCTGAATTGCCAATGGATGTAGAGCGCCAAAGTAGAGCAGCCATGACTACTGTGAGCTGTTAATAGGCTTGACTGTATAGTGTAGATTTGGAGCTAGCAATGCGATCGCCAGCTGAAGCTCTGTCCAACATCTTAACTTCTCCCCTGAGCTTCACCCACCATCCAACCTACACACATGTACAGGTAGGAAATTATCCTTCATGCATCAAATCTTTATAGCTATCTGCTGTATCCTCTACACAGTTGCAAATCTATCGACATGCTACCTGTATCTCTACCCGCTTCTCAAAGGCTGCAGCTTCCCGACTCCACCCGCCCAACAGGACGCCCAGACCTCCAATAGCTACATCGCAGGCCAAGTCCCACCTTTCCGTCTCCTTGTACTCGGAGACCCCCAGTTAGAGGGTGACTCGTCCCTCCACGAAACCACCAATGGCTCCTTTCCCAGTCTCGAGAATGTCTGGTCAGACATAAAGACCGGCAGAACCCGAGAGGAGCGGTCGGACATATTCCTGGCACACTGGCGAGATCTTATCTACACGGACATACCGCGCCTTTTCCAGTCCTACCGCAAGCGATTAGACCTCTTCGGCAATGACTACTACCTCGCCCACATCTACCGCTCGCTGCACTGGTCTACGCACCCGACACACGTCGCTGTGCTGGGAGACTTGATTGGGAGTCAATGGGTCACTGATGAGGAATTCGAGCGACGGGGGACGCGATATTGGAAGAGGGTGTTCAATGGTGGCACCAGGGTTGAGGACGAGCTCACCGACAAAGTTCGTACTGAGATCATCGGTCTGGATGAGAAATGGGTGAATAGGGTCATCAATGTGGCTGGAAACCATGACATCGGATACGCTGGTGATATCACTTCGGACAGGCTTCAAAGATTTGAGAGGGTCTTTGGCAAGGCGAACTGGGAGACAAGATTGAGGCTGCCTTTTCCTGAGGAGGAAGGTCAGGAAGTACCTGAGTTGAGGCTCATTGTGCTCAATTCGCTGAACCTCGACCCGCCAGCGCTCGACTCAAGTATTCAAGCCGACACCTATAAGTTCATGAACGACGTCATCTCGTCTTCGCGGCCTGTCGAGGACAAGACCAGCGGGACCATCCTACTCACCCATCTACCGCTCTACAAAGAAGCTGGCGTGTGCGTGGACGGGCCTTACTTCACCTATCACCAGGAACAGTACGGTGCTGGGGTCAAGGAGCAAAATCATCTCAGCTACGATGCAAGTATGAACATACTGGAGGGAATCTACGGCATGAGTGGGAACCTAGAAGCTCCTGGCAATGGCTTTGGCAGAAAGGGCATAATATTGACCGGCCACGATCACGAAGGCTGCGGCGTCTACCATTACCTACCTGAGCATGAGGATTTCGCGTCGAGAGCTTGGGCTGCGGAAGATTGGAACACGACAAGCTTTTCTCGACACGGTGCCGTTCCAGGTATCCCTGAAATTACGGTCCGAAGCATGATGGGCGACTTTGGTGGAAATGCTGGCTTGCTGAGCGCCTGGTTCGACCCCAACGTCAAAGAATGGAAGTTTCAGTACTCGACATGCGCTTTGGGATCACAGCATATTTGGTGGGCAGTGCATGTCTTGGATATGATTACTGTTGTGTATTTGGGTATCGTGGGCTGGAGACTATATGTACAAAACGGCATCGTTGGATGGAGCCTATACACAGCTCGAGAGAATGGGGATGCTAAGGAGAAGACGCTGTGAGCCCATGGAGCTAAAACCCGAACCGGATACATAGTTGGAAGGGCCCTTCACCAATCAATACATCACTCGAGAACGCCCAAAGAGCGATTGAAGCTTGGCATTGGCATCAATCCCGGTGTCCTAACCCGACTCTATCTGAGATTATGACCCGCCTCCCGTCACCGCCCTCAGCAATCCCATGTACAGATTGAACGTCACCATCATCCCTGTGGGCCTGTGTATAAAGTTGATCTGGTACGTGTTTGTGTAACCTCTCTTGGTCATCCTCAGCATATCCAACGCAAAGTGCTGTACGATTATCCAGCTGACGACGACCCTAGGCGGCGCCACAACCTCCAGTAAAAGCTGCCCAAGCCATATTTGGTAACCACATGAAGCGGGAGTCAATGTGGTGGCCGCGTACGCGGCGAGGTCCTCATAGAAGTCTTGCATAACCGCGGCGGCCGTGCCGATTGGTAGCATACAGGTAAAATCGTGTTGGTCGACTATCCATTCTGGGCCCATGAGGTATGGCACAAAGGTGACTCGAGGCTTGAGCAATGTTGGAGCGACAAAGGGTAAGGCATCCATGCGGTCAAAGGAGAGTCCTCGGCGCGATGCATGATGTTGGTTTCTTGCCTGCTCGTGTGAGACTAGGGAAGACAGAACAATGATGAAAATGGTCGTGGAGAGTATCAGCAGCCTGGATAACATTGGTGGCAGTTGCAAGGACTGCGAGAGATTTTTCCGTGCGAAACGGAAAGCGCAAAATGCAGACATCAGGCTAAGTGCGTCATGGCCGTGGACGGGAATAAAGATCTTATCCAGAATGTCTCCTATTGGGTCAGATTATAGCAACAGTGCCGATTGTAGCCTGTCGCTTGTGGCATTTTGCCCTGAGCGCGTTTTTGGACTTCATCTTTTGGACGGATCAGCGTAGGATTGCTTTCTTTCCCAACGTTGCGTCTCCATTGGACGAAGATAGATCTTTTCAATCTTATGTAGCATGCACTGGCTACAGATAAGAATGACCTGCAGTATCATACTACCATACAAGCCTTCTCCAGGCATATCCCGTCACAACCCTTATCTGTAGCTGTACCCCAATACAATAACAGAAGGATGTGTACTTTCCGTTGCGGCTTCAGACTGAAAAAACATCAGTAGTAGTCCAGTGGTAAAGCCAGGTCCTAAGTAGACCCTTCCCAGTTTACGGTGTGACGTAAGCTCTTCCGTGCAACTTGCGAGAAGCCTCAGGCTCTTAGGGTCAACAATGCGTTTGCCCGACTTATTCCCTGCTCCTTCATGGCATCTATTACACCACCACATAGCAGCATCCTAAAACGTCGTACAACAAAGTCATTGACCTCAGCCCGCCAAAGTTGCTTGATCAACCCTCCTCTCCTACAGACCTCCTCCCGCAACATGTCTTCCTCTTCTTACCCTAAAGATAAGAAAAATCCCAAATTTGGCCATCTCCCTCTGTCAACCTCTGGTCCTGAAGAATGTGCTTTGACTGTATTCATTGCCCAACTCCCTTACCCATTCTCTCAACCAACCCATCCTGACTACCGATCCAGGGCTCAGCACTCCTCCGTTCCCCCTACCACAACAAAGGTAGCGCCTTTCCATCCAATGAACGCAAAGACTTCAAGCTCTACGGCCTACTACCTCCTAATGTACAGACGTTGGAAGCGCAGGTCGAACGAGCCTATCGACAGTATTGCAGCCGTACCGACGCGTTGGCGAAGAATACTTTTATGACGAGTATGAAAGAGCAGAATGAGGTGCTTTACTATAAGGTACGTGTCCTAATCTACCTCCTCACTCCTTTACTAGTTCGTTGAACTCTGCTTGCGTGGATCGTCGCAAGATACTGACGGCCGCTTTCTTTGCGCATCTTTCAGCTTATACAAGAGCATCTCAAAGAGATGTTCGGTATCATATATACGCCTACCGAAGGTGATGCCATACAGAACTTTTCAAAGGTGTTCAGGAGACCAGAAGGCTGCTTTTTGAATATCTTCGACCAAGATCGGATTGAGGACAATCTGGCTCAATGGGGTGATCCTGAGGACATTGACTATATTGTCGTGACTGATGGTGAAGAGGTGATTCTCCATGGACCCAGTTGACTTGGTTCGGAAAGGGTTGACCAGAGGACAGATTCTCGGCATTGGTGACCAAGGTAGGGAGGACCGATTCCAGTTTCATGGCACCCGCTCATGGTTGGCACAGGCGTTGGAGGCATTTTGATCTCCGTTGCCAAACTCGTTCTCACTACTCTTTGTGCCGGCATTCATCCCTCTCGAACATTGCCAGTCGTCCTTGACTGCGGTACAGACGTGCGTCACCTCTCTATTCGAGATGGTAACAAGCAGCTGACCATAATCCAGAACCACCAACTACTGAACGATGATCTCTACCTTGGTCTTCGACGACCGCGAGTACGTGGTAAAGAGTACGATGAATTTGTTGACAAATTCGTCCAGTCCGTACGCAAGTTGTATCCCGGCGCCTATCTACACTTGTAAGTAGCATCCGCAACGCTTGAATACCTGATACATTGCTCACAAGTGACAGCGAGGACTTTGGCTTGACCAATGCCCGAAGAATACTGGACAAGTACAGGCCAGAGGTCGCTTGCTTCAACGACGACGTCCGTACGTACATTTCGGAGCTGGTTATTCCTATTTTGTAATGGAATTGAGTCGCCAGACATGTTTCGGGAGCAGGAAGACCTTTTCACTCAAGAGATCTGTCTTGCAACTCCTTTTCCTAGCTCGAGTAAACAGTGCTGACTCCGAAAACTGCGTAGAAGGAACAGGAGTCATCACACTGGCTGCTATCATGGCGGGTCTCCATGTCAGCGGCTTGAAACTCACAGATATGAGGCTGGTGGTCTTTGGCTCTGGAACAGCAGGAATCGGCATCGCGGATCAAGTTCGAGATGCCATTGCAGCTGAGAGCGGCAAGTCCAAGGAGGATGCAGCGAAGCAAATCTGGTAAGTCACAACAAAGATTCAAAATTGATCTTCGCTCACGATCTCCTGCAAGGTGCGTTGACAAACCTGGACTCTTGCTCAAATCCCAGGGTGAAGACCTCACGATCGGCCAAGGCCCATTCGCTCGCGATGACAAAGAGTGGCAGGGCAAGGACCACAACGACCTCTTTACCGTGATCAAGGAAGTCAAGCCACATGTGTTGATCGGAACATCAACGAAACCAAAAGCCTTCACCGAAGAGGTAGTCAGGGAGATGTCGAAGCATGTTGAAAGACCTATCATCTTCCCTTTGAGCAATCCTACTCGGTTGCATGAGGCGGATCCAAAGGACATCAATGAATGGTCAGAGGGCAAAGCTTTGATAGCTACTGGTAGTCCTTTCCCACCTGTGGAGTACAATGGCAAGAAGTATGAAGTTGGTAAGTGAGCGGTAGACAACCCCTCCATGCAGGACCAGAGCTGATCATCTCTGCAGCTGAATGCAACAATTCGACTGCATTCCCCGGCATCGGTCTTGGCGCCGTCTTGTGTAGATCACGCCTCCTATCGGACAAGATGCTTGTAGCGGCAGTAAAAGCCATAGCCGCTCAATCGCCTGCTCTCAAAGACCCAGACAAAGGGCTCGTGCCAGATGTCATCGATGTACGAGAAATCAGCGTCCACGTTGCAAAGGCAGTCATTAAGCAAGCCATTGAAGAAGACCTAGCTACCGAAAAAGAGATCCCAGAGAACGACGAAGATCTCGAAGAATGGATCCGAGAGCAAATGTGGGAGCCACGCTACCGACCCTATGTCCGCGTCGATAAAGAAAAGGCAAGTAAGCACGGGAAGGGAGAGCTTGGAGTCGGCAGCGTGAGGAAAGAAGCGAAAGGACCGAAGCCTGAATAGTCCCTTTTCCACATCGCACGTGCGTACTCGTACCTGTATTATAAACATAAAAGCTACACCTCCGTAGGCGCCAAAGCAACAAGACCAAACCCAACCTCATCCCCCAAGAACGTCCGCACCCCCAAATCCGGCGCCCTCCCACTCAACGCTCCCTCGCCGCTTCCCCTATCAAGCGGCCCCCTTCATCCCCCCATTCAACTCCCACAAACGCCCATCATCCCCTTTCAGAAACGTAATGACATGATACCCGTACCCCTCCCCCTCCCCAGCCTTCATCTCCCCAGCCACCGCGTCTCCTCGCTGCGCCGCTTCGATCTCGGAAGAGTCGTAAAGGAGCTGCGCTTTACTGGTTTGGATCGGACTGGAGTTATGAGGGACCTCGATGTTTGAGGACGTGAGGTTGATCGATGGCTTTGATGGCATTGTCTTCGATATCTCAGCACTTGATTGATCAGGGGCCGGTGTTGTGGGAGCGGGTGTTTGTGCTATAGGGCACAGGCTATTGGTGGTTTGATGTTGATGTGATGGGTAGGCTATCTGGATGGAGTTGGAGACGAAGTTGTGTCTTATCGGCATGGTGCCACGCGTCTAGGCTGAGGTATAATGGGGTCGAGGGGGCTGTGTTTAGTGAGTCGGAATACTATGGCTCCTTAGACTCTTGTCGGTTTCAATGGTAATGAATGAACTCATCTGCGGATCTGGTCTAAGTCATGTTTGACTGGTTTCTGTTACTATACGGCAGATGGCAATCATGGCTACGGCTACAGACCAGATGTGTCACCGTCCAAATACTATTTGTTAATAAAGTCCACCTTGCCTAACGATGGCGATGCGGACTGCTCTGCAAACAGCCTGTCTCTGTCCATCACTTCAGTCGGAGGGCAAGATGATAAAACACGCCCTTCGTCCCTGGACAATTGCTCCACCCACGGTGCTGAGTACTGGGCTAGCCTCATCCGCCAGTCTTACGGCGCCTTATACCGTGGTGGAACGCTAGACACGGAATGTCTGAAAGCTCCTCGTCGACGACGCGCAGGTACGTACGATTCGGAGAGTCGGGAGACGGGTTCCGCGGGACATGACGGGGTTGTTGCTCCTCGCAGCCATATCTTTTGTTTTCCGAATGGGTATGCTGATCTCCGAACTTTGCTAGATCGAGACAGCGCCGCTCTCGCACTTGGAGTTGTGGGGGCTGTTGTATCCAGGTGACTCCGACTCGAACATAGCACAGGTGATCAATTACGAGAGAGATATCTTGCTCGTTCGGAAAGCGATACAAGCCCAGCAAAAAGCGGAAGAACAGGCTAGAGCCGAGGCGAGACACCGTCCCGAGTGGAAACAGCGGGTTCTTCGTCAAGGTCCGTGGGACGGAGTCAAGGGTCCACTTCCTCTCACCGGAGCGCCTGCACTGCCTATGTCTGTCACGATCAGTGATGAGGAGAGGTTGGCAGCGTTCTTCAACCATGTGAGTGTTGGCGGTACTCATGATACGTTGATTGTAAATCGGCTTTTTCAAACAGCTTTCTTCCCGATCGATCCGTTTTCGAGTCAGCAGAGCTAGCAGACGGCTTGGTCCCACGCTCCGTGACCCTGCTATAACCCAAAGTTTCGCGTCAATGAACTCATGCTGACCCTTATCCCTTCAGGGTTTGAAAGGCCAGGAGCCATACTACGGTGTCGAAATGGCTGAATCCGAAAGGGATACTGAATGAAGATGGACGTATGGACCTCTGCAAGATGTAAGTTATCAAAACGAAGATTTTGTTGACGCCAACCTTGTATTCTTCTATCGTGTGACTTGTTATATTTGGTTCCCACAAAACGCAGCCTGTTTTTGGCACTGAGCTTTGCGAGACCAAGCCACGACGAAGTGTTGAGCAGTCCGAGCTGCACATTTCGGCTCCTCTGTCGCTCATCCTCGGAAACAAACGCCTATTGTTTGCCTCGCTTGGACTTTGGTGCTGACTTTGCTAGGGTGCTCGGCCCACCCAATATCTCTCATTTAATGATCGGTCTGGAGGGCAATAACTTCTTTCGCCACTTCTTGCTCGGTAATAATATGATTGGGCCTGTGGGTGCCCGGCTGATCTCGGACTTTGTACTTGCGCACCCCGACCGCATGGAGACCTGGTACCTTGCCGGTAATCGCATTGACCTTGCTGGATTTGAGCGCCTTGTTTCTGCGTGGACAACCTCGACTTCCATCACTAATATCTGGCTCAAGCGAAATCCACTTGCTCCAAAAGCGTCTACTGCCCTGTGCGAATCGATCACTCAGACCTTGAACTTACGCACCCTCGATCTCGATCAGACAGAATTGGGCGACGGAGGTGTTGCTCATCTCTTTTCACTTCTGGCAAATCACCATAGCCCCACCTCACTGAGGCATATCTACCTGAATGCCGTAGGGATAGGCTATTCCGCATGCAAGAGTCTCGCGGATTACCTCATCCCCACATTGCACATTGGAGTCAGTCTACCTAAGCGCCAACCCCATGGCAGACACTGGCGCAAGCGTACTCGCTGAAGGCCTTGCGGGCAATAAATCACTACTTCGTCTAACTCTCGCTTCCTGCGGGCTGGAATCCGAGGCGCCAAAGTCGATACTGCAAGCTCTCAAAGGCCATCCTCGACTCATAACCATGCACATGGACCAAAGCTTTGCACCGGAAGATCTTGGCATGCGATACGATTACCTCGGAGATGATGTGGTGGACAGTGTAAAGGCACAGGTGTCAAGCTGCGAAACACTACGAATGATCGAGCTTGGCACGACTGGCATGACGCAATCAGCGCTTGAGTCCATTTCAGAAGAGGTAGTAAAATCGGAGACGCTGGTGGTCTTCTCAGCAAAGAGCGTGTACAACAAGGTCTCCACGAGGATCAAGCTCTCTGTGAATGAGCGCATCAAGGAGAATGTTCGGCAACCATACGGGGTACGGAAGTTGCTCGCTTCGATGCCGAGGAAAAGCGTTGGTTGATCAGCCCCAAAGATGTGAGACTGATTGACAGTGCATACCGAAATAGGAACGCAGGGCTCGCTCGACGAGGACAGTTGGGTTTGAGAAGGGAGAGGCAAGATGGCATCAAAATTGTGAACGGTGTGATGACTTCGAATGGATTCACAGCTTGCGGCTGAGATGGATGGATGAGAGAGGGGATTTGTGGAGAACTTCTTGCCTAGGTAGACACTTGCTTGCGACAAAATCAGGAAACCATGTCTTCCGTTTTTACGATCCAATAATTCGTACACCGTGATGGTATGTAGGACAGCTTGGAGTCATGCCCCCGTGGTATTCCCTTTCGAGAAGAAGGCATGAACTATGATGGTCCTTTCCTCTTGCAACTGATAGATTGATCGACCTACCTCGCAGTCCAACGCATGACGCGGAGGCTGTTAGGTATCTGCACACTGAGTGGCAGCCTTGCGGTATCCCAGAAGCGGGTTAAGGGGTCGAATATCTTTTGTTGCTATGCTAGGAAGCGACAAGATGCCTGTGGAAGACAAGTCAAGGCACCGGGAGATGTTCGTACTCATAACAATCGAAATGAACAGCCACAGTAAGATATCCTTACGCAAGGTCTATTCTTTCTAGAACGCAAATGCGACCCTTTGAATGCTGGGAATATGCATCACTTCGATTGTGAGATAATAATCGGGCATAGGTCAAGTGAACGCCGAGTAGAAGAAGTGAAAGCCGAACACTGGTTTCAATCCGACCCTCTAGGCATTCTAGCGGTAAAATGTAGAGAATTCTTGCTGTAGGGCCAGTCTCGCTCTAGATGATTGAGTGCAGGGAAGGAGGAGAGGCTCTGAGAAAACCTTTTGAAGAAACTTGGCTATAGGCTAAGGCCTAAAGAAGTAAGGTCTGTCAGCTAGCGTCGCTCTGAACCTCATCTCTGCGATCCCGTCTTCGAGTTGGACATTACTCAGAGCCTTACAACCCTTTGCTTCAGAGCTTGCCTACACTCTTTGCAGGTATCGATCCCCTTTGGAGAAGCCGCTGACTCAACAAGCCATGGGTAAAGCAAAGCGTAAGCACCCTGACATCGAAGAGACCCTCGCGAGGCCCTGGTGCTATTACTGCGAGCGGGACTTCGACGATCTTAAAATCCTCATCAATCACCAGAAGGCCAAACACTTCAAGTGCGAGCGATGCGCACGGAGACTGAACACGGCAGGCGGTATGTGGTCCTCTCACCAGCTGTCAAGTTCTCAGCTAACGCGGTTTCTAGGTCTGTCGGTCCACATGACTCAAGTCCACAAGGAAACCCTCACCATCATTGAAAATGCGCTACCCAATCGATCAGGCCTGGATGTCGAGATTTTTGGCATGGAGGGTATTCCGGACGATGTCGCCCAAAGCCACAATCAGCGCGTCCTACAACAGTTCGCCCAGGCTGAAGCTGAGCGCCGAGCTGCGACAGGCAACCTTGGACCTGCAGGGGGAGGAGGCCCAGCCAAGAAACCCAAATTCGAGTCTCCATCTGATCTGAAGAAGCGCCTGGCAGAACACAAAGCAAAGAAGGCGGTAGAAGAGGCAGCTGGGATTAGCAGTGGAGCCAACACGCCGGGTGGGATGGCGCAAGGTAATCAGAGCCCAGGCTTGGGTCAGAGTCCTGGCAACTATGTGAGTCATCCGACGACCCTATTCATCCAACCTCGGCTAAGTGATTTTGAGCAGGCCGGCTCGCCAGGTTATCCTCCCCAGCAGCAGCAACAACAGCAAATGCCTTTTGGAGGCCCACCTCAAAACTCGTCCTATTCTGCCTTTCCTCAACCTTACGCTCAGCAACCACCGCCCTTTCAACAACCGCAGTCTCCATTTCCCCCGCAACAGCAAAATTTCGGTCCACCTCAAAATCAAGGCTTTGGGCCGCCTCAGCAATTCTCCCAGCAAGGCGGGCCGGGCTTTCAACCCCAATTTCAGAATGGACCGCCTCCTCAATTTCAGAACAGCCCTCCTCCATTCCACAATGGTCCTTCACAATTCCAAAGTGGGCCGCCTCCTTTCCAGAACGGACCACCGAATCAGTTTCAAAATGGTCCACCGCCGTTTCAGAACGGGCCTCCACCCCAATTCCAGAACGGGCCTCCAAATTTCCAGAATGGCCCATACAGCGGTTCTCCGCCTCCTCCATACCAACAAAACCAATTCCAGCCTCCACCAAATCATACACCATCGCAGCATAACATACCCCAGCGTCCTGGAAGCTTGCCGCCAGCACCTGGACTGCCTCAAAGACCTTCCTTTGGTGCTCCGCCAGTGAACGCTTTCCAAATGCAGCAGATGCACCAAGGACAGCTGCCTGGGCCGCCCATTCCTACAGATCATTCTCACAATGCTCAACAGCAGCATGGTCAAAATGGAGGTCTTGGTGGGCCAGCGGGTAGTGGACCTCCGCCAAGCTCGCTCCCGGCCCCTCTTTCAGCCAACGCTACTTCTCTGGATGATCTTGTTTCAGGCGCAGCCAAAGACGCAGACAAAGCTGCGGGTGCTGTAGAGACCAAAACAGAGTTGCCTAAGGTCGAAGAGCCTGCCGAGGAGAAAAAGGGAAAGAAGGAAAAGGACAAGAATATGAAGCTGATATACTCAGACAACGACGTCAGCCCAGAAGAGAAGATGGCACAGATGCCCAGGTACGCATTCGCTCCTATTGGATAGTGAGTTCGGAACATGGCAACAGCCTGGGGCAAGCAACTACCACAGCAGACTCCAATCTCCACTCGGATGCCTCAATATATCATAACGCTGTCAGTCCTACAACAATTCGTTTCATCATTCTATAAATCGACCTCCTATGCAAGTATCATACTGGGCTGGATAGCAGGAGATGGAGACAGATAAGTCATCGGCTCAATATTACGCATCGGCGAGTGTGCTTCATTGATCATCACAGCGGTACCTTTAGCTCATTTCGGATTTACCCTTACAACCTCGGCTTCGACGTGCACAACATACTTGATGACGGCATCGGGGTGAGTGGACTTGCTGGTCACCTGGGAGATTGCGTCTGACTTGGGGTCTTGACTGACAGTCGTCCTTGAAGGATGTAGCTGTCGCGGTGGATGGTCTCGCGCCAAATAATAGATAGCAGCTCATAATGGGTTCGGCGGTGCTGCTCTATGTAAGTGCAACATGGTTAGTCGTCTCATCTCTCAATCGAGGTCCTTGTTCCTGAACTGGCAATCCTCTACTTTACAATGAATGATTGAGGCAAGGAAAGAACGAGAGTGGATTGGGGACGTTTGGGATTAACGGGGCCCTCATTATGGTGCGTCCAAACCTCGCCGCCCCAACATTGCAACAATCTTGCCATCTCCAGCCCGTAGCCCTCCCCAGGATTGTAGATATGCTATGACCTTCCCAAGGACGACTCTTTGCACGTGTTTTATTTGCTGTCTTTGGGTTTTGCCTCAGCAACTCAGAATGCATTTCTGGGGCTTAGATTAGGGCCGTTGCTTGTAGCACTTGTAATAAATGCTGGTAGCTGTAGTTGGACATTCATGATACAGCTCAAAGATTCCACTTCGCCCCAGACAGTGCCCTAAAACCCAATGTGCCAAGGCGAATGTTGCTAGCGTCATTGCGGATACGCCGCCAAGACCTTAACCCAAGTAGATAGCAGCAGCTTCTCACGCAACCAACCCCACGCACTGAACGATCCCACCCTCATCCTACAGTTAGCCATAAGCTCCATCAACCATGGCCTCCAACGATATGGAAATCGACAGCTCCCCGCCCCGCAACGGCTCCAAACCCTCCACGACCGATCAGCACACCTCTTCCGGAGCTGTAGCCGTGCGCTCGATCGAGGGCTGGATTATACTCGTCACCAACGTGCATGAGGAGGCGAGTGAGGAAGATTTGCAGGAGCTGTTTGGCGAGTACGGTGATATCAAGAACCTGCATATGAATTTGGATCGGAGGACTGGGTACGTCAAGGTACGCCTACACCACATGGCCAAGTTTTGGCGGCTCAGCAAGTGCAGTTGGCATGCCCGGTGATGGGTATACAACAGGTTGAGGAAGATCATCCGCGAGAGTCTGGGCTGACTTATGGCGCCTTTACACAGGGTTACGTCTTGGTCGAATACCCCACCGTGGCGAATGCCAAAGCGGCTATTGAAGGCGCCAATGGTACGAAGCTGCTCGATCAGACTATCGGGGTGGACTTCGCCTTTGTGAGACCGCCGCCTAAGGAAGGAAAGCAGGGGCAGGGGAGAGGTGGAGGGAAGGGAGGAAGGGGTGCGAGGAATAAGAGTCGGAGTCCAGAGGGGGATGGGGTGAAAGATGAATAAATGGCGGGTAGGAAAAATGATGGATGCGAAGTGCGGCAAGATAATGAGGATACTGAGAGGCCAGTACGCGGGGCATTCTTTGTCACCAATGGAGAAGATGGATGGACATGTGGTGCACATGGTGCCGAGAAGCTTCATCACGGAGGCTTCATCGGCATGTCTGTTTCTAGAAGCTCAGGTATGCCCCTTTATGACTATGGCCAAGGTCTATGCTAACGGCAGGATAGTGATACCAAGAAATGAATATGTTCGAGACTTTTGCATTGCTCGACAGCAAAGCCTTGTTTACTTCCCTGCTACAGCAAGCTTTCTCAAGCCATATGGCCTCCTTCAACGTGCTCGTCTCATGGTCCACTACGCAAGAAAACTTCTCTTTCAGTAGATTCTCACACCCCAACACTCACGCAGAATTACAGGTCAGAACACAACAAATGCCTCCACCTGCTCCTCACTCCACTCCCAGAATCTCTCCGCAAGTCTCGTTCCACCCTCCTCCTCCGCTGCCATCGCCAAAACCAAATCTTTCCTCAAGTCATAATAGAACCTTCCCCAAGGAACAATATACGCTCCATTCCTTCCCTGATCCACCTTCGGACTCAACCCCGCAAACGCTTCCGTATACGCACCAAAAGTTGGATCCTCCTGCAAGGTCCACAAAAGCAGTAGCTGCACCAGCTTCGGCATATGTCGATTCAGATCGCTTTTCAGCGCGCCGGGCATCAATGATACGCTGATGATACCCTCGCCTCCATACCGTCACGCGGACTCGCTGCTGTGGAAGATGTCGCTCGCTTTGCTGGTGCCGCATTTCGTCACTGCGTTCTTGTCGATGTGATAATCGATGTCGGTCATGTCGATGCCGTTTTGCGGGCTGGATATCTTGGCGCTGTTGGATGAGACCCAGACGACGCGGATGGAGGATTTTGCCGCTGTTTTGGCCGTGACGGCGAGCATGGGCCGCAGGAGCTTCGTGAAGTGGAGCAGGTCCAGGCAGTTGGTGCCGATTTGTAGCTCGCGGCCCTGAGCTGTTTTGCTACCTTGCGGTGGTAATAGGACGCCTGCGTTGTTGAAGACAATGTCCAGCCGGGTGTTCTTGGCGAGAAAGGCTTCAGCGGATGCTTTGATCGTTGATAGGTCCGCGAGATCGAGGTGAAGATGTACGAGCTGGCCTTCTGACTCCGGACACTGGGCTGATGGATCCGATGGTACGGAGTGATTTGTTCTCGGAACGAGTTGCGAGATAGACTTTGGCGTGCTTGGAGTAGAGGAGGTTGGCGAGTGCTTCGCCGATGCCGGAAGAGGCGCCGGTTATGGTGAGACGCGGCCAAGAAGAGAGGGGATGGGGGAGGCGGTATAGGTGGGTGCGGGTGGGAAAAGCTGGCTCCATTGGCAGCCCATTGAGAGAACGGACTCAATGAGACGGAGAGGAAGGAATCAGGCACGGTGGGAAGGGCAAACGTGCGGGAAGGATCATTCAGCAGGACATGACGGAGACCGAAGACTTCGAGGTACTCCATCAATGGCCTCGGAAGATCTGGCTCACGAAGGTTGTCTTATATCAATGACCGTCATTGTGGGCTAAGTCAGAGGCAAATTCGATCTAACCAGAAATAAGCGAATTGCTTTTAGCGCGGACCGACGCCAGTACAGCAAGGAAACAGCATGTGCAAAGGCTGTGTCAGGGCTCAATACTCTGGTACAACATGCAGCTATGCGACTTCTCATTTCACATCACGAGCGTCAAGGTCGCATTTCCGCCAATTGCATGGTAGCAAATCCGTACCTTTCATAGACCCGTCTACCCAGATACGTACCTTCCACATACGCTTCCAGGCCCCTTTTATCAGCCTTACGTGTCCCCCACTCCACCAACAGCCCAGCCACTCCCCGATTGCGGTCCTCCGGATGTGTGAATAAAATTTTGAGTACTACAGAAAAGTCAGGATCAGGACTGAACAAAGTTCCCAGCTTCACGGTCGATAGAAACTGACATGCATGCGGCGCAGCCATGGTCTCAGGTCTCCAAGCCCTCAACTGCGTATTCATCGAGTTACACAAGTCCCTCGGCTCGCCCTCGGAGAACCATGTCGGGTCGAACTCGCCGAACGGCACCCGATACGGATTCGAGTTGTAGAATTTCCACAACGCCCCGGTTACAATCTTGCCAGTGTCGGTGTCGCTGACTTTGATCCATTGATCATGGGGGCCCGTTCTGCTTCCTTGAAGCTGTACCGCAGAACCCTTCTTGATGGCTTCTGCTTCGGCGTTGGGTCCGTGGCTAACAATTGGGAACATGAGTTCCCAGACGGCTTGTGGGGGGTGCATCCATGCGGCCTATTTGGGGGCGAATAGTTCATCCCAGTCTTTGTCCAGGTCTACTTTGGTCGCTTTGAAAGACATGGTGAGGGAAGTAAGGGAGGTAGGTCTTGAGTGTATGACTGATCGGCATCAGGAGTTTTGTCTACTGTAAGGAACGGAGAATTTCATGCGATAGTGTCTCATCCAGCGGTTTTCGAACGTTGCACGGTGATCAGCATACACTGTTCTCAACCGCGCAATGCTGTAGGCAGCAATATAAGATATCTTCCACAGTTGCGAGGGTCGGAGCGCCAGCAATACTAATCAACTCCAGGACTAGCGGCTTTGAATCTCACCCAAGAGGCCCACGGTTGTAGGAGGCCGCAGGTGAAAGTAATCACGCTACTGCAGACCGGAAACTGTGCAGTCAAGGTGGCGTTCAACATCACTACTTTGTCATCGCTTCGCAGCCCCAAGTACTTTTCTCTTTGTGCTGGTGTTTTTGAAGTGGTGGGTGGAAAGAACACGCTGATTCGCTCAAATGTCGTCGACGTGCATATGGCATGTAAGGATTGCAGTAGCTTTGCCATGAGATACTTGTATCAGCTGCAGAAGCTGACCTATCCAGATCTATAATTGTGGACCCTGCATAACCACTTGCACTCTCGTGCAGCAACCCCGCACGATGTCCCTGTGTACTTTCTGTATTGTTCCGTCTCTTGTCGAACGCAAACTGATCTCAAGAGCTATATCCTTCTGCTCCCACTCTTGTACAATTTATCCGACATAGTATGGCTTCGCTAACAATCATCGGGGTCTCCCTCCTGCTATTGCTCTTGCTGTACAAATACTTTCTATTCCCCATCTTCTTTTCCCCCTTATCAAAGATTCCCAATGCCCACTTTTCAGCGTCCATCCTTCCACTATGGATCTGGTCTGAGCGACGAAATAGTACAGCAGTCCGCAATCTTCTTGCTGTCCATGAGAAGCATGGTCCGGTGGTAAGACTTGCACCGAATGAGATCAGCGTGAATAGTGCAGAAGCGTTGCGGACGGTCTACATCGGCGGATTCGAAAAGCACAGATGGTATCTTGACCCCTTTGTGAATTATGGCACTCCCAATATGTTCACCATGTTGGGACATAAGCCACACTCGGTGCAGAAACGCATGGTATCAAACCTCTATTCCAAATCTTATTTGCAGAGCTCCAAAGATCTGCAGGCTATTTCAGATTGCTTGTTCTTCGATCGGTTCCTGCCGATAATGCACGAGGTTGATGAGCACGGTGGGGAGATGGATGTGTTGGATTTCATGCAGGCTGTGGGCATGGATTTCACCTCTGCTTATCTTTTCGGCTTGTCCAATGGCACCGATTTTATGAATGACGCCGCATATCGGCGTCACTGGCTCGAAGAGTTCAAGACCTTCAAGGTCCGGCTTCCGCAAGAACGTGCAGGTGGGGAGATCGAAAGGTGGTGCCTCTCAATGTGTGAAGCTGCGGAGCGCTTCATGAACTCGGAGAAAGTGAGGGACGGACCACTAGAAACACAGCCTGTGGTCTACGGACGCTTGGCCCATTCTCTCCGAGAAGCCGCCCAGTCTGACGCCCCCAGCTTGAAACCCACCATGATGACCGCGGCTTCGGAAATGCTGGACCACCTGGTAGCCGGGCACGAAACTTCCGGCATCGCCCTCACATACCTCATGCACGAACTCTCCCAGCGCCCCGACCTGCAGGACCACCTCCGCCGCGAACTCCTCACCCTCAGCCCTCCGCTTCTCAACCCGGCACGTGACGACGGAGCCAACGCAAACGCGGGACGGTGTCTCCCCTCCCCGCGCTCCATCGACGCCCTTCCCCTCCTCAACAACATCCTCCAGGAAACCCTCCGTCTCTACGCCCCCGCGCCAGCCCAACAGCCGCGCCTCACCCCTTTCTCTCCCAACGGCACGACCATCGACGGCTACGGCAAGATCCCGGGCGGCGTCAGGGTCAGCGCGAACCCGTACTGTCTGCACCGCAACGCGGCCGTGTTCCCGGCGCCGGAGAAGTGGGTCCCGGAGCGGTGGGATGTGGGGGGTGAGGAGGGGGAGGAGATGAGGAGGTGGTTCTGGGCTTTTGGCAGTGGGGGAAGGATGTGTTTGGGGAGTCACTTCGCACTTCAAGGTCGGTTGTGGATTTCTCTGCCCTGCTGGGTTTCTTTTTCGGTGGCTGATGGTGTGTAGAGATGAAATTGGTCGTTGCGGCGGTTTATACGAATTGGACGACGGAGATTGTGCATGGTGGGGGCATGGAGCAGGCGGATACGTTCATTTCGGGTCCTGTGGGGGAGAAGTGCGTGTTGAGGTTTAAACGTGTTTGAGGGTTAGTTGTGTGGGTGAGGTGGTATTGATCGGTTTCATACTGCTATTGTTACTTCCTCACGTCTGTCCCATTGCGAGTCTCAGGGAGATGAGTAGTGCTGGGCTTGTCCAGTAGAGGGAGGGGAATTACGGGAGAACTACGTTCATTGTTCGTGCGTAGAGGCCTAGTACTAAAGCACCATCATGGATCTCGTACTCAATGAGAGATGAGACATGGTACGATCTCTGAGAATTTCGCACTGTTATTCCAGTCATCGTCATGCTATGCACGCATGACGCTGTCTATTCTCGCCACTATCCCCTCAAGAAACCGAACCAAGTAGGCAGCCAGAGCCAAAGGAACCCTCAACCACATCTCAAAGATCGTTCATGTAATCCTAATGCACAACACCTCACCGCTATGCCGTCACACATAACCTTCCCACCCCTCGATTTGCCCAACGTGCTCCTCGACGTACCGCTCCCACGGCGTAACTGGGCTCCGGAGGCCGAACTGTATGCCCGATATGTCCAGGGCGTAGTCCTCGCCGTTCTTCAGGAAGATGTGCAGCACGCGATGCTTGTCTTTGGCCGCCTGCCAGTCTTGCCGGATGAAGCGGCGCCGCAGCGTCTTGAGGGAGAGGGTGACTTGGCGGATTTCGGTGGCTAGGTCTGAATGACACGTCAGCGGGATGGCCCAAGGTTGTGGCTTTGCTACTTACCTTTCAGTTGCTCCTTCAAGGCCTTGCCCATTTCTCCGGTATGTCCGCTGCCGACCAGACACGCTAGGTAAGCTCGCTCGTCTTCACTGTTCGCAGGCATGGTTTGCAGGAGTGCGATGGCGTCGGTGGTGCGTGGCGCAGCGTCCGATTCGTGCAGTATCATGTGGTTGCGGTTGAGGCTGCCGTTCTCTAGCATTGTCATCACTAGGGTTTGACAGTACCCGTAGTACTCCTTCTGGAGCGCTTCCCCGGCTTCGTACAGCTTTCGCCGAGCTTGGGCGGCCGTGCACGCCGCTTCGTGCAAGGACCGGTTGGCGGTTTGACAGGTCGGGCTGCAATAGTAGGTGCTCGCGACGAGACCTTCGGTTGCGGAGGGTGCTGCTTCGCATCCTTTGCATGCTTCTGTTGTCAGACAATGGCATGAGGCACAGGGATGGGCCGGGTTGTCGGGTTGGGTAGGGGCTTGGTGGACTTCGTCGGCGTTGACTTGGCGGGGATGCGATTCGCTGGGTTCGGGTTCGCGGGACTGGAGTTCGCGGGTTCGGACTCCGTCGCTTCGGAAGTCGGATCCTTGGAGTTCGGGTCTTTGGAGTTGGAGGGACTGGAATTCGCGGACTGCTTGGGTTGCCTTGCACAAGGCTTTGTGGTGGTGCCAGTCAGCTTTCTGGCAGGATGCACTGCAGTACTTTGTCGTCGCCACTAGCCCCACTGAGGTGGGATCTTCTGTTTTGCAACCCTTGCATACCAGTGTTGCTGAATCTCCGCATCGCGCGCACTTAAGTACAGTTGGGACAGGTTCGTCCATGGTGCAGAGAAGCAATAAGGCGTGCTGGCGAGCCGTGAAAGATAAGAAGTGTTGACAATGGAATGCTGCGGCGGAGTTGAGATGTGAAGATAGGGAAACAGAGCAGGATGGGGATGGTAGTCAACCCTCTCTGAAAGGGAAGGAGGTCGGTAGGCAGAAAGATTTTTTGAGAGTTTTCAAGAAGTATTTGATGGTCGAAAGGAGAAACAGTCCTTGGGCACGGGAAGTCAAATATGCCGGCAGCAGCTTAGGTATACCCTAGAGCCTAGGTAAATGAGCACATCGGAAGCTGCTAGAAGGTGTTGGTTTGTTTTGAACCTGCTGCTGGCTTGAACAAACCTTGAGCCGCACTCCATTTCGAGTCTTCGTCACATGACTCAGCCCTGCAGAATTTCTTCCATGGGCAGGTAACTTACACTCACAAATACTCACTCCGCACATCTCCTCTCCCACTCTGTCGCCCTCCACACACCATCACCATCCTGCTATCGTCATACGCAGCATTTCACATGGCTTGCCGTCCGATGACAACAGAAGCACTCCACAGCTTTGTGGACGTCCTTGCCTCCAAGGACCTCGCGTCCTCCGACTTCATCGGTCCTCTTCCCACCACCCCCCAATTCCTGTGCAGTGGAATATAGATCGCAGGGGGGCTCTCCAGTGTATTTGCGGGTCCAATCATGCTCTGCTGTGTGTTCCCACTGAATACGCCATGCCATGATCCACATCAAACTCTCCATTTTTGAAGACGCCCTCGCGTCCAAACTCTACAAAGTATTCGATGTTGACCCGATCGGAGGAGCCATCACGAAGTCCTTGTCGATACGGATCGAAGGGCTGCGTCCTTCACCGACACACCTTGTGCGCCCACTGAAACCACCGGTGCCGCAAATCTGGTTAGCGGACGTAATTTCATAAAGCTGTGTAATCATCGAGCTAATGGTCATCTCGGAGCAGTAATTTGCTCTTTGCCCGAGTCGCAATCATCAGGGTATTGCGGATGCAGCAACGTTGCAACGTGTGCGTAGGCAGTGTATCGATGTGCGACGGCTGTGCGTGAGGTGTCTTCAGCAATGGAAATTCCACCGGGTACCAAAGAGATGGTATCGCCGGAGGGCATCTAGTCCAGGCAATTTGAGCTAGCCCAGCCGCCATCGACCGTAGGGCCCCTTTATAGTGGAAAAGAAGCCAGATCGCTGACAGCATCCTGGCCTCCAATCCCTCACAGCTGTGCCACTGATCAAAATGTCCCAGACGACTGACCAGAAATAACCACTTGAGTTCGAAATCAATTTTTTTCCGACGCCTTTGCGTGGCATTGCGCGCCGACGAAAGCAACGTGCATGGTAGTTTTTCCCCTTTGTGAAACAGCAAGACAAAGCACGAGAACAAAGCTCCCAACAGGACCGCTAACGAAACACTAATTATGGGTTCTATGCGGTACAATCACCATTCAATAGGTACTTGCAGTTCTTAACACTCTCTCAGCCCTTATGGAGGGGGGAGCCACGGCGCAGGGCTCTCGAGCTTGCGCGGCCCATTTGTTCAGAAGCATAGGCTTCCAGAGTATCTCCCAGAATACAAGTCATGGCATCTCTCAATTCTAGAATCTCGAAGCGTGTTTTGTCAAGTGCTGTGCAGTCTTTTGATGAGAAAGGTTGGCCGTATGACAAAGAAGAATGGGAACCTCCACGGCGGAACGGTTCCGATCGGTCATGTAGGACGTCACGTGAGGGTACTTTCCTTCACTATAAAGTACTACCTCTCAATTCATCAAGCTTTGATCTAAATGCGTTGCTCGCAGTACAAAATCTCCACTTGCTAAACTGCTACTCTATCTTATAATCACGTCTAGATGGGCAAAAAGCCTTGATCTTTGCAAGCAGATAGCTAAGTAACATTCGTCTTTTCCCTCCCTTGGCTCCATCTGCTATGTTTTCCCACCAAACTTCATCCTCTTGATTGGCCGGAACAACAACAAGGTGTGTTTTCTAAGCCCAATATAATCTCACTTGATATTATCCTCAAATTGACCTCTACCCAGTCCAGTACGCACACCACTCTGGATCCCACTCTGTGGCCACGACTCCCTCTAGATATCCTGTCCGTCACCATCGAAAACACCGCAGACCGGGAAACACTTGAGATTTGTCGCCAGGCGATAAAGGATTCGAGCTCCCTGCGCCACGTTGCTATCTGGAAAAGCTACAAAACACACGATCTGCGAGAAAAATTATCATGCGTGCTCCCGAGACTGGTAACCACGATTCGTACACCTCCTTGGGAGACGATGAAGCGAGTGACTGCACTCCCAATAGGGCCGGACGACCAAAGCGCCAACTCTTCCTTGACTTTAAGAGGTACTCCTATCAAAGTTTCGCATCATACGTCCGGCGCCTGCACTTCCAATTCTATCTTGCTCCGTCGGATCAGCAAAAAGATCTAGTAAGCTCGGAAGACGTCAGACGTGCTTCGGACAGGGTCCTAGCTGAGGCAAGAGCCTTTTAGGAGATCGACCATTATTGGGTGCTGTACTTTTGAAGGGACACGGGCCGGGGAAACCCGCTCGCGATTGGAGGTCAGGTTGGGGCGGGGTTTCTAGCAGGCATTCCGGCCGACTTGCATCCCTAGATCTCTTCTTTGAGCAAGAGTGCAAGCTCAATTTCACGAAATGCATGTGTCTTGGGTTTGGACCATTTCCAGAGTTTCCAAGGAGTTGACTAAGTCCAATTGCTCCTTGCAGCAACTGTCCCTGTCGATGATGATATTCGAAGGTCTAGCCAAGAAAAACGACATTCAGAACGTTTCCTTTCAAGATGCCAATTTCTAAGATTTAGGATTGAATTACTTGAAGTCGCTTGGATAGGTCGTGCTTGAGGGTCCACATCCCACTCTCACACTGTCATGGAGCGCGTTCGTGTATGCACCATACCTCAGTGTTGCAACTGCTGCCCAGATCTTCAAGAGCCAGCTTCCATATGTGTATTTGGGGAGAAACTTGGCTGATGCCATCGACCGTGCCAGTAAGCTCGAGCGTTGGACCCTATCGAGCGCAAGGTATACGAATCTGTCAGCGATGCAAGGATGCTAACCTCATGACGCAGCGATTGCCTCTCTGACAGGGGAAAGATGGAGATTGGTGGAGTCTTGTAATTGCGTATTGGTTGGATATCAACGAAACTCGGATGGACATGATCGTTGAGGGGACTGAAATTGATGGCAAGAGGTCCTTAAGTGGAACAGTACTTGGAAAGAAGACCTCTGCAGCTGTCGCCAAGGAGACGGGGAGTCAGGTTCTGCCGATGAAGTAAGAACCAAGACCCTCCTCATCGATAGACGCGAAGAGCACGTTCGTGTTGGCCAAGCGGACGAGATACAGTCTCGGAGTCTGGAGATATTTGATAGCTTCAATATCACGAACAACATTTGAGAAAAAATCGTGTCACATGGTGGAGGTCAATCGTTTTCCTTGATGGCTCTTTGGTTGCATCCAGAAATTGACGCATGGTCCACGCCAGATGTCGATGCGGGTATGATACTTTGACTCCACTCGCCAGATTCCATGCAAACGTTGATGCTTTGCACAGAACCCTGACGATGATGGACTTATCCAGCCGGCTTCAAGGATTAGTCGAATACCATCCCCGGCATCTTTCGTTTCTTACAAGGGGTGTTGCTAGCACAACACCGCATCGAAGGGATTTTCCTGGAGTCACTTGCCAAGTAATAAACGTTGAAGTCCAACGCAATGTAGAGCCACCAAGTATTACCCACAAACCTAGCGGAGCTGAGAATCAGAGCGCGTACCCAGTCACGGTCAGAACCGTGCAGGTAGGAACAGAGACATCGTCGTATCCAGTCGCAAAGCCTACCAGCAACGGAGCGATAGAAATCGATGGGCCAGAACCAAAAGAGGAAGCTCAATGTTATCCACGAGGAGCCAGCAACGAAGGAGGTCATGGAGGCCAAATATGTGATCAGCTGCGATGGCGCACAAAGCTGGACAAGATCGCAGGATGTGGATTGAGGACACAAGGTTCCGAAACTGATATCAAGAGTCAGCAGCATCTTGCACCAAATACACCGCTCGGCCAGCACTTCCTGAGTTTTGTGGTCATCAACCACTGCGATGCACGATCTTGGCACTTTGGCGAACTGCTCAAAGCCGGCGGCCTCTTCGCCGTCGTGCTATTCGCTGGTGGTGTCTCCAGGACCGATCAAATTCAAAGGGTACATAAATTCGCCGGAGCACTGGCTAATGTGGTCATTCCATTGGTACAACATCACATCAGCGGTGGCGGCCAGAAGGCAATATACGACGTCGCTGACATCCTGACTATTCGTTCAGCGCCGGGGGGGCAGGTTGAATACTCCCGGAACTGTTACGTCCCTTCGATGAGGAGCTTGGTAGTCACATATTGCGTATATCGGCGCTCCAAGGTGTCCTTCATTTTCCTGTGAAGGACAATTAAGGGTCCTCTCTTTGATTTCGGGGAAGCCTCGGCAAGTCTTTCTCGTAAATCTACTCGTATTCACTAGGGCTTTGCAATCTACTAGGATTTGCAATCTCCAAAATTTAATTCTGATAATTTACCATTTCATTATGATTATTAGAATTTTAAGAACTATTATAATCGGGCTTAAATTGATAAAATTATATAATAATACTCGTGCGTTCGAGAAGTGAGCTACTTGATAGAGCGAGGACACCAATAGATCTTTTTACTTAGTGGGACGTCGCTTGATCTACTGGTGTCCTCGCTCTATCAAGTAGCTCACTTCTCGAACGCACGAGTAGTTATAACCGTCGAAGTTCATTATACTATTATATAAATTGATCAGTATTACCTCGATTTTAACAATTCTTAAAACTATAAAAATCGCATTTTGTATTCTCTTAACATTTTTTCGAGTTCTTTTATTATGATGCACCAATGTTGTGAATTGATAAACTATAAAGACCAAGTCTTGGAGATTGCAAATCCTAGTGAATACGAGTAAGCGAGTTGAACAGCGTGGTTAGATTTGCCGTTGCCAAGCAAATAACGAGTCATCAACACACGTCCATTCATCATCATTATCATCATTATCATCATTATCCTCATCACTAAGAAGATGGGTACTGTAATTTCACTCTTGGGATGTCTGTAAAGACTGAGGAGGCAGTGGCCATGAGACCGGTGATGCTAGTAACCGCTCCAGAAGCACTGGCAAGAAAACTTCTACCGAAAATCCAACAGTAGTAAATGGAGCGGTTGCAGCATAACCCCTGCAAGACCCGGCCAAACATGCAAGCCATTGTTGCATCCCGCTGCACCTACAACGCCCTCACTCTCATGCCCCTCATACAACATAGCCGACGCTAAAAGGATGGGGAAGTGCAAATAATGTAACCGGCGCAGACCGCGCGCACCTTCGAATCCGTCAAAATGTCTCCTCTTTCATCTTCAGTATATGTTGTAACCTGCGACGGTTGAGCGCATCGCATTCTCTCGGTGCTCTGTTTATATATACGGTATTTCTGCGCTGTCGTTGCTAATCTTCCGTTGTGAATTGCTGCGACCATGGCCACCAGGGCTTATCGCATTGCGCAACCGTACTAATTTCTGTCTGTCGATCCCGGTCAGTACACGCGGACCATTACAATGATTTCGTCTCGCAATCGTATCGTTACTCTTATGCTTCTCTTCCTGGCTGCCAGCACTCTTCTTGTGCATTTCTACTTTAGGACCAGTCCCGCACCACCACAAGATAGTGTTGCCCCTAAAGGAAGCAAACAACAAGACCCATGCCGACAGAGGTTAGGCCGTCTAAAAGATCTGAATGTCAAATTTCCTATCAAATATGCTCGGCGCGATATCAAAGTCAGGCCCCAATTGGGAGCGCAACGTCCTTCTGTCACCAATGTCGATGAACCACTGTTCCCGAAGCTACAGATCGTTGACCCAGGGAAAGATCCTATATTAGAACATTGCATGCCGCCTTTGTCGTTGGAAGTCTCTCCCTTTCCCAAAAAGGAGTCAGTTGATGCCTCGCATGTATTGTTCGGCATGTCCACACTCCTCAGCCGTCTCGAGGGTTCTATACCATTTCTCGAGCGCTGGCTGGCGCACACTGGTGCCAACTTGTTCGTCATTGTTGTCAACTCAGAAGAGGACCGAAAACCGGATAAGAAGAAAATGTCCAAGCTGCAATCACACATGCGTGATCTCGGCATCAAGGCTACGCTCGTTGGACCGCTGGATGAACAAGACGATATGCCACTGCGGTATTTTTCTCTAGTTAAGCTATTGTATAGCAAACGCGACAAGGGAACTCAGTGGATTGGGATCGTGGACGATGACACCTTTTTCCCTTCAATGCACTCTCTGATCAACACGCTTGGCAACTACGACTCCAGACTGCAGCAATATGTCGGCGGCATATCAGAAGAATGGTGGTCCGTCGTTCTCTACGGCCTCATGGCCTTTGGCGGCGCTGGTCTCTTCCTCTCCCTCCCAATGGCTGCGATGATCGATTCCGAGTACCAGGCCTGCAGGGAACAATCTAGTTCCAGCGCGGGGGATATGCGCATTCACGAGTGTATCCAGTGGCATAGCCATGTCAAATTGACGCCTATCCCTGGCCTTCACCAAATGGATATGGGCGGTGACCTCTCGGGAGTTTACGAAAGCGGATGGAGGCCGCTTTCTCTGCATCACTGGAAGGCGGATTGGTGGGATGACCAGCGCCGGGAGAATTGGGTCCCGCTCGACGTCATGCATCTCGTCGCCGATGTCTGCGGGGAATGTTTCCTGCAGCGATGGCATTTTGGCGAGGATACAGTCCTCAGTAATGGCTACTCTATCGCTACATACGCGAAAGGAATTACCAATGAGGAGCTGCAGAAACCAGAGCATACGTGGCTGGGACCCAGACCGGTACCGGATACGTTCAACCCTGGTTACGTTCATTCGATTGGAACGATAAGGGAGCCGCTGAAGCTTGAGGAGGAGAAGATTCAGTATATGTTTTTGGATGCCCAGTTGGTTGATGGGGGCGTGAGGCAGTATTATCTTCACAAGGGATTGGGGGATGAATTGGATACGCTGGTTGAGTTGTTTTGGAATGGGAAGGCGGAGAGGGCCTGATGATACGATATATTAGTACTGATACAGGCTTTACGCTTGGCAATAGGATTCTGCCTTCGGGCCTGCCTCGGGAGGTTGTCTATGTGGGGAGCTTCTGGGCCGGATCCTGAGGATGCCATCGGCTTCAAGACATCCGTAACGGCCTCCGCTGGGAGGTGTCGGAGATGAGCAGTGGTCGCGCGTCAAAGAGCGCGAGGGTTTCTGCAGCTAGGGGGGATGAATGAAGAGGAATTCGTGCTCGAAGATACAGATGCTCAAAATTCTGTATGAGAAGAACTCGTGTGGTGCGGCGTTCTTGAACCTGGTTGGTAAACCTCAATTTGCGCCTCGGTAAATTCCTCGCGGCGATGTTTTACTTCGCGTACCATGTACGTATAGAATAGGCGCATTGCCCCATATACTGTACGCTAGGATTCCGGTTGACCTATGATACCTTCCTTGATTACAAGAACTTATCTCTAAGATACTGACAACCCTCAAGCTGGGATACTCGAGTCAGTGCTAGATGACATGGCTACGTCCTGTTTGGTGTTTTCGTTCGGTACAAGCCAGCGGCATGAATAACGCTCCCGCTGCATTCCCACGCTCGACGCCGCCGCTTCCGAGGAATCCAGAGGACGTCATTACTTGCCAGTGGGTTTGTATGCCAGTATCGGCTAGTCGAATATCTGCCAAGGTCGGTTGGAATCCGGAGCCGAGGAAAAAGAAAAATGCGGTTGCGGGGACGTTTGCCTCACGGCCGACTCTGCTGCACGGGCCGATTTCTGGGGCAAGGGAGACTCAGATGGCAATTTATGCGTGCGATTCTGCTTCAGTATTCTGTTGATACTGGGCTGGCCTCGTCTAGATGGTTTTGAACCATTCGACCATGCTCTGTACAGTCGTTATTGCCTGAACCCGGTCTTCACCGGTTTATTCCCGCAATAGCTGACTTTCACACAATGTGTACAGCCCCCAGGCTGTGCAGTCTGCGGAAGGGCTCCAGTAACCGACTTGGGCGCGGACTCATAGGCTTGGTATCAGTATGTTGTCTGTCGCTGGCATCGTTGTCGTCCGCTGGTGCGTCGTCTTCGGTGGCTTCATTTTGGCTGATGTTCGCTTTCGGTGACTCTCCCTTTGTGTCTGCTTCGTCTTTGGTAATTGGTTTGTTGTTGGTAATAGTCTCTTCTTTGTTCTTTGCCTCGGCCTCGATATCGCCTTGGTTTTCGGTGTATACCTCTCCTTTAGTAGTGCTTGCGTCCATGTCATGACTGATCTCCATTGCGATGATTAGTCCTGATAGCGTTGGATCGAAGACCATGTGTCACGAGACAGATACTGCGTCCACAAGGCTCAGCAGAATCTCGGCAGATCATCGCCGGCAACAACGAAGCCGTTTTCGAAGTATGGTGACTCAGGGTCAGCGACGTATGCGTCATCGATAAACCTATAGCCGCAGTCCTCGTATTCCCACAGCAAGACAATCTCCATCACATGTCGTTTGAATCTCTTTGCGCTGTCATTTGCTGCCAGAACGGGTAAGGCATGACCTTCCCCTAGCTTCTCGAACGCATTGGCTGATAAAATTGGTCCACAGGAATTGGTGCGGACCAAACGATTCCCGTTGAATAAGACCTGACTAGCCTCACGCTCTATCTGTCTATTGGTACGGAGGATCGAAGGGTGGGATTTGTATCTATGATCCTCCTGCGGAGAGTCCTAATGGCTGAGTCAGTCAATTCTCAAGACATCAAGCACAATGAGTTAAGTACTACATCAGGCTCTTTGATGACAACCTTTCGTGTGCTTTACTGAGAATAGGTGCCGATATATAGTGTCCCAAAGCTCCCGCGGCGTAATCAGGAACGGGATTGACATCGGGACCAGAGGCAGGGTAGCAGGTTGTTTTGAGCGTCGGGTAATATCATCTGCACAGACCGCAGCCCAGTACTCCTCCCATTCATCCATGTTGCAATCGTCAACTAAGAGGCGTTGAGGGTATTGGGAATCAGGTTGCAAGAGACGTGGTACAGGTTGGAAGGTTGGAAGGTTGAAGTAGGATTGGGATCCAAAACCTTGGCAACGCTAGGATACATCCCTTCGGCTGACAGTTTTGAGACTTTGGCCTGCGGGTACATTTCTACTGAGAGTGGGCTTGGTACGCCTGCCAGATTGCCGGCCGAAGGGATGAAGCACATTAAGTGACAAGAAGAATCTGCGGTTCTTCAGGATATATGGCTAATTGAAGATGTCTGCTGAGAATTGTTGTCAAGAGTTGGTCTTAAAGGCTTGTTTGTGTGGATTTGTTTGCCAGTCTTCGGGTTTGTGGCCCTTACTGCGATCTGTCCTTGGGTTGCTACGACCTCGTCGTCGTGCGTTGTGCCGAGTGACCGCGGTTCCAGTAGCTGATCTTGATCAAGGGTTGCCCATGCCTTTTGACTTTGAGGAACAGAGCCGCGGGTCATATCGAGTTTGGATTCTTGGGAGTGGGGATGCAAGTCCTCCTCTACAGGAGAACTTGCTTTTCCAAAACACCGACCCAAATCACAATGATATCACTACTCTCTTTGGTTCCACACCCATTTGAGAATCTCAATGTCTGACTCGGGATCCAGGCGATCGGCCATATTCATCGAATCGTGTATATCCTGTTCCTTTGCCAAATCCAGCTCTCTCTTCTCCAATCCCTGCGTGAGCAAGCTATTCTCCGGCTCGTGCCGCAGCCATCTTTTTAAACGTCCTAACGGTGTCCTGAAGATGGTGACACCGACAGACCCTGTCATGACCACCCATACGGTCCCGCTCTTCCAGGATTTGGTATGCCAAGTGGAAGACCATGGCAATATCGTGCTCTCCTGCAGGCATATTTCCATTGTCTCGTTGCCTGTAAACGAACTTCTGGACTATCCGCGATAGCCATCGGTCAGCGGTGTGAACGTCGCCTGTTTTCAGCCAGGCCCAAGCTATCTTCGTCCAGGCGGTAACTTCGATATGCTCGTATGCGTTCCAGATGGTGCATCTGGCGTACGGCCCCGCCATGATCTCCGTTTCAACATCTCCTCTGTACAGGCTTATAGCATCATCCAGCTCGTTGAGCGTGTTTCAGAGTTCCGGGACGGACGTGGCAAAGTCTCCGCAGTCATTTTTGCTGATAGCTTCCTTAAAGCAGGTGAGCACATGGTCACAGGGCTCTTGGTTCTTTGGCAGAGGTTTGCTGATGTCGGCAATCACTTCGGCTTTGTATTTTTCGGGAATCGATCCTATGATCTGCAGATTATTCATGCTGTGCAGCCGACGGAATGGCTCAAGTAGCCTGCGCACTCGAGAACTCGTAGTGGCGATCGTGTTATTCATGCTAGCGTAGCTTCTTTCAATAGCAGCAGCAGTAAGTCCGGGACTCTCTGTAGCTTCATCTTCTCCGACCTTTGCCCCATCAGTACCAAACTCATCACCTATGATGAGCCTGAGCTGTATTGAGGCCAAACTTCCTGGGATGCCTTTATCCAGAAACCGCAGACTTCTGCAGAACGCAGGAAGCTCATCGCAGGTGATAACGAAGCGAGGTTTTCGACGGTCGCTGAGCAGTCCGCATTCAGACAGTAATTCAGTCCTCATGGCATGACCTTGGCTTTTTCTGTGCTTTTGCGCCTTGTGCGAGAACTGACCTCCAATTACCGAGGTCCAACTTCGAAATTAGGTCTTTGTCACAGCTGATGTGAATGAAAAGGTTGTTCATGTAGAAAGTCTGACTGGCTTGATTGTGGATTTGCCGATTGGTGTAGAGGATGGAGGTGTGGAGATGTTATGTACAGGCGCATCTCAGAGGAACCTGAAGGTAACCAGCCACAGCTGAAGGGGAGAATTGGGGATCACGATATTCCTTACAGAGCGCCGCTGCTGATACTCATGTTTGTTGTATACTTTGTTGACAGCAGGTAGGTGTACACTTGATCTCGCAATACCTGGGGCAATCGCAGAAAATCGGCAGGCTTTTCGTCAATCAAAGGTGCTAATGGCTTGAGATATAGTATCAAGCCTAAAGACATGGTAACCTTTGTAAATGGACCTTGCTCAGGCGTTGTTTAGCTACTCGAGCTAGGCATAAGGGAAATATTAAGGTAAGGGTGTCTGGAGCGTATGGCTACGGCTATGGCTGTGAATGATTGAACAGCTATATAGGGGCAAAGACAGTAGATATATAAAGAACACAGAGAAACACATGCAGGTGGGCATGGACCAGTTTAGGTACCCAAATATGCTTTGAAATCAGCCCCATATTTCCACGTCCTGCAGGAGGTGATCCAGTAGAAAGTAGGTGAAATCAGGGGCTAGATTACATCCCGAACATGAGAGTGTATCATCAGCAGCAGCAAATAGCCGAAATACGAAAGTGTGAGATTATCATCAGAATTCCAACACTAGACAACGGATCCGATGGCTGTTAGAACCGCTATGGGTACCACAATTTTAGACGCGGCAGCGGCAGATTCTCGTATCTTTTTCCAGAGGTAATCTGCCCATGAACGAGTGAACCGATGGATTCTGGGCCTAGACACCGGTTTCCCAAAAGGCGACAGAGCCTTACATGCGACATAGCCTTACATGGGACATAAGAAAGCTGCTGGGGAACATGACTTTACTCCCTGTCTTCGTCGCTCTCCTCCGGGCCAATTCTGTATTGCTTCATCCGACGTTGGCTGCCTTTTATAGTCAGATCATAGAATTTGCCACCGATCCTCTTTCCGTAGTTGGGTCCGATTGGCCCGACTTTGACAGCTTGGGCTTTGGAGTATGCACGGAGCTATCGGCAGGGTCAGCGGAAATGTTGTGAAAAAGGGAAGGCCATACTTCGGTAGCCCAATCCCAGTGCGTCCATGATCTCTCCACGCCGGCTTTGAGGCTCTCCAACGTAATGACTCCAACCCATGGCTTACTCTCATAGCTTTTCGCTGCATTCTCAAGACCTTCGCGACGTGTGCCAATTTCTGGCCTCGGCGTCCCGTCTTCATCGGACGTGGCATCATCTTTACCTTCTCTAATTTCGCTAATGATGTGGTTGATGCTGATCATATAAGGTTTGATCTCATGCTCGTCAGCTCGCTCCAGCACTGTTGCTTTCCATCCGTCCTCATTTGCCACGCACATCTCTTTCATATCATGCACGAAGTTCAGGAAGTGACCGAGTATCAAGGCGATGTTTCGGATATCCGAGTTTTCGGATTTGAAGAGGCTATTCTTGATGAGGATGTCGATGGTCGTCAGAAGTGCGGTACCGAAGAGCATCACGCGTTTTGCATTTCCCTCCGAGTCATCGATTCTTGAAGCATGTGCTGAGTATGTGCGATCGAGTTTCACGGCCGAATCACTCACCATACCACTGTTCAAGACCTGCTGGTCTATTCAAGAACAGCGCCATTCCTTCTATGATTGACCAAATGGCCCAGATGTCCTTGGTTTTCTTCTTCACCTCCTTGTTGAAAGCCAGGAACTATCGACGTCAATGATTGTGTCACCGTTGTAGTAGATACCTATAGTACGGACCATGTTCTCCATCACTTCGCAGGTTCCGTAGCCACTCCAATCACTGAAGATATGCATCCTGAAATTGTCTTGGTCCCGTTGGTATTGCTCCAGTCCCCAGTCCTTGTGCAATTCGAATCCTTTCTTTGTGACGATCCATGTCTCTGCAGGGTTGGCATCTGCGTATCGGCCACACATGCAACTCTTGTCCCACCCACACCTCTTGCCTCTGACATGACATAGACACATCCAAGTCTTTCCATCCGCGTCTCCAGGAACCTTGGCTTCTTTATTTTTCGAGGGCGTCTGTTGCTTCGAGGCAGGAGATTTTGCAGTGGAGGAGACCTAGCGTAAGGTGTCAGCTAGATTCAGCAGACGTGTGTGAGATCACTTGCAGCAGGTTCATTCTCATCTGCTGTCGGCTGAATCGCGTCGTTTTCCTTTGACCTCGCCTTTCCAGTGGAAGTTCTCTTCGATGCAGGTGCAACCTCAGCATTGGCGTCTGTCTCTGCTAGAGTCCGTTTCGAACGTGTCATGATGATTCACGATGCTCTTCGAAGTGATGGAAGATGCAGTGATACAAGTATTAGACAGGAAAGATCGAGATGTCGGCAAAGACGCGTGACGGCATGTCCGAGCGCCAAAGCACGTGATAATGTCTTGGCGTGCAGCTCCTTGTGCAAAGAACAAATGCGTGCCATTAGCTTTATGCAGCATGAAAACCTGACGAATTCCCAATCAATAAAACCACCCGCGTCTTTGATATAATGTCAAATAATGAAAAATGTTTGTGTGTCGTCGGTGGTGTGGTGTAATGGTAGCACGTAACGTTGTGGTCAATTTATTTGCGCACGACAAACCCGTTCCGATCCCGGTTCGATTCCGGGCACCGCCAAATCGGAGACTTCAAAAGTTGGTTCAAGTCCAGTTATGAGGGTTACTTTTTTTTGTTTTCTCCTTATTGAGAGCTGACTACATATACATATTTGGTCGACCTGGGCACTGTATGTATGGATTAGGTAGATCAAGATGGGTAGGACGCGAAAGAGTAAGCAATATTGTGGCCGTGGGGCCGTTTGCCTGTCGGATAATGTTCACAAATGATTTACTGAGACGCTCTCACGCTCTCCATCTACGGGCGACCACGAAACATCCGTCAACCTCGCCAACGGATGCTTCGCCATTCTTCCATCCCCCTTAATAAACAGTTCCTTGATCCAACCAATCCCTTTATCCCACCAAAAGTGTCTTTCTGGCCTTAATCCCTCTCTCTCCAAATCTTCTCGACCAATCGTCCCCATCAATATATCCAACATCTCCGGCCAGCCTTCCGGCATCGGATGTCTCGAAAACGTCACATTGGTGCCACAGCGCGCACAAAAAGTCTTCGTAACCCCCCCGGAGGGCTTGTAGTACTCAAGGACACAATCGGTCGGCGGCTCGAAAACACTGCTTGGTTTGAACGCTACAGCAGCGTGCACCCAGTTCCTCTCTGCCTCATCATTTGGCAGCTCGATGCGAGTCTTCTCGAGTGGTGGGTGGGGAGACGAGCGTGGTAGGAGCGAGATGCGGACGGATTGAGTGGGCATACATGCGCCAGCTAGGACGAGAGCGCCCGTGGCGCGCCGGCAGTCGTTGCAGTGGCATAGCGCGAGGAAGGATAGGTGAACTGTTTCCTCCGAGTAGGGATGCCATGGGCGTTCCGAGGCTACCGGGATGTTGATTTCGTAGCGGATGGCGTGGCTACGACAGCTCGGAGGAAATAGTTCCTGTTACAAACGAGAGTGTTGGAGGTTGCTGTAGCCACTTGAGTGCCGTACAAGATGGCAGAAAAAGAGAGATGCACGATGAAGCCTATCGATAGCGATCTACTCGGAACATGGGAGCTCGGAACGTCATTGATCGATTCGAGCGGCTGGGTCTTCCTTGTGACCTTTTGGATGGGATAAATTCGAAATGAGCCAGAAGTACGTATTCTTCATAGCCATCTCCTCCTCTTGACACTCAAATCGTATTTTAACATCAAGCTTATATATCAAGGTCACAGATCTCCTGGATTGACCGTCAGCAGGTTTCTCAACCAGGCTCCCACCCTTCCAAAGGCTTACTTTTCTCCTTCGCCGAAATTCCGTATAGGCTCCGACCCATATTTCTTGATCGCGACAGCTCCTTTTTTGGTTGGTGGCTGATATCGGACTGCAAGGCGGTTTCTTCTGATCGACTGCCTCAGTTTTGGCTAGCGAAGGCTACACGACAGTGAGTGATTAAATGTCTGAGAAGGCAGAATTCGTGCAGACCTTCGGCAAAGGCCTGTCGGAGAAGTGCATGTATTTAGCCTCTGTCATTATTGCGTAGGGATCCCACTGCTGCTGAGAGTCCTCTAGATACTTCTGGTGGTCAACTCCTCTGAACCCGCCGGTCAAGAGATCGTAACGTCTGTGGGGTAGGATCATCGCAGAGACTTGGTACAGTGCATTCAAGATGTCCATGTCATAGTCATTGGCTCCAGCATTCTCTGTGGCGCTCATGACGCGATCAAACTCGTATTCCGAGGGCTCCAAAAGGAGTAGCTGGGAGCTAAGAACACGGCCTTCGAAGCCAAGCCAATAGGCTGGGGGCATTTCTACGCATGCCGGCTCCAAAAGGCAGGGCTTGTCCATTGATTGAAGGACTGTCGAGTCGGAGTCAAGGTGAAGGACTCGCTGATATTCCGACTGGTTGAAAGCGAGGAGTCTTGTGTAGCTCTCAGGCCATGTTGCTGCTTCCGCCCTTAGTATCTCTGCCATTCTTGCCCTTGTGGTGGCTTACGATCATGGATTATCCTCCACTGGACTTCTATAGGTTTCAAATTGACCCTGTACTCATCTCACGCCTTCCTCAGGAGCCGTGCTTCGATACTGTCATTCTCAGGGGAGAAGAAACCTGACGGGTACATCATCAAACGGTCGGGCTTGCAACCCAGACGGTGCAGGCTCTCAAAGAGCATGACCGAGTTGCAAAGATAAGGCAGGTTCGTGACATATTGGACATATGCGAATTGTGACCAATCAGTATCCTTCCAAACCTTGCAGCCTGGATCTTTATGCTCGCTTGAACCCTGGTGTCCGGGCCAGCGGACTGGTTTTATGGTATCGGGTCGTGGTTTACCCGGTCAAACTTGCGGTGCGAGCAATAGTAGCAGCGCGATAAAGACGACGGAACCAAAGCCAACAATATAGAAGTGTCCGGACTGTACCATTACTCATTCTCTGGTAGAAGTTGCACAATAATTCGAGACTGTGCGACCGAGGAGCTCGAAAAAGGTGGGAATCGCACCAACAAAGCTTTTACGATGCATAGTTGATGCATCACAATTCTCTTGGGCAGCGATCGACTGGCGTAAGCAGAAAAGGGTCGGCAGCATGTTGTTCCGCTGTTCCAAAAAAATCGGATATGAAGGTTGAAATATCGTTGCGGGTGCTCCAGAAATGGATGGCGCGAGAGTGATCTATCCTCCTGCTTGACAGGCGCTACATCGACAGCGTGTTGTTCTGCTATTCCAATATGTCAAGTTCGGAAACTTGAGTCGACAATGGTCCGCTTTTACATGGGATCACTTGTCAGATCTAGCTCTCAAACTCTCAGACATAAGAAAAATGAAAGAGAAAAAGGAAAGCAATGTGACAACACATACTGTGAGCCAAATAACGAAATCCCCGGAGCAAAGAGGTTGTCTACAAGTATCTGCTTTCGAATAAGGGTTAAGAACATGCCTCCGGTGCGAATGAAAGCGGACGCAGGGATAAAATGTCAGTTGCTAAGTTCCGCACTGAGATGGCAGTCAACTAGTTGGGGAAAGTCGTTACCAGCAATGTCAGATTGTCGACGGTGTTAACGGAGGGATCGGGGAGATTCAGTATGATCTAATACGCCTAAGCTCAGCGATGTCCTCTGGACGCGGGATGCGTCCATTAAGACAGTGGGCAAGATACACATGTGGCATACTAGGTGCAGTTCTACTGACGGCTGCCGTCTCTGACCCTCCTATGACTGGTCCTGTCCTCTTCGCTCTCGCAGTACCCCCCATCATCCAGCCGATTGCCACCTGGCAGGACAGACTCACTGAGTGATTTTCAGTTGCCTCACAAACCCCAGACCAGCCGGGTTGCTCCCGAACCGAAACGCGCCACAGCTCTCACTCTCCAAATGGTTGACCAATCCGCTAAGCGCAGTGTACTCCCTCTTGCACCGCGGGCAATGATAGATAGGTCGCTCGTGTACGGGACTGGCGAGATGTTGGTCTAAGCTCGATAGCTTGTTGAATCATTTGGTGCAGAAGTAGCACCGGTAGAATGACCCGTCCCACGAAGCTTGGCTTGCGATATTGGTAGTTGCGGCACCTGCATCATACCATCCAATCTGTTTCTTGGTGAAGATGTGGCTTGGGTCAACCTCGCGGCAATATTGATTGATCTTCTCGCGTGTGATGCCGGATGTGCAGTTCCCGGACTCTAGATGCAGACAGACGCCGGTCAGGTTGGTGAACTTGTTTGTACACCAGGGACATTTGACATTCTTTCCGACATGTACCGATGACTTGAGGTGCTGGTGGCAATCTTGTCAGACGAAGAAATTTTCTGTGGACTGGAAGAAATACCTGGTTCAGGTTGTGCGGACTCTGAAATGATCGCTGGCAACCGTAGCAGTAGTTGGGGGGATGCTCTTCGTCAATGTGTTCTTGGAGCCCGTTTCTGGTGCTGAATATCCAGGTGCAGTCTTCACATTGATACCAGTGTTTTTTTTGCTCATGCTTCAAGCGAAGCTTGCCGTCATGCGTGGGCCATCGAGCGAAGCACCAGCGGCATTCAATCTCGTTTGCATGCGCGTAGCTATTGTCGAGGTGTTGCCGAAGACTCTTGGCTTCGAATGAACGGCCACAGCATTCATACATTGTAGGCGATATCTGAAGCTGAGGAGCAGTCGGCTGTGACTGAGTTGACAATGGTGGAATGATGTTTGAAGATAGAAGTGTTCTTTTCCCGGCGGTGCGCTAGTGTCTTGGCCAGGCTTAGCGCTCGAAGATGTTAACACATTCGCCGTCTATGTTATTTGTAGTGTGAGATGAACGATAGAAAGTAGAACGATCTATCGGGACTACGATCTTTTTGGATTGCTATTTATCAACAAAGCAATGCACGAACAAACAAGGTATTAGGCTCCTGGCGGATTCTTGCAGATAAGGAAAGCACTAGGCACGTCCATCAATACAAGGATGCAGACTGTGGCCGTCATGGGGCAGGAGCGAAGAGGTCCCTCAACACAGACAAAAGAGTGACTGCCACAGGGGCCGTCGGCTTTGAAAGAGAGAGTGTAGTTCACGCTGAGGTGAATGGTGGCATCTTCTGCGAGAGATGATCAAAGAGATCCGGCTCCTAGGGTTATTGACTATGTGACATACTGATTAAGTGATGTCGTTGACGAGGACTTCGCTGGAAAAGGAGAATTATCGAGTTTCGCGGTTTTGATGAAAGATGTCGAGGAAAGGAGAGACATAAAAATTGGAGGTCAGGTCAGTTCATGCTGCTTGTCCAAAGCGATAGAATCTCATATAAGAAAGTCGATGCAGACATTCAAAAATTGGGACGGCGCAAGTGGGAGTAATCTATCCGTTTGGGGCTCCATAGGGCGCAACTTTCACCACTACCACATTCGGAGATTCTCAACAGGCTTGACAGCGTCAGAGAAGGACGACAGGGAGAACAGAAGATAGAGAGCAGGACACGGTCAAACCGCGAGTTTTCAAGAAAGCCGCGAGCAACGTTGCTCCCGGAGGCCAAGGCCGAGCTCGAAACGAACGAGCTCGGTCGTAGCCTCCTCGACTATTAATGCGTTCGTCGTTGCATGCTTCCTTACTCCTTGGGAAATCATTGCCCTGAGGACTAGTTGCCTCGATGCTTCGGGGGCTCGATGTCTTATTATTAAGTTGTGAAGGAGAAAGATTTGAAGGAAAAGTATTGAAAGACGCGGTTATCACGGCTCAGCCTTCCAGCAGCTAATGAGCATGGTACGTCCCATTGATGAGCATAAGCATAGCCTGGTTTAGAAACTTGCCGCATTTACGCCGAGGAACGCTGCAACGTCACTTTCTTGGAACTTCGATGCCACTGTCAGGGAATGAACCGTGTATCGAATAATGATATTAGTGGTGTCATATGAATGGAATATTAACTATGAAGGTTGCTAAGTAACATGTGTGCCGAAGTCATCAGAGTGCCAAGCCGCCAAGGAGCTAGCCCGAATAGAGCCTAGCGCAAGTCTGGAGAAGGAATGCCGGTTGAAACCATGACATTACCCTCTCCCTCAAATGGCCATGTCCCTATGGTCCAAATCATGGCGACGGCGAGGTGGCAACAGCGAGACGATCGTCATGATCCATGGTGCACTGGCCTTTATGGCCTGAAGCATATTTGCTACCCCCTGAAACAACAACTTTGAACTTTTTCTCGCAGACACTCTCAGTGTCCGACCGTGGCATTGAGCCAAATCTCATGTAGCAGGCCTGCGGACGCAGGCAACAGGGGTATCAATGTGGGGCAATAGCCCGGGAAGGTGCTTGAAGTAATGGTGTGGGGTGCTGAGAGGTGGTGTGGTAAAAAAATCGAAATCGAATGAGGCCAATTCGTTCAAAAACGCAAAGTCCGATGATTTGCCGAATCGAAACTGATTTGAATGCGCTAGCCGCATGCGGCTAGGCGGAACGGTTGTTGCTGGTCAGGGGAAGGAGGAGAAATCCATTGCTGCTGCTGCAGGCAAGGCCTATGCCGTCATTGCTTCTCCACAGCCTTCTCCACAGCCTTTTCCTTGGCCATAATGGCCTTTGCCTCTTCAAACGACAATGCCTTTGAGGCCATGCATGCCTCAGTCTGATTGGGCCGGTGGCTATAGCCAAGGCATTTGAAACATCGGCCTTCTTTCTTCAGCTGATCCTTCAGCTGTTCCGAATAGGGTGATCGCTATAAGCCTGATTTGAACTCCTGTTCATCAATCTCTTCCACATCCACATGCATAGCCTCCAATTGACGGAGGTCTTGGTCAGTCTTCCGCAAATGCTCAACAACTGAGCGGAAGGAAGACGATGAGATACCGGCGATTCGTGACCGGAGCTTGAGAGTAATGAGTCTTCGTAGTGCAGCGATCTTGTGACTTTCGCTGTAGCCCAATGGCGCAATGGTAGCTGAAAATCGAGCATAGAACTCGTCAAATGCCTCCTTCTTTTTCATAGCAAACGCCGGGTCATGGAGTAGGGCGTCATTCTTTGCCAGCTTATCGTAATCACCAAACATGCCATGAAGCTCTAAAATCATCTCTTTCGTGGTGTTGTAGGGATCCTCGCTCAGTGGATCTGCTCGTGCCTTAAGCACGTCGAATGCAATTGACTTGCAGTGGTCCCGAATGTAGTCCATTTTATCTTTTTCACTGGGAAACAATACGGCACTTTGCCGAAACTTGGAGTCCAGGTGGAATCGCCACTCGTCCCACTTCTCTTTTTCACCATAGAAGTAGGGCACATCAGGGTATTTCTTATTGTTCCCGACAACAAGGACAGTAGGGACAGGTGTTCCAGTCTTGGTAACTTCCAATTTGATTGGTTGTTCATCCACATCGGAATCCAGAGGCTCTACTAAAGTAACCGTTTCTTCTTTGATAGTCAAGGCCTGAATTTTGGCCTGCAATTCCGTGTTTGTAGCAGTGAGAGTCTTTGCATTGGAACGATGAAGGTCCCGTGACTCTCGAAGTCGTGTTACGGTTGTGTTGAGATTCTGAATAGTAGTGTTGAGGCCATGAATCTGGGCCTGGTAATGCTGAATCGTTAATGACGATTCAGGACGGGTTTCTTCTTGATCCGAGTCCATAACGGATTAGATAGAGATCTCTCCACTGATGCAGGCAGGTAACAGGTAAGGCAAGCGAGAGATAGTCGAAATATCTCCCCGCAGAGGCAGGGTAGGCAGGCAGGCAGGGAATCGTCCGAATATCTCCTCCACAACAAGGCGATTGAGTAGTCGATATTCGAGAGATCCCCGCAGAGGCAGGGCAGGCAGGCAGGCAGGCAGGTAGGCAGGCAGGGAATCGTCCGGATATCTCCTCCACAACAAGGCGATTGAGTAGTCGATATTCGAGAGATCCCCGCAGAGGCAGGGCAGGCAGGCAGGCAGGTAGGCAGGCAGGGAATCGTCCGGATATCTCCTCCACAACAAGGCGATTGAGTAGTCGATATTCGAGAGATCCCCGCAGAGGCAGGGCAGGCAGGCAGGCAGGTAGGCAGGCAGGGAATCGTCCGGATATCTCCTCCACAACAAGGCGATTGAGTAGTCGATATTCGAGAGATCCCCGCAGAGGCAGGGTAGGCAGGCAGGAGCAGGCAGGCAACAATAGCTTAGCTCACGGCTATGTTGGATAGTTAATATTATGTCAGGGAATGAACCGTGTATCGAATAATGATATTAGTGGTGTCATATGAATGGAATATTAACTATGAAGGTTGCTAAGTAACATGTGTGCCGAAGTCATCAGAGTGCCAAGCCGCCAAGGAGCTAGCCCGAATAGAGCCTAGCGCAAGTCTGGAGAAGGAATGCCGGTTGAAACCATGACAGCCACGGCCAACGCTCAGCGGTGAAAGATATTTCGTCTTTGCTATAGCGCTAAGTCGTCCAATGAGGAGCTGGATCTTGTAACGGACTGACCGTACCATTGTATTCCGAAACCGTCTGCATTCATAGACACCTTACACTGAGCCGGTCTCATCGCATTTGCTATGCTTTGTCTAGTTCGGACATAAGTCAAGACATAAGTCGTTTTCTTTCTATGCATTCAGTGCATGCAAGCATTTTTTTGTTTATTTGGTATATTGGCACGGGCCAGCAGCAATCATGCTCCTTCGCCGGTCCCAGCTTGACTGTTTAATCATACTCCTATTCCAAGTGTACGATTTCTCCTTGCCACCGGAGCTGCCGCTTCTGTCATTACCTTTCTAAGTCCAACCGAAACTTCTGCGTTTGTTGCAACTTCAAACAGCTCCCTCTCATCATTGTCTCCAGTGTCGTCTAGAGCTCTCAGTTGGCAGGGCTACCTTATACGGCCAAGTCGGCATCGAATTAGGCGTCTCTTTCGGCATTATGCTTTGTGCGATCGTTGGACTCCTCCAGTTCCGCTACCATCGATCTAAGACTTCGCGGGCTGGCGAGCCAACAGAGATGTGCTCTGAGACCGAAGAGAAGGCAAAAGGCGGAAGCACTCGGGTGGACGAGAGACGCAGTGACGGAGTGGTACGTGAGTTGTACCAGTAGACCAGATTCCGTCCATCTGTTGTTGTCACTATTACCAGTATTTTAGCGAGATCGTTGTTGAAGTAGCGTTCGATGGGCGTAGGTGAGTTGACGAAACTTCATATCTCTTGCATCTAATCATCCTTGGACACTCAACCATCCCAGTCCATTCCATGTCCCATATCGCTCCTTGTAGCATGGTATGCCAGCCAACTTCGTCCACCTCTTTTCACACTTCCCTGCCCTACGCTCACAGCCCTGTCTTCTCTTGTCAAAACATCCTCTGCTCGTGCGAGTGCATCGAAGCGATCAGATTGGTAAGTGGTGCGCAGTTGGACGTCGCTATTGAACCTCGCTGGGAGTGGATGGTGTCCTAGACTTGAGCCTTCGGTAGGTTCTGGGTGACCGTAACTATTATACCTTGATGACTCGAGCCATCTCAATCCAAGGTCATATCCAGTGCTGGAGGACGACGAGCTGGCCTTTTCAAGAGCCGGAATTGGTATTGTAGGGGATGATGAAGCATTGAAGGGTGTGGTTTCGGGAGCATTTGCGGAAGAGGAGGGCTTTTTATCACAGGCTAAGGATACATGCGTGACATGTTCGTGACTGACTCGTAGACCGTCTTCCTCGTGGCTGTTGGGACCGTAGGAAGCTATCATGGTAGCAAGGGGAGGGCTGTCGATCTCTGGGAGACTTTGCGTAGGACTGACATAGCCATTGCGTGTATTCGTGTTGGTAGTAGGGGTTGAACTTTGAATCTCGTCATTAGAGTAAAATTTGTGTGCACTGATGTGAGGAGACTGGCTGTTCGATTTTGGTGATGTAGTCGCAGGGTTGGGGGGGCTGCTGTTGTTGTGGCGGACAGAGGGTTGTACTTCGGGTGTAGGTATGGTCGGTGATTCGAAGGACATCTCGGAGAAGTGGGAGGAGAATTTTGGTACCTCGCCATCATCCTCCAGCGGTATAGCAAGGAGACAGGGGCTCAATGGACCGCCGACGCTGATTTCATTCGAGCCTGCGTCCATCAGGCTTATATCCTTGGTTGTGTGACCTTCTCTCTCTCCAGGAATCTTGCGTCCCTTCCTCCGATTCGGCCAGTCCAACAGCTCCTTCAGTTGGGGATCATACGGTGGCGGCTGCTCTTCACTTGTCCCTTCTGGCGCAGGCGCAATGACCACCACATCCTTCGAATAGAGGCAAGTGAAGGCGACTGTCAGAGATTGATGACACACTTGTAATTTTTGATGCTTGTCTCTGACACTTGGATTGTCCCTGAAGACCCACATGACCCTGTGCCCAAATCGAATGCCATGCTTCGTTTGCTTGTCCACTCGGCAAGGCTCGACTAATTTCCCAACAGCTCGCAAAGCGTCCTCGGTGTCGTTGATTACTCTGTCGATCATCGTGCGCTCGCTGGTATTTAGGAGGCCGGCCTTGAGGCGCCGCAGGCGATGAGCTTCCTGGACCATGAAATCGACATGACGGGTAGTGCCAAGGAGGTCGGCGGTCTGTTCGTCAACAGCTTTGAGCTGGTAGGTCACCTCGAGGATCTTGATTGTAGCGTTGAAGCTGGAGCTGATGGCGGATAGAGGATCTGGTGCGGGGATCACCATCTTGAATCAATGGCCGAAAGAGAACACTGGGGACTGCTGGAGACGATGGGTTGGAAACAAGAGGAGCTTTGCGCTGTCTTCATCATTCAAGGACTGCACACTGTCATTCCTGCGCAAAAGAACCCTTTCGAGTGGGCAGCAGCAAATCAAGGCTACGACAGCATTATAGCAGAACCCCTGCGCGGACATGGTGTGGGGTTTCCGCCGAAGGATTCGCATAATCTCTTTTTGAGAAACCAAACGAAACGAATGCACAATAACGAAATTGCACCAGTCGAGGCTAGCTATTACTGCACGCAAGCTACAGACGCAGGCTTGAGGACCAGTAGTCCGAAAGAGGCAGGCACGGTAGGATCGACGGCGCAGCCCTCATTTAGTGATGCAGATGATTATAAATGAGTTTCTCAGCCGTACATCGCTGGGTAGCATTTTGCTGACGATCAGATTCCTTTTTCTCCAATGAACCTGTGCCCATATTCCCAGAGATCTTGTCAAAATCTCTCGGCAAAAGGATTACTGCAGCTTGCCCAAACGCTGGTGGTTCAGGCTTCAGGGTGGTTGGCCTCGCACTAGCGGAGTGTCCGGGCGCTTCGACGCGGGGTCATTTCCAGCCGCACCACTATTGAAACCACTAACGAGCGAAGCGACTGGAATGGGGGGGGGGCTGGAAAACTTAAACACATGGCAAGATGGCATCCCATGATCATCGCGTGGAGTCCTGATTCTTCCATCAACAGCTTTTGAGGGAGAGTTGCTAATGGTGCCATTACGACACCACCTTATATACCCCACGCAAAATCTTGAAGTCCAGCTTCATGCATCTAGTACCACCTGATTGACCATGACCTGTGATTCTACCAAACCTTGCCCTTTCTCGTCAGTCGCTTTCACCAGCGCCGGCGAGACAACGATCCTGCCAGGCCCCACCTCGCTGGAGGATGGCCAGTGGAATTGGAGGGTCGATGGCTGCGAGAATAAGAATATGCCTAAATTTGCGGCGTCTTCCAGGATCGCCGACAAGCTGCGCGCCCGTTCTTCATCCTTGTATCCTGTGCTTTTCCATGGCGCAAAAGCCTTAGCAAAAGACTGGACGGTATCATTGATTTTTTTGTCGCGCTGAGCCATGTAGGTGGCGTCATTTATAGGATCAGGTCGCAGGTAGGCGGTCATTACACGCCATCGAGACATGATTTGGGCGGATCCTTCGTACTGTTAGCGACTGTTTGACATTTCGTGATTTCGCGTGGGATCAAAGGGTACTCACCAGCTTTAGTAGACACACTAGACCTGGCCGATGTGATGGTGTTTGGCAGAAGCGCGTATTCGTTGGGGAGAAGTGATCGCGCAGGACTTGCGCTCGGCGAAATGGAAGAGGTGATAGACTGTGCGAGGGCGTGTTTCATGATGTTTACTCTGTTCTTCGAGCGCGGGAGGAGAGACGCAAGAGAAGCAGGCAGATATGGCGAGTCGAATACCGCCAATTCGGCATTGTCAGGCCTAGAGGCAGAGGAAGAGGAGTTCCGGTAATAGTTCTCGACGTGAAGCTCAATCTGGTCTAAGATTGCTTTCGCTTTTTGCTGTATAGTCCTGTCGTCCGCCGACTGAGGAAGATAATTTTCATATGTTCCAGATACACCGGATGCCTCGGTTGTGAATGGCTTCTTTGGTATTGGTGTTGAATCCTGCTGTCGGGGTGTATTAAGTTCGAACCCTCCGCTGTCTTTGGACGGAGGGTAGCGCCGCTTCCCTTTAGAACGTTGTTGACGACGCATGATCACAAAAGTTGCCAGGAATGTAAGTAGCGCTAGTCCCAAGGCCACCCCTACGACTATTCCTGCCACAGCACCATTGGAAAGTCGATTACTTGGCGAAGCTGTTGCACTTGGATTTGTAGTTGGGGTGAGAGATGATGAGGCTGAACTATGAGCAGTAGTGGTAGACTGTGAATTTTTTGCTTTTTGAGTACCGCCAGACGAGGTGGACGAAGTTGCTATACTGATAACCGATGACAACGGAGAAGTCGTTGGAGGAGTCGTTGAAGAAGTTGTTAATGAAGCTGGTGGAGAAGCGTTGACTTGACTAGTAGCTGGGGAAGATGAATTGGCGGGGGATACAGTAGATGCGTCTGGATTGGCGGTAACAGCAGAAGCAGGACTTGACCCTGCAGGAAATGGAGTGGTAGAACTCGTTGTTTGAGTGGCCATAATTGATTGTAGTAGAGTGGAAGGAAGCTCGAGCGTCGCGAGTGAAAGATTGAAACCGATGGCACCGAGGGGAAAGCTAGCTTCTTGTAATTTTCGAGGCTGTACGGGAACAACGTAGCATTGCCGGACAGCCTGGCCCCCAACAAGCAATGATTGGCCATCGAAGAAGGACAAATGTACTCTAGTCGATTGAGTTTAGATCGATACTGGCGAATTCAATGCCCTCATAAGTGCAAGGCTACGCCCCGGGCGGATTAAAACGAGGCTGAAGGATCGTTTCAAGGCTGCGCTATTGATGATGATCAACTCAGGTGCATTAGCTATGCAACCCATGCACGAGCGGGGCTTTTACGGTTTCGGCAAAGATTGCAAGGGAGATAAGGCTGTGGGATCGTCGAATTATTGTTAAATAAATTTGTACAGCGACGTGGGGGGGTCTCACATTTTCAGTGATAGCGCTGGAGCGAAGCACATTTGCGAACGAGTGAAAATATCCAGGTCACTCAAGTCTACTTGCAGCGCGCGCCTTAACCATGGCGAGTGATGGATGGGTACCAGAGATTGTGGTCGGAGTCGATTTCGGTATGACATGCACAGGTGTGTTCGCTCTCCATGATACAGTGTCGATGCTAGTCATCAGCATTTCTCGGTCTACTAAAGGCTTTTGGTCAATTTAGGCGTCGCATATTCCATGGGCCCAGATTGGGCAGAACCCAAGACTCTCCAGCATTGGCCTGGCAAGATGATTAACGAACTCGCAAACAAAGTACCAACACTGCTGCAGTACAAAGAGCATTCTCGAGAAGTCAAGGCTTGGGGCTTCCTCTGCGATCAAGAAAGCGAAGACACGGACATACTTGCCTGCTTCAAGCTTCACCTAGATCCTGCATATGTGGACCCAAGGACGGACGCTCCCGTTCCCACACTCGAAGAGGCGAGGGAATGGTTCCAAGATTATCTTCACTGTTTGCACGATCACATTGAAGAATACTTCTCCAACGCTTTCCCGCGCTGGAAGACTCAGCGAACTGAGTTTGTATTCAGTGTGCCGACAACTTGGAAAAGCGCGAGTATGATTGCCGAGACGGAGAGGCTCATCAAGGCGGCGGGGTATGGAGAGGATGGAGCCAACCATCGAGTCGGGATTGGACTCACCGAGGCTGAAGCTGCCGCTGTCTATGCTTCGAAGCAGCAATTTGAAGTAACCTGGCCGGACTTCCCAATCGATGAAATAGCACTCGCTAACACATTTTTCTTAGAAAGACGATGTGATACTGGTCTGCGACGCTGGTGGAGGGACCACGGTATGACGTCAATGACGACATGGTTGTTTCAGTGGTTGTTGACAAGAAACCTGGATAGGATGTGAACGTACTACAGTTGAAATCTTCTAGGGGGGAACCGACTCAGCTTCAGCAGCTAAGCTGGGTAGAAGGACGCTCGATAGGGTCTGCCTTGATCGACATCAACTTCCACCACATCGTCACGGATCGACTGAACAAGATCCGAGACTATCTAGAAGGCGAACCTGACGACATCGCTGATAAGATGATGCAAGGCAGGTTTGAAAGGTTTAAATGTTCCTATGGCACTGCGGGATCTTCTGCGATACCCACAATACCACTGGAAGTGCCTGGCCTTCGGCCTGGAAAACATTTCCTCAATGTAAATATCGAGGATTCAACTATGAGAATTACCAGGTATGTTACCAATCTGACCGATGAAAAGCAGGTGACGGAGTATTGACAACATTCAAGGGAAGAATTGAAGAAGTTATTCGACATCCAAATTGATCGCATGCTTAGTCTCATTAATGAGCAATTTGACAGGATGCAGAAGAAGCTTCCGCGAACGCAAATTGTTGAGTGATTTGGACGGGTGTCAGAGACTAGAACTCGTGCTAACACCAACGGCAGTCTTACCTGGTCTTGTCGGGTGGTCTGGGGAGCTCACCGTATGTCAGACAGCGTTTCAAATCCTACTACGAGACAGGTGAGGGATCAGAAAGACCTAATGCCCAGGAAACGAAGATCGTGGTTGTTGCCGAGCCGTGGGTTGACCCGTTATTGCTTTATGTCTGTCTCGCTGACCTGGAGATACAAGCCAACTTGCTGTTGTCCAAGGACTAGTAATGGACCGAATTCAAACCATCGGCCGCGGAAACATGATCTTCAAAGAAAGGTGCTGCCGGGTCAGCTACGGTGTGCGATGCCGCGAGGAATACCAACCCGATAAGAACAAAGCGCACGTAGGTCAAACGGTAGTCTTGGATCCGCGAGATGGAAAGAAATATGTGGAAAACCAGATCGACTGGTTCGTGAAACAAGTAAGTAGTTAATTAATTATCCAGCTACTAGGGAAGCTAATGAAGACCGATCTCCAGGGAGAGAATGTTCCCAGCGATGGTTTCTCGAAGCCATACTGGTTGAAAGTCAAACCCGGCCAGGAAGATCATTCGTGGAAAACGAACATCATCATGTCGACTGAACCTCACGAACGACTTCCTACGAGCATGAATCAAGATGGTGCCAAGGTCCTATGCGGTGTTGAGTCTGTGCTCAGGGACAAAGGGGTGGACATGAAACTGAAGAATCGGCATTGGTACAATAAGGGCGAGAGATACCTGCGCGTCAGATTCGATATTAAGGTCATTCTTGGCGCAGCCGACCTCAAATTCCAGCTACGGTCCAAGAATAATGTTGTACTCAATAACGACCATGACGCGATCCAGGTCAAGTGGGACCCTCCCCAGCGAAGTCCGAAAGAGGATGGGGATGACATGGCCATGTACAGAGAGATATAGTCGGGTAGTATAGCACCGAGAAAGATGCACGTCGGTGAAAGCTGTACAACATGGGGTACTGTATTCTGGCCAGATTGTTTGACCTCTCGCAGGTCGATTTTCTCTACAATCAAATTTGATCAAAGGGCTCATCTTCCCAACTTACTTACTGCATCCATTGCGTGATTCCAGCTTACGGTCCAAAGATTTCGCCGCCGCGCCACATTCACTTCGACCTTGGTAGGGAAAATGCTGAGTGCAGCCAGAACATCTTTGTCAGTGGACACCACGGGATGTCGCGTCGTCAATAGCTTGAGCCCACTCTGATCCCTGTTCTCGACCTGTGGGAATCCTTCCGGAGGCCTCGAGGCATCAAAAAAGAGCAAGAAGTACGTGTGACCCTCTCGGCCCTTCAAATTGGTGTCTTTCCGCTTCAGCATTTTGGCAAGCTAAGCTAAATGTGACCTAGCGCTCGACTAGTTTTCCCTCAATCATTCCTTAACGGTCAGAATGGCAACTTGGATGAAACATCGGATTGTAGCCAGCGAACTTGTCTGCTGTTCGTCACTGATATGCTTCTACCGCGAGTGGATTGCCAATACTTGTCTCAAACATTCCCTGGGTGACCTCTACATTTGATTCCAATGCATTCGATGCAAGGGTTCATTACTCTGAATATCTTTCCTTTTGTGCTTATCATGTGACAGTAACAACTGCCACTTAGAGTCTGACCCCTCTCTGCGTTGAAGCCTCGTCTCATCCTGAATACCAAGGGTCCTCTTTCCACCACCGCCCCAACACCTGACGGCAGAGATGACCCCGAGCAGGAGCCCTAACGCTGTCTTTCAGGTGCTTCCCTCCCAGTGAGTAACAAAATGAAATAACCACCGATCGCAACCCAGCCACCCATGAAGTCATGCTCTTGAGTCACGCACATCCGCGCAATCTCTTGAGCGATTTCAGCCATGTCAATCCTCGGAAAATTGACACGAGCGTAACTCCAGCCAGGTGCGAGAAAGACGCCACACGAACGAAACGACCAATTCGCTTGCGATGTCCAGATTTGGGGCTCCCAGGGTTCGCCTCCCCTAATCACACGAGAGATGGCACTGCGGCAGTCGGTCGGACGTGCAATTTGATGTGTCTCCGGTGGCACAGCCCATCCCGGTGGAGTGTTGTCTCGACCGCATTCGATAGCCCAGGATCCGACCGGAGATTCGCTGGGTCTCGGGGTTGTGATGCTGGTATTGAGGTGGAGGTCTAACAAGGTCAGAGGATCGAGGTTGCCCGCTCGAGAGGACACGGAGCGTCCGGCTGGTTTGGGCACTGAGGTAGCAATCATGCGATTTGGAGGAAGAGCGAGACTGCTGGCCAAAAGAGTGCAGCCAATGCCCAGCATGGCTAGCGAGGATACCATGGCTCTGTTACCTGATAACGTGCGTTGACGAGGTTGGCACTGTGAAGAGAAGGTATTGGCTCTTAGCTGCGAAGGCATTTCTAGAGGTGCAGAAAAGGATGGGGACACTTTTCCGTGGATTAAGCGCTTCAACCGGCCGCTCGTGACCGCGATGCGCGTTCCAGACATATCACGTGGTGGTCTCACTCGTCTGGGCGCGATATCTCATACAACCGGTTATGCAAGAAGAGAGAGGCGAAAGCAGAGAGTTACAAACCGGCTGAGTCTGTTGGGTTTAAGGGCAAGGAGTTTGAGCTTTGCGTGGGTTAAGGCGTACGCGAGAGCGATCGCGAGTCGCTACGATGCACGTCCAAGGCCTTCGATTAGCCGCATCACTTACTCGAGGTCGATTTGGCCCGAAAGAATGGTTATCGAGCCGGACGTGCCATCGTTGAGAGACATGCCTGGGCCGAGTATTGTGCCGTTAACAGAAAGATGTCACAGCTAAAAGCCTTTTTTCGATCATGCCTCACAAGATTGTGCTTGGCTCCAGAACTCGATTGAATCACGTTGTATCTTGAGCATGCATCTTCGTTGAACCATGGTCTTCATAATCCCACAACAGTTATCAAACATTGTTGGTATTGAGGGTGAATGGCCCACTATGAGCTCACTCATAGAATACCCGTGGTTATCGGACCTCTCCAACATCGAGCGGAACAGTCAATGGCTCCAATATGTGAAATCTGATTCAAATACCCATCATACTCCTTAAGCCACGTATTGTTCCACAAGAAATGGATCCCTACACTCGAACAATCCCAGTCGTCCTCGACAGTCAAAAGCGATCATGCTTAACACGGCTACTGGCTTGAGGTAGTGAGGAGCTCCGGCCCTCGCATGATAACTCATGTAGTTTCTACTCCCACCTGCTCAAACATAAGTGCAAGTGCAGTACCTAGTAGGAGCTTTCACTGCTCCGAGCGGTGTATCGTTATAATAGTTGGGTGTAAGCCACAGAAGCTAGGAAGTAAGATTGTCTACATCTTGTTGTGGTAAATACGGATAGGGAAGTATTTGAATTAGGGGCATATACTAGAATGGTCACCACTACCTATTTGACAGTCTTATCATCATCATTTCATTTTCTCCACATGAAATGGTGTATGGAAGCAAATGCGGACTTGATGCAGAGATGCCGAATAGGTACTCGATAATGTCTTGGCGAGGGGGCCATTCCCAGATCAGAAGGCTAACTTTCGTACCTGACCGAAGCGAGACAGACTCTAAAGGACCCTAAACTCTACTAAGCTTATAGTGGGCCCGCTACGGCCGCTTTACCCCTGGCGATCCCCCGAAAAGAGCAATGCGGATTCCCGTACCTGAATCTCGGAGTTTTGGGATTCTTTACCTGTATTTTCTTCCTGCTAGACCATCTTTTACTTGGGTGAGTTGTGTGAAAAAACCAAAGTTAACACTCCAGTATTTCTGGGGATGATATTCATATACATCATATCCTGATTGTCAAAGTTCAGTCAGGGTTGGAAAAAGCGGTAAAGGGTTGGTTACGGTAGATCTCGGCGAATTGAAGCTTTGGATCGCGCGTCAAACCGCCACCAACTAAAGTAAAGTAAAGTGACTAAAGTCAAACTAAGGTGGGAAGATGCCTGCAAAAAGCCGTAATCACCCCTGCCAAGACTTACTTTAATCTCAGACAATAATAACCTGCATTTACCCCTTCTCTTTTCTCCTTCTTTTCCTGCATCTGATTTTGTTGATTTTTATTAACTTATTCTCTTTCATCATTTTTCTCCCATCTCGCATATACACACATTATTCTACTTTACTCTCTTTTACTCAACCCACACACTCGCTACATAGCATAACTTCACAGGTCACTCGTTTCCTGTTGCAATTCTCATCATCGCTCTTTTCCCCCACCATTTACAATAATACTCCTAATATCTTTAATTCCAAACATTCCCCAAGAACGCTCACCCACCACAAACAATCAAACATGAAGTACGCAGTTGCTCTCTCCGCTCTGGCAGCAGCAGCCACCTGTGTGTCTGCACAGACTCCAGACGGATGCTCTTCAGATTACACCGGCTACTTCGAGTTCAACCCGGTGCCTATTTCTGGCGCCTCCAAGCGTGACGTCGCTCCCTTGCACAAGGTCAGTCCTGTCTCATCCGATACAATCAAGAACCGATCAATGCTGACATCCATGTTAGCGACAAACGCAGACCTGCACATCCGAGCCCTACAGCACCCTCAAAGGCGGCGTCCTCACAGACCAATGTGAGCGGACCGGTGAAATCGTCGCCAATGCCCAATTCCAGTACGATCTACACCTACAAAACAACGCCATCAACACCGGAGGCTTCTCCATCTGCACCAACAACACCCTGGCTATTGCCGGAAGCGCTGTCTTCTACCACTGCCTGAGCGGCACCTTCTACAACCTTTACGATGCCAGCCTCGGCGCCCAATGCTCCCCAGTCTACTTGGAGATCATTGGATGCACTCCTCCGGCCGATGCCGGCTCCGACTGCCCAGCCGGCACTCCTACTTCCGTCTCTTCTTCCACCTCGCCCTCTTCCATTTCGAGCACATCCGTCGCATCCGTCCCCTCGAGCACGTCAGGCACCTCCCCCGCAATTACCCCCGCTGCAGTCGCTGCCCCAGCAAATGCTGTCTTGGTGGTCTCCATGCCATACACCTACACGTCCAGTAACGCCACTGCATCGGCCACCGCTACTGGTACCGGTGTTGTTACGCCAGGAAGCACTGGCACGGCCAAAACTTCCCCCATTGCCTTCCACGGCGGAGCCGCCAGCCTCGCAATGGGCGGCAAACTCCTGGTTTCGGCCGTTGCTATCGCGGCATTGGCTTTTTTGGCTTAAGTACTACATTGGGTTTGACGATGGAGTGGGGGAGAGGGCACTTTGGATTCATTTTCGAGGCATTGCATTTGGGACATGTGACACGGGTGTCACGCATGGGGAAGGGCAATAATTTGCGATAATAGATGAGACTCTTGAAATCTTCAACCCATTTACCACGTTCGTGCCACGCGCCTATTCGTTCATTCTCTTACTGTGTGCGTGTAAGCACTTTTCAGACACGATGCCTTGAGGCAGACATTCTACTTACTCTCAATTTCATTCCAAGCTGTAGCGCTCCACATTGATGATACCTTCCTTGGTCTCTCCGGGCCTTTGAGCAGCGACCAAAGGTAAACAAACATAGCACGGTCTCTCATAGTCATGGATAGCACCACATCGAAGATCCCTCGATCGCCGCATCCCGCTTCACCCCTCCCCAACTTCATCAGCAACGCACAAACAAGCTCCTCGGCACCCGCATGCAGATCCTCACCCTTCGTATCGAAGACGACGGCTTGCTTCTCCAACCAATGAACTTGCCACCCCCCTTCATCGCCCAAGCACGACACTTCGCCCACCCGAAGCCTTCCAAAAGGAAGCATCCTTCTTTCACGCCATACCTAGGGACCCCAAACTGATCTCCCACGTCCTCAACAACACAACCATCACCACCTCCTCAACAACACAACCATCACCACCTCCTCTCTACGCCCTGCGCATCCCGCGACCTAGGGCGCCGGTGTACGTACGCAAAGTGCTCTTGACTGGCCCGTCCGGAGCCGTCGTCCGAGGCCGAGGTGGGTGGTGTACGTGTGATATTCGAAACGAGGACTATGCGGGAAAATTGGCTAAGTATGAGATTGGTGGCGATGCGTATGTGCTTGAGTCTTGCATATGGAAGTCGAAGAGGTGCGAGAGATGGTATTTTTGTGTGAAGGCCCTGGATGGCAAGAGGGGGGGTTGGCGGTTGTGGGTGAGAGGTATGGTGCCGGAGTTGAGAGGGGTGCTTGAGAAGCGGGTTGCTGTGCCGATACTTGATGGTGATGCTTCCGTCTTCTTCGACGTTTCGATATCGTTGGGTCGGTCGCTGATTACAACGTTTAGTTGTTTGTCTTCTGGAGAACAGGTCTGTCAGGTTCTTCACGGCACATGGCGATGAGAGGCGGTGCCGGCGGATAAGTTTTAGTATCCTTGATGGATCCTTCTTTGCAGATGCCTAAGTTCGATGGCGCTTGAAGTCCCAGCATCGAGGATTGAGGACTCGATCGCCACGACTTCCTTACGATAGGTGTCCTCCCCCTGGAAAAAGAACCTTGTGCAAATCCTGTGCGGAAGATGAGCCTATGGGTTGTGGATGTGCAACATAATGCCGGAGCTGAGAAGGGAGCTTGAGAGGAGAGGGTGCTTAATGTATGCGGACGATGCTGCGAATCCCCATGCACTTTTCAAATGAATGTTTGGTGGCGTTTAGAGACCACAGGGGAAATACTTGATCACTTGATGCCGCCTGTGTCACACCCTTGACCAATCGGATAGGTACGGGTTTGGACATTAACAGCACATCATCAAACTCACAGAGTATTATACATTCTCTCCACATCATGATTGGCCCGGAGTGGTTGCCCCGTCTCGCAGGTGTGATTGTCTTGCCTCCCTCGGGTCCTCTAATCTCAAAAATCCCCGACTTTCCTGCTCTTCCCAGCTCCTTCCAAAAACCTCAAGATACCACCCAAACCATTCGACTACCGACAGAACGTCCCCCCCCTCGAGAACTCGGTCTCTATGCAACCTGATCTTCAGGCACAGATCGACCAAGCATTATTCGACTACGACAACATGGCGTCTGCCCCACAGCTAGAAAAATTGCATCAAATCTTAATGATGTACACACAGGGGGATGAACACGCGGTGGAGGGGATAAAACTGACATACATTTGTCTCGTAAGCAGACATGCCAGCGGAACCAATGTTGGAAGTTCATCGGCCAATGACGCCCTCAATAGTCGTCCGCACAAGCTAAGATCAGGGAACTCGACCTATTACAACAGACGTTGCACAGGTTGCCGGCTCCGAAAATCGGAGACCAGTTCCAAAAGATCAACGACGCCTTGATGGAGCTCACCAGACTGCTCTTTCCAATCGACCCGGAGATGGCTTGCGAGTTGGTCAAGGAGCAGTATCGCTGCGAAATGCAGTGAATTGAGTCTTGTGCTTTCGCCGGGATTTCGGCTGTAGGGGTCCAGCCCTGGCATGCTTGGGGCGTGCGTTTCATTCGTCGTGTTTTTTGATCTGGATCTGGCCGTATTTTAAACTTAGATCTTGGACAATACAGCACAGCGCACTCATAGATCTCGGTGCGTTCACATCACGTCATGGTCCGGTTGACGTGATTGCCACATCTCGCAGGTACCAAGTATTAAATCCTCCCCGTAGCATATAAAACCCACTCATTCTTATGTTCTAACCATACATCTCAACAAAGTGCGTGCAAGGAGAAGTCCAACAGACAAAAGCAAGTCCATTATTCACGATTCCTCCTCATCATGCCGTTAGATCCCGAGTCCATGTTCTTTGATAGAAGGGACCCAATGCTATCAGAAAAGCTCGAACAAGTGGAGTCCATGCTACTAGCGAAGCTTGAGAGAGGGACTCCAGAGATATGGAAATTCACCAAAGGCGACGAAGAATTGACCGAAGCTCTCAAGAGAATTATGGCTTCCCTCGTCAGTATCCTTGCCACCAGACTTTGTACAGACAGGGGACACGAAGTTGACAACCACGCCTCCGACAACAGTGGCTGGCGCAGGCCAAAATCCACGACGCCGTCCGCATCCACGAGCATTTCCAGGCTCGTGGCAAGTTCACCGTCGGTCCTCAAGAGGTCCGGCATCAGCGTCAGAACACCGTCGATGCGATTGATGAACTCATTCAGCTGCTCTTGGGAGTCAGGTTTGACCCTGATAGCGGCGAGTGGATCGCGATCGATCTGAAGCTGTACGCCTCACGCGCTCAAACTCGGTATGCGAATGATGAAGGGCGGGGAGGAGGGAAAGAGGAGGAGGAGGTGGAGGCGGAAGAAGAAGGAGAAGGAGAGGGAGAAGAAGGAGAAGAAGAAGAAGAAAGGGAGGAAGAAGGAGAGGAAGAGGAGGAGGAGGAGGAGGAGGAGGAGGAGGAGGGAGAAGATGAAGACGAAGATTATGAGGAAGAAGAAGAAGAAGAATCGCCGGTGGAGTAGGTTGAGGTATCGAGATGTAGGAACATAGCTAGAAAGCTTCAATACTCGGGGCGCCGCGCGTGATTCACAGAAGTTTGCTCACCGTGCCGCCTCTCCTGCCGAATGCTATGCCTGTAATCGACGCGAAAAGATCGCCTAGACCATTCAAAGTGTGGAGCGCTTTCGGTGGAAATTACAGTATGTCTCTGGACCATTGTTGTCTCCCACGGGTGGTTTTCAGCAGCTGCATCCTCGGGCGCAGATTCTGGATTGGTTACACGTGTATTCCAAATCTCGAACAACGCATGCTTGCCTAGTCATTAGATCTCACCCTGTCCACGTCATCCTTGTTTGCGACATCTTACATATCTCGGCCGTTAAAAGAAAGAGCATAGAGACGGCGTGAGAGAGTCCCCTGCCCTTTCAATCCTCACCATAGTTCACCCGAAAGCTCGAAGCATCATTCGCTTACCATGACTGCTGACAGTGAGTGGCTGTACGGGGGTCCGATCGAAAATAAGCCGGCTTTAGAGATATCACCACCGATCAAGAAGCATCTTCAAACAACCTTCGTAAGAAACCCTTTCACCAGGAGACCTCGGCTTCGCAACATCTACGGGGAGTCAACTAATGCGCCCCAACAAAGCATGAAATAAACTTCAAGTTCACTGAAGTCAAGAACATTGTCGACGAGATGGCGACTTCAGGGGTAGTGTTCAAGATTCCAACCGTTTTCAAAATGCAGCTCGACAAAGTCAAGGAGGCAGTTGATGAGCTTCATAAGGTATTCGCCATGGACGTGTACGAGGTGAATAAGGAGCGCTTCGTCAAGTCGGAGGAAGGAAAACCGTAAAAGCAGATAGAGGAGAGCCATTGCGAGAATAGAATCAGCGATGCTATCGCTCGCCAAACTGCAGTTGCTTGCCAATAAAAAGGGCTCGTGTCTCGCTGAGGTTCGGATCTAGGACAGCACATCAACAGCTCATAAATCGAATCTCGTCCACGTCACCACCATTCCGTTTCGCTGCATTCGTAAGCTCTTTCTCGCGCCCACACCTGAAAAGGAGTACACATATATTACATCCCTCTTTGCCTTCCGCACCAGCTTCCGAACATTCTTCACTGACTCGTGCAAATTTTCCCCCAAACCCAAGCTCCAGAATACCATGTCTCGAAGTGATAATCCAAGTCTCGGGGATACGGATCCCGAAGGCATCCGCAGCGCAGAGCAAGACGAGGTCCAAAGAGGCAGGGAAATCTGCGGGGCCCTTGTGAGTACTCAGTGGGAAGCATCCGTCGTGCCGATTTCGATGTCGGCTGACGCCCTGGACAGAGCAAAGCGGATTTTGAGCTTCGCAAAGCCGAAGACCTCTACTATGCCTACAAAGATTTGGGGCTCTCGTATTCGACCATGCATGCGTCGGATGTCAAGAAGGAGTTTGAGTTCGCCAAAGATTATATGTATCTTCTTATTCAAAAGCTCTTTGGGAATTCGGAGAGGGGTTGAGTGAAGCCGAAACACAAGACCCCCCTGTAAGACTAGGTCAATGATCATGGAGTCAGTGGAGCATGAAGGCTTCGTGTGTACTCGAATTGTCATGTTTTGTGGTCAACTTGCCCGTGCCTTTCGCCTTCACCAGAAGGCAGAATTCGAAAATGGCACCAATGATTCTCGTCGTTAACGAAGGATTGAAGGATTGCTGCCCAAGGTCCACATCGATTTCCCAATGAAATAGTCTTTTTTGAGCCACAAAATTCTCAGATTAGATACTTGATCTCGGGGATTGTTTCACTGTCACTGGTATTCGTGGAAGGGTTTTTTCTGTGCCATTTGGTTACCAAAAGTCTACCGTAGGGCCCACTCGCGCAAAAGTAATAGTCTTTAGACACGTCGAATAGCCTAATATCGAAGGAATAATGACATTGGCTCGATGTGTTACCCTTTGCCTATCAAGTTAGATTAGTGAACAGTGGGAGCGTAGATGTGATAGGAACACGAGTTCGCAGGTCGGCGGCTATGCATGAACAGCATGATGGAAGAATCTTGCATCGAGGCGTTCGTTCCCCACGTGAGCCAAGTTCCCACCATCGACGACTCGCGTGGCATGGTAGAACAATCCAATAGGATCGCCGCAGCCAGGAAACGCAAATACCCAGGTTGGGACGCAAGAGCTGTACATGGCGACCTCATCGACCGGTGCAGTCGCGGCCAGACCATAGATCCTAGGATCACTGATCCCAATGGTGAGTATCAGTCATTCGATCTGGTGATGATGTGTGTGAGTCATTCCACGCTAGCAAAACCTGTCTTCCCGACTACAGATCCTAATAAGATGGTATGCCTGTACATATAGTTGGCTATAGACTCCTTTTTGACAGTCGAGGACGCTTCAAGTGCCATTGGATCAAAGGTGCTCGCAATTGCTCTCGACATCCTCGTCGGCCGTCTCGAACACGATCGTGGATATCGAAAAGTTCTTTGGCTGCACAAACCCGGCTTCGGAAGCTTTGCTTGAGGGCTTGCTTGACGACATGAAGGAAACAGGGTGTGGTAGCAGAGAAGTTGTTGCGGCCTTGAAGGAGATTGAGATGAAGACATGGCTGTAATTGAGTTCAAGGCTTCAAGAACGTCGAGGTGGAATTATTTGGGCAAGCACAAAGGAAATATAACAAGTCCTACATGGTGAGGGCGACGAAAGTGAGTATTAGGTCGGTGAGTTTTGGCGACAGATGTATGAACGGAACGCGAGAGACGGTCACCATCATGTCAGAGAGACACCAGCTTATCGACGGATGTTATTAGCAACCTAAGAGGTGTTCAAGTCAATAGGTAGATCTTATTACACCAGTCAACCTAGTGGGTACCAATTCTGGTTTCTGCAAAGCCGGAGAGGGCGCTTTTCATGAAACATAGCTTGTGCCTCTGCCCGATGCCGCATGATGCGGCTTGATCACTGCAAGAAAATGTGACTGCTTAGGTATGCTTGAGTACTGCATGTATTTCATGCGCTACTCATTGCCGGCAACAGTGCTACGAAGGACCAAGGCGCTAAGGAACAGTCACGTGTGCAGGCGTCGGATGAGTCACGCTGCTCACGCGCTTCGCGTTTTTCCGCCCACCCGCTCAATCCTCCTCAGGCTAATTGTGCTGCAGCAACTATTCATCAACAATCCCGCTCGCTACGGACTACAGCGTTGCGGCTGCTGCTGCCACGGTCCTCATGAATATCACGATGGTGTCATCTATGGTGGGCTTACAACTTATGAAGAAGCATGGACACGTTGCGACTGCAGCAAGCAACCCCGGGTATTCCACCATGAGTCGACCGGAATGAACTTCTGCGGAGACAGACGCCATTGTCGACGTTGCGCCTGCGCCAAAGAGAGCTTCCAGTGACAAAGCAAAGCAGCACAACGCACCATCGGCCACACAGAAGGTGAAGAAGACTGAGGCAAGTTTCCCTATCAATGCCTGTGGTATGTAAAGCTGACGCTTTGCACCAGGCTTCCAAGGAAGCCTTGCCAGTCCTTCAAGACCAAACATCAATATCAAAGATTGCCCAATCGAACGAGGACAAGAAGAGCTGGGTCTATACCTGTGAGCTAGAAGACGATACGTGTGGGAACAAAAATACTTGCGGACGTGGGAAGTTGGAGGATGGAAATACAGCACATAAGTGGGTCGTGACGAAGAAAAAATATGAGCTGGCAACGAACTTGATAGGTCAGAAGGGAAAGCGTGTCCAAGACGCTTTCGGCATGTACATCTTCAATGACTGAACTGGGTACGGTATCCGTGAGACCATAGAGAACATAGTACGCGTGGTGTTGGACTGTCGTCGTAATGTCCTGGGCTAAATAGCAAAGCTACTCGCGTTCAAGGAGAAGACCAAGAAGAAGGACAGAGATCCATGGGCAGTGTGGTCACATGTCGAAGGCGTGACGCTTTTCCTCAATGATGGCATAGCGGAATGCAACAGTATGCGGCCCGAACCATTGGCATGGAAATCAAGCGAATAGCTAATGTTTCTGCGTAGTGTTCCATGACTCCGAGGGAAATGCAAAGCGCTCCATGCTCATCGGCACCGCTCTTCTAATCACACTCGAGATCGTCGGTGACAAAACGCTGTTCAAATATGATCTTTCGGACATTCGCAACGCCGGTCTTGGCCTAGTTCACCTTCTATATTTCGTGCACAGCATGAATTGGCCTTGCAGACTTAACGACAATGGATGGAAGTCCAAGGTCTTGGAAAAGGCTGATGGTTATGAATTCGCCATAGAAGGCACATCAGGTATAGAGAGACTACTCGCAGACATCCGAGAGAAATTGCATAACGAACAATCAGATGAAGACAAGAATGAGCAGTCGACCGATAAGGATGATCTAGACGATATCACTAACTGCACGCTTTGCTATAAGAGCAAGTCATGGGGCGGTGTCGTCACGTTGAAAAGTCTCAAGCTGGGACTGTCAGTGCGGAAACACTGCAACTGTGTACTGGAGGTACGATACCAATCCGAGAGTCTTATGTGGTGTTTCTGTCATTGACGCTGCGCAGTTTGAAGGATACTCTCGGCTCCAATCGGTCAAGGTTGGGCCCGGCCAGGGGCCTGTCTATGGCGGCAGGATTGGAGGGAAGTTCTATGACTTGACTGCGCAGCGCAAAAAAGGGGTTCATCTGAAGCAATATCGTCTTAACGAGGGGGCGTGGTGAGTGGGGGGTTTTCCGCAGTGTTTTTGAAGGGCTGAGAACTGTTTGCTTTGCCTTGGACGCATCTTCTATGTCTGTAGCAATGGTCGTATAGCTTCGTCGATCAGTCCAACATAGCCCATCGAGACGACCAAAGGAACATCGCAGAAATATGACAGACAGCGGTTGCGATTGGTGTGTGCGTCGACTGATGCAACACGCTAATACATAGCCCAGTCTCAAGTGGGATGTGGAACTTCTAGAGGGCGTTCGCAGATTTGCGGTGGGCACGGCGGGCGCTATAGATTGACACTCCCCTTGCCTTGTCTTCGCCGTCCGCCACCGTGTCCTTTACTCTGATCCCTCAGAACAAAGTTCTTTTTGCAAGGAGTTAATCTTTCGCTTATGAGCTGTGAGGAGGCCATAGTTACTGGAGAATAGTGAGAGGCATGTGTCAGAGCATTTGTCTAGAAGCCTTCGCAATACAGCCTATGTTGATGATATGAATTCCTTTATTGCCATGCCTAGACAGTGGATGCAAAAATCGATACCGCTGTAATAGAAGGGTCTCAAACGTTAGAGAAACGCTTCCCTGGCTAGATGCGTTCATAACGATGTGGCCAAGAACCTGCGTCACCCATGATGTCAGTCATAATCGCAGTGATCCCATGATAATTATACAGTCTTTGGTCGCATGTAACCTTTTCTTATTGAACATGTGTCTGAACACCACTCCCAATGCTTTTTAGAACAATGTAGATACAACGAAGCATCTCTTTTACATCCCGTCATTGCTAGCTGTCGCCACCTCTAATATCGCTGCCCCTCCAGCTCGGCCTGCCCCATCCGCTGCTTCGAGTCCCTCCAGTGGTTCCAGCGCCTCGAGCGCCCTAGATTGTACTCAACTCACTCCGGCGGGGTCCGGCAACTACATTGTCAACCCTGACCAGCGGGGTCAAGTTTCATCCCTCCAGCGATGGTTCGCTATCATGGAGCGCTCAATGGAGTTGGTCTGAAGGAGGTACTAGTGTCAAGAGTTATCCTAACGCGGAACTGAACAACTGGGAGTGCAAGCCTCTGGGCTCGTACAATAGCATCAATTCGTCATGGACGTGGAAGTAAGCAATGTCTTGTTCCTCTCTGCCTCTCTGGCGCAGCTGTGAACAAGCCAAGAGATCCATCTTCTCGACGAAGTCTGGGTCAGTTACAGTCCCGACCCAGTCAGCGCCGACGTCTCTTATGACGCCTTCATATCCACCGGCTCCTGCGGCGCCGGCCACAAAGCAGAAATCATGACCTGGCTCGCTGCCTATGATCCAACCCCCATCACTAAGACAGATGCCAGCCCAAAACGCAATTCCCGGCTGGAACTTGTTCGTAGGCACGAACAAACAGACCAACGTACCAGCTTATAGCTTCGTGGCGCAAAGCTCACCCATAAAGACATATAGTGGCAATATGATGTCGTTATTCACGTATCTGAAACTGTGAAGCTGATTGGTGGGACCGAGTATCTGCGGGAAATGCATGCCAGGACGGAGCCAGCGAGCGGTGATAATGTAGTCTTTACCACCTCCGCGTTCACGCTTTCGACTTCTTGAGGGAGGCCAGCGCCTCCGCAGTCGGAGGATGTCTTCATGAACGGGGCTAGGAAGAAGGGATGTCCAAACTTTGTCCAAGCGAAAAGCACCTCTGGCAAACTTACATGCGCATCTGTGACCATGAAATGAAAATCGTTGTGCATCTGCTACTTCTCGAATGGTCCGCTGGACTCCGTCTCATGATTGCTCGGAGCCCCAAGGGAGGAAGTGCCCCTCGTAGAAGGTTTGAAAAGTCTGCTACTTCGAAAGGATGTTGTCTAGGACTTTCATATCAGCGGTTGAGCATTTTGTCTCACCCCAATGTAGAAAACCCAGGCAGGGTTGCACGATGCAGAAAATCAACAGCTATGATCGTGTAAACTCCCATTCATGCCTTGGTAGAACTTCCGACAACATTCCAAGCAACAAATCACACAAAGTTTCTCCAAAAAGAGAATGATGAATCCTTTGTCCCACTTCTAGAGCTACTTGTCTCACTCACACTCAAAACCTGCATTCGAGCCCGGAACGACAACTGTGTTTGCTGTGGCACATATACTCTGGATCGAGCTGGCCTCGATCCTTGTACTCTGTCAACTTTTGCATGAGGAGACTCGTTAATTATTAACTCACATCTCACATGGGAAGGAGTTTTCGAATATGGAGTATTCGTTGGATATCAGAGAGAGAGATGCTGCAACAAAAAGACCTTATCGATGACGGTGCTGGGCATCTAACCGGCTACGTAGATGTCGAACATTCTGTCATGACAGACATTGGTGACGAATCTTCTTATGTCCTATAAGTCTGACGGTTCAACCAAGAGTGTTAGATTTTCCTATACCTGGGGAGACTCGTTCAGACATGTACGGAAAGACCAGGGTGACTCAGATTGTGAAAATAGAATATTCCTAGGAGATCGCGGCAGGTTGGTGAGACCGATGACCCTCAGGGTGAGAGCGAAAGACCACAAAGCACGTTGCAAAGAGCTCGTGCAACGGGCATCTTCAGGGTCTCGGAGCTGCTCTTGGTTTGGAAACTTGACTGCGAATGTCGATTCACCCTACCTCCTTGAGATATTTGAATGCTTACGCTGCGTACTCACGACGATTGAGGGGATTCTGTCTGTCCAACCGCGCACCTTTGTTTGAATGAATTGTAGATTGCTTTAGGATTCAGAATGTAGAGTTAGTTATCACGGTCGCGTTGTCAACAATGGCCGCGCTACTGCTAGTTTCGCATATAAACCCGCAGATAATGTCCATTGGGGCTGCTCTAATGAGAGGCGAATGCGACACGTTTATGCGACACATTGGACATGATCTTTTGGCAAGCGGATCTTAGATTCTTTGGGCTACCGCTTTTCAGGCAAATCGTAAGTCGACGGACCGGGCCCCAAAGTCAAGCACGGCAGGATAAGGTGGCAAGCGATATCATTGCAATTTTCGAATAAGTAGACAGTTTTCCTGAGAAGAATTCAAGGTTAAAAGCTGACTTCATAAAGCAAAAATGGCTCATCCATATTTCCGGCAATTGACCGTCGTGATCAGTCTTCTCTCCATAGTTAGGACTACGTCTTCGGCGGCCCCTAGACAAACGACAATGGACACAGAAACATGTCCGGGAAAGACAACAGACGACTCAATGTACAGTCTCTTACCGACATCGAGGTTCAATCCAAAATACAGCTCTTCCTTACCGTTGGATGATACGTCCAGACCGCAGCTCGACGCCAGAAAACAGAGCAGGCTCAAAGGATCAACAATCAGCGAAGAATACGGTAACACACCAGAGCCACCCACGAATGATCTAATCGCCCATTCATCCTTCGATCGACCGAGGGAGATTCCTTATAGATTCCTTGCAAAGCGCCAAGACTGGCTGGAGCGGCTCATAATGTACAACAGCACCGTCATTTTGTTTTTAGCGTTCAATGCCTTTGTGCCAACATGCCCCCAGCAGGTAGATCGGCTCGTCAAACAATATGCCGAAATCGCGCGAAAGGCGGCACATGAATGGTCGACGCTTACACCGGTTGGGACGCTGAAGATCAAGTTAGGAGTAACGACATTAAGGCTCGAAGCCCACGGCAAGCAAGGCAACGAGACAATCCCTTGGGGTTTTGTCGAGGAACTGGCATACAGAATGGGCAGAGCTGCAAGGGCTGGGTTCGACGGATTTTTTGAAGCGGTCGGTTTAGGGGTATGGTTTGGGGCACCAGTTGCTTACGCTGTTTTCCTCGCCCGATTTGTCGGGCCTCGCCAAGACCGTTTGATCCCAAACTGTTGGTAAATACCTGGGTATGCAGTTACTGCTATAATGAGACTTATCACTAGATATGGTAGTCTTAATGATGTCTAAGGAAGAAGGATATCTATGTACAGAGAAGGCCTTCATATACTAATGACTAGGCCGAATGAGTACTAGTGGTAGCGAGTGTTGAGTTACCGACACAAACCTTATTGGTTATTAAGTGACGGTCTTGATCTGTGATGGTGCAGCGTCTCTGCAAGAAGGTCTCGCTTGCCGGAACAGGTGGCTATTAGACAAAATGGGTACGTAGAAGGTCGAGATCGAAGCTGTGAAAGGTCTCAAATCAGTAGTGAAGTAAGAATAGAAGCATTCATCGCATCAAGCTGGTCTACACAGATGGCACTCACAGGAAGGACGAGGTCGTGGATTGTATTTTCTGCGGGAGACAAGAACATTCAACACTACAAAAAGCGCTCGACTCGTCTCACTCTGTATTTTGTAGTAAGATTGAAACATGCAAAGAGATCTGAAAGAACAGAAGCGTCGCATCAGAGCGTCCAGGTTATGCGAAGCTGGTCTTCAGCTTTATTTACCATCTGTTCTATTCTAAGGTACTAGAAGACGGCCAAATGGAGATTGCGAATAGACACAGTGGCTGAAGATCTGATGTGAAGACGGGAAGGGAAATCTGTTCCTACCACCTCAGCGAACATGGCAACATACTTGGACTTCCCATGCAGAGTATAGCGATCGTGCGTTTCCTGGAGCTGCTACAGAGAGACTGTTGATAGGAGTGGAGGGATTTGGTTGATTGATTGATTGATTGATTGACTAACCCATAATGGAGGGGCTACCCCGCGGGCTTCACAGGCGTCAAAGGCCCAGCGAGATACATCGCTCCAGGGAAGATAGAAACATTTTGCTATCCAGTCTTAGTGGCCCCACGCACTCACGAATTATGGAGAGACTTGGACTCGAGAAACTAGAAACGAATGATTATAAATGGTGCTAAGGACTACGTAAATTTCTCACGTCTCTATAATATCCTTATTATCATCGATAGAGATATCGACATCCCAAACCATAAGGCTAGAATCTTAGATGTTATCGTCTTGGCCGGTGACGCAGCACTTCTCCCCACACCACCCGTTGCACTAGGAAACGACGTTGCGATAGCACCACCGCTAGGTAAAATACCCGTGCTAAAAGTATAACCCGCGCCTGACACGGTAACTGTATTCACGACAGGGGTTGCATAGGCAAAGGTTGATGATCCAACAAGCAGACCATTTGAGGCAAGCGAAAGCCTCGTCCCATCTGCCGTAATTGCGGGGCCTCCGATAGCAAGAGTAGTACCGTCGACCACAACTGCCGTGCTGCCCAGTGGAGTAAATGTCTCTCCACCTGCTGTGAGCGCATTATTACTCGTGTTGCTAGAGCCTGCGGTAGCTAGAGGGATGGTAGATGTGCCAACAATAAGGGAGTCAGCTTTATCGATGGAGTATGTTATTCCATTGATGGAAACGGCTGAGGATCCTGGAAGGAGTGTGGAGTGCCCAATCTCGAAGCCTCCTTCGATGCCCGGAAGAGCTGTCAATGTTTGTGAACCGATTGCCAGCAACGACGTTGGAGGAGCAGGAGTCGAAAATGGTAAGCTTGAGGTTCCTATAACGACGCCAGATGGTCCGAGAGACATGCGTGTGCCAGAGATCATGACAGCTTTTCCACCTTGTGTGAGAGCCATCCCGCCAAAATAGAAAACCGCTGCACTCTGCAGCGAAGGCGTAGGGTTTGCAGTAACTGGCGTGTATGTCATGCCTCCTATCATGATCGGCTTGGAATCTACCTGCGCTAATTGGGGATTGGGTTGGTCTATCTTGGTGTGGTCATTGTTGACTGAATCATTGGACTGCTCTTGAGAAGTTGAAGGCTCCAAATCCCCTTGGTCTGGCGTATTGGCCGGTGACTGTGGCGTTCCAGACTGAGAAGTGGGTGCTACTGGTGCATATGTCTTGCCACCTACGACTACTGGCCGAGCTTGGGGCTGATCCGGCGCGGTGTCCGATCCAGTAGATGGTTCTGATAGTGCTGCTGAGAATGTCAAACCGCCAACGACAACGGGAGAAGGCGCCACTTGCGCAACCGGACTTGGCGATGCCGGTTGGAACGTCAAAGTCCCTGCAACAACGGGTTGCGCATGCGATGGCATGGCTTGCGCTTCCGGAACTGGTGCTGCTGAGGTGCCAACAAATATAGATCCGGAAGCGACTCGGACAAGCTGTTTGCTTATGGTGATTGGATTTCCATTAGCTGGCACTGTCTGACCCTGCACAAGGACTGGAGCATCTGTGGGCGCGGGGGCTACAGCTGGCGCTGCTGGCTCGGATTCTACCTGCGAAGCATCTGTTCCTGATTGAGAAGCCGTTTGCTGCGTATCTTTCACGGGTTGAGAGTCTGTCTGCTGCGTATCTTTCACGGGTTCAGAGTCTGTCTGCTGCGTATCTTTCACGGGTTCAGAGTCTGTCTGCTGCGTATCTTTCACGGGTTCAGAGTCTGTCTGCTGAGTATCTTTCACGGTTTGAGAGTCTGTCTGCTGAGTATCTTTTGCTGCTTGGGGCACTGGCGATGATACGGACTGTGGCTTGCTCTCGGATTCCGATGGGGCATGGGAGGTCGGTATTAGGGCGGTCGCAGGTTGGAGGGCTGCTGGTACTAGGGCTATTGGTCCTACACAATCTCGCACGCGCAGATATGCAGCGATCCGTCCGCGGAATATCCATGATCTCTTCAGGTCAGGACCGCAACCGTTAATTGGCCCTGCCAAGGTTCCAGTCTTTCCGGATCCAGGGGTTGTGTCGTTAGTCGCTACTGTCGCACTTTTTGTGGTGGAGAGTTTAGCTGCTACAGGTTTCTTGACTGCCGGAGCGGCGCTCGACACGGATATTAATGTTCGAGCTGATGTCGGTCGTTCTTTCTCGTTGTTGACAGGACGTGACAAAACCTGGGAAGAACTTGGCACTGAAGTGTTTGCGGCCAATGTCGACTTGAGCAGAGGCTGAAGATCATTATTGCCAGCATTGGCTTGGAATTAAAGATTGGACGTCAGCTATAGCCCTTAATTGAGAATGGAAGAGTTGTAATTACCGTGGGCTAATGATATAATTAAAGTAAGTAGAAGCAAAGGAACGAATGGAAAAGGACACGCTCGTCTCATAGTGATAGTGATAGTCGTCGATAAAGACAGTGGCTAAAAGAAAAGGTGATTTGTTACATATGATCTAGAGGCGACCTGCCATCATTTCCAAGACCATCGGAGTACTGAAGAGAATGGCAGTATTGTCAACATCGAACTCTTCCGGGGAGATAATGTAAGGACTGAGGTATAGAGTCTTGAAAAGCTGAGAGACGGATCAAATCTCGCTGGTTTTCACCGATCTCACGAATCTTGAACATTGTACCCTGTAGCGGCCTAGATGTCAATGTTAAGGGAGAAATTCCAATTGGTCGCAGCTGTTTTAGAGTTGTGAAAGCCATCATCTGGGGTGAGTTTATTAGGGGCCGAAACATGCTTAGCGAGGGGGCGGATGGCCTATCGAGCCTTATTAGGCCTCAAGAGATTGCGAGGTCGCGGCGTAGCAGCCTTATTCACCATGCTCATTCCTCGTATTCAGGTTTGCTAGAACCAAAATTGTCGCCTCATCCTGGCTCTCAATCGAAATAAGTGGATTAAAATCAGGATCATGATAAAGGCGCTTTCCTTCTCGGGAATGAATAGCTCGGAGGATGCTGGAAAATGGAAATTCCAGTCTCTACTGTGAAAGGCCTGCGGAGCACTCGCGAAGCGAGCAACGAGACTTTCATGCTGCGCTTCCGGAGTAGCAATAGATTTGGTAAGGAGACGTCTTTGATGAGATTGACATCGAGGTGCTTCGACAAAGACGTTTTCTCAAAGGAGTATCCAAAGTCTTAGGGTTTTCAGTACCAAACGAGGCCGACATCAATCACGAGACCTAGATAATGAGATCCTGTCGTTGTCTTCATGCACGATGCACGATGCACGATGTTGTAGCGGAGGAACATGTGGACGCCACCACATGGCTGATACTTCTTCTAGGAAGTATGAATGACGCCTGTAGTATAATGTAACACCTCTGACAGTGGCCTCACTATTTGAGCGAAGCGAGTAGTGGGGCGAGGGGCTGAGGTTACCTTCAATCGGCTATGAGTACCATCATTCCTTAGAATGGCCGGTGCTGGCCTTGGAATTAGGGTGGTGCTAACTGCTACTTAATTACGGGAGCTATCGGCAGAAAGTTATCCCTGACTGAATTTATATTCAGTGTCTACACTATACCCCCTTTTATCTTCTCACTCTACGGTCTTATAAGTGCGGCTAAGAACTTGAATGCTTACGCTTTGAATTCGAGTCTAGAAAAGTTAAGTGAGATATCTTAGTTTAGCTCTCAAATGCCGGGAGCTATCGGCAAAAAGTCATCCCTAACTGAAATCATATCCCGTCCAGTGCCCACATCGGGGGGGCCGTACAAGGTTCTACCACGCCTAGCCCGCTCGCGACCTGGAAGTCGGCTATATCCATGTGCGTACTCCGAGATGACTCCAGCCACCACTCCTATTTGTAAGTGTCACCCACTCTTCTTGGACCAGATTAGGTTTGGCCAAGATGCTTCAGACGTAAAAGTTTAATCCATTGTCAGATGCAGTTTCAAACTCGCGAGTTGGACCGGCACAGATGGTGGATGACTGTTGCTGTCGCTGTTACTGACTTGTTCACCAAGTCGCTGACATTATAGAAATCCCAGCCTCGCTTATCGACACCTTGTTGAGGAGCCTAAGATTATTATAGGTCCGGTATTCGACGTTACAATAAGGCCACCTAAATTTCGTAAGCGAAATTTGCTGATGCCCTCCAATTACTTTTATACTTACTTGTTCTCACTAGCGGTGATATGATCTCCTTAAAAGCCGACGCGGTCGTTCTCGGGAGAAACAAGTTCTCCATTTGCTGGAAATACTCCTTGCAATAAACAAGGAATGTTGTAGTTCCGAGGTGGCATCGACTTGCTTCCTGTGCGGCACTGCATCCAGACCTGTCCCATGCAGTAGGTGCTGACAATTGTGATATCTGAAGCGGGACTACGGTAACAAAGGGTGAGAGTAGGCTGGTCTTTGGGTAGTAGCAGTCCTATAGGGCGTTTGGTTCACGTATTATGTTTTCATTATGAGAAAGGCAAAGCAAAGAGAGTGAAAATAAGGTCATTGCAAATTGCTATTTTCACTATTTGAAATCTTCTGGTCATAGCTGTGGGAAAGCAATATAGGGCGACTCACCCTAGAGGGCTGCGTAAATCAAAAATCAAATAATACTGAAAAGAAGCACATATTTCAAAACGGCGACAGAATCACTACAGAACGGTTCAAATACAGCATTTCGAAGAAGTCTCCAAACTTTCTGGAACAGCGCAATGAGAATTAGCACTATGTCAACAATTGCCAGTGCCCTTACAACAGGTCCTCAACTTTTGCATTTTTTAGCCACTCATATGAGTTCACCGATGTTTCTTCTGCTTAGAACGCATGGACCACCAAGTTGAAGAAGACGAAGTCCTCGAGGGTAATGAGCCGCTGGCAGAAGGCTGTCTACTGGCACCACTGCTGCGCATGGCCTTTTTGTGCTTCGCCAACAGACTGGTGATTTCAGGAGACTTCCTTAATGCATGATTGGCTGCACCTAGTGCATCATGCCCACACTTGTCTTTGGCGTCAGCATCCGCCCCAGCTTCCAGCAGTATGTGGACCATGTTCTCAAGTCTGGACTCTATGGCCGCGTGCAGTGGCGTCCTCTCCGCGATATCTCTTGCTTCGAAATCTGCACCGGCGGCTAGCAAGAATGAGACCATCGAAGTGTTCCCCTTTTCGATCGCATGGTGTAGAGGCGTCTTTTGGTAGCGACATCTGGCGTTGATGTCGGCGCCGTGAGTAAGCAGCATCTGCGCGACGCCCTCACCAACCCGATTTGCCATAACCCGATGCAAGGCTTTCCATCCGAATTCGTCTCCAGTGTCGACATTTGCGCCGCTCTTCAGCAGAAATTCAACAATAGCCTCATGATTACCCTCGGCAGCGCAGATCAGGGGCGTACCGTTGTTAGGACTCCTAGCTTCAATATCCGCCCCCTTTTCAATGAGCAAGCGCACCATTGCTTCTTGGCCCTTAGTAGCCGACCGTAAGAGAGCAGTCCAGCCCATGTCAGCATCAGAGGCATCGACTTCATCGTAGTCGTCTACATCACTGCCTAGTCGAGCTAGTGGATGCTTCTTGGGCGAGAACTCCTTAGGACTTCTCGATTCGATATCAGCACCCTTCGCTAGAACCGCCTTCACCGTGGGAATGTTGAACATGTCCGCTGCTCTGTGTAATATGGTCCACCCGGCTGTTGTTGCGTCGACTTGGGCACCTTTCATAAGGAATAGCTCCACAATGGACAAGTATCCATGATTCACAGCGTGCATGAGAGGCGTTATCTGATCGGCGCATCTTGCTTCGACGTTGGCACCTCTTTGGAGCATCAATTGAACTAGCTCCTCATCCCCAGTTGTAACCGCAGATATAAGCGGCGTCTCCCCAGACTTCGTTGGCGCGTTGATGCTCGACGGATCGACCCAAACGTCCGGCGCCCACCTCAAAGGGGATTGATTGACGCGGTGTACTTCGTCTAGTTGAGGTTGCAATGGCATACTACGTCTTTCTGACTTCTCAGGCACTTCTGGTGCGGCGCTCTCCGCTCGGTAGACTTTTCGTAGAGCCTCGGCCGTTTCTGTCTTATGCTGCAGTTCGTAGACACGGACGAGTAGTTTGACGGACTCAACGAGTAGCCTATCGTCCTTATCCAGCGATCTCTGCCTGCCCAGGTATGCTCTCTTGGCAAACTTCTCAGCTTCTACTAATCTGCCCTTCTCCTGGTAGATCTCAGCCAAACAATGATAAAGCCTCCACTTCCTATCAGTCTCGCCTTTCTCTTGCATCAATAAACGATTTACGAGCGACTTCGCCTTGTCCATCTTCTTTTGTTTCATGTAAAGATCCGCTAGGATTTCGTGCATTTCAGTCTGGTTGTCATAGGGTATCCCTAACTTTCTTTCCCTCTCTGTCAGATACTCCATTGCTCTGCGATGCGTTTGTTCTGCCAGTTGGTAGTCACCCGCTTGCTTTTGATTATTGACTTCCTGTCGTACAGAGAAAATGAGTTCTGAATAGACCTCTGGAGGAAACCTGTCTTCAAATTCAGGCTCTGGATCGAAGATGGAATCGCGATCAGAATCCGAGCTACCACGATGCTTGGCGTTAATGTCGTCCAAGTGAAAAACGATCGGCGCTTCCACTGAAGGCTTGGTGTTCTTGGATTGATGAGCCACAACTGCTTGTCTCTGAATGGCAGGTTTTGGAATTCCGTTTGGTGCTTCCAGTAGCTGCTTTCTCTTTTGCAATCTTGGATCCTCAGGTGGCTGTAAATCCTCTTGTCTCTGCTTTTCTTGGTTCGATGCAGCTGAAATCAATTCTTCAGCTGGTGAACCTGGCAGCTCGCATGGCAATTGTCTAAACGGTGATTGGACATTCTCGTGCACTGTTGTGGTCGTAACATTCATGATGACCTCGGCCGAGAAAATACAACTGTCAACATCGTAAAGGAAGGTTTCCTCTTCCACGGGACTGTGTTGAGTGATGTTCATACCAAGACCCTTTCGGCACGATACTGAGTCCTTCAGACTCTGGATTGCCTCGGATAAGTCCTTGTGTTGAAAGTAGATGCCGTCTTGTGGGAGCTGACTTTTCCACTGATAAACTCTGTGCAATGTCAGCAGTGGCTCTGAGGTGTGCTTTTTCCTCCTTGGTGGTTACAATTTGACGGTCTGCAGTGACATTTGTAGTGTTTGTATGTAGAAGCCAATTCTTGCCCTGAGCGCCAGCACTTCCGAACTTTGCATGCTCCTAAGGGCTTCTTTCAGTTCATCCTGTGAATCAGCCTGACCGACTTTCGGTCGCAAGGCTGCAAGGATTTCGCAAAGCCGAGAGAGTGTCGTCCGGCATTTGGCAAGTAGGACCTCTACGCTGGTAAAATGCTGCTCCTCAAACGCCATCCGCGGCAACTTGGCTTTGAACACTCTGTCAATCAGATCTAGGAACTTCCGAAGCGTCCGCACTTCATCGCAGAAAGCCTTTACGTCGTTGGCAGCATTCACGAAGCTCCGCAGCGTTTCGAGTATAACATCACACAGGTGCGCGATGGCTGGATCGCCGACCATTGGTGGGGAATCCATGACGATGAGAGTCATCGAGACGAATATTGTTTTGTTGTTGTGCAATAGATGAAAGGGCGGGTTTTAGGGAACAATGGGTCAAAGGCTGAAGCGTCCGGTCTGACGATGAGGCTTGCAGCCGGCTACGTATGCTTACATCTGCAAGGCCGCCCAGCCACCTTCCTAAATCGGAATCTTGCAGAACACTGCCTTGGCGAAGCCATTAAGCTCTACAGTCCTATTGATAGATCACCGCTATAGGAGGCTATGAGTGCCTCGCTAGATATAAAGGAAGCGCTTTCGAAGGCTAGCTACCAAATCTACAATTTCACGTCGCTTGCTACGCTAACTCAAATCATGAAGGTCTCTGAAACTTGTACAGTGGGCGTAAAACCACATTCCTGCGTAGTACGTAATAGCGGAAGGCCCATGGTAGTACCTCGGTGACCTGGTATCGCATGTGTTGACGAGTTGGAACTGCGACTGGATCCCACATGTCAGCTATGCGTCACCCAAACATCTATAAGGCAATGAGTTACATATGTAATCCAATTCTTCGAGCGTCCTTTGTTTAGTCTCTGGTACCCAAAGAAATATCATGATCAGAGCTATCACGTTGAGGCCACTACCACTGATGATTAGCACAACCTTTGGTACAAAGAGGTCGGTTGCTATCTCACGCAAAGAAGCCCACGGCACCGGCTGCGCCAAAAACAGCTATCATACGTGGGAAGACGAGGGTCAAGATTCCAGCGAAAAAAAGATTGACCGCAACAGATAGACTCATTCCGACCTCTAGTTCCAGTTAGTAGGAACATGACTGAAGGGGGAGATGTCTCTCGTACCGCGATGGAACAGAGGAAACGCTTCGGCGGAGTAGGTGAAGGGAACCGGCCCCTCACCAGGCGAATAGAAGGCAGTGAAAAGGTAAATGAAAAGCGCGAGTACAGGTAGATGCGCGGGGCTCTTGTTTGGTATCTTGAAGCAGAATGCGGCGGCCAGCAGAGTCCAGGCCATATTGGGGAAGGTGACGAGTAGCAGAGCACGGCGCCCGAACGTGTCGATTGTCCGGACTGCTGGCCAGGCAAAGCTATGAGATGTCAGCCACTCTGCTGATAAGTGTGCGCGGCCCTAGGGTTTACTTGCACGAAATTTATCAGTCCGAACCCCCAAGAGAATAAAAGGGCAGATCTTTTACTCGCATGTGCGTCTTTGAAGAGGGTGGTTGCGTAGAAAGCCATGATGTTAACTACCGCGATGTTAGTAATTTTCGTAGAGGTATCATGAGAGCTAGTGAGCTCACTTCCACACATTTGCTGCGCGATCATGACTACGAAAGCAGCCAATGTCGCACGCCTTACTCGGGCAATGGTAAACAGTTGTACGAATCGAGCCAGATATCTACCCCTGTTGGTGAAGTGCTCTTTACCATTTTCGAGGTTCATCTTCTGGATGTCTCCATCTCCTAGCATGATCTCCTCGAGTCTCACCTGAGCATGTATGTAGTATAGATCGCGAGCGGCCTGAAGGGGAGTATTTCGGAGGCGTTGGAGGGATCGAAAAGCATCATTGTAGCGATGTTTTTTGATGTACCAACGAGGCGATTCTGTTTAGTGTAAGCCGTTGACTCGGACCTGTACGCAGGCATGTTACCGGGGCATAGATATATTCCAATGAGTAATGGAACCGCCGGAATGAACGCAGACCCGAGCTGTAACCGCCACGCGATCTTTCCAACTTGGTACACTGCCAGATTGGCAGACGAGCCCCTATCGATACCGAGTCAGCGAAAGCGCCGCCCAGGAATTATCTCAAAATCTAACATGAAGATTCCAAAGGAGACCCATAGTTGCCAGCCCATGACTAAGCTCCCTCTAATGGAAGCAGGCGAATTCTCAGCAGCAAACACCGGAATTGTTGATGCCTTGGTCCCAATCCCAATACCGAGTAACAAACGACAGGCAAACAGCTGTTGCCACGTTTGGGTGAATGCAGAGCCTATGACAGACGTCAAGCAGAAGATTGCCGAGACGAATATTGTTCCTCTTCGCCCGATACGATGGTTCAATGGATGAGAAAACCAACAGCCTCTGGCCGCAGATGTGGTTAGTGGTGGGCAGCGAATTTAGAGGCATTTCCCTACATGAATGCAGCCGCAAAGTAGGGAGCCGCATTGACCAGCCCAAATAACCAAGCGCCTCTGCTGCTGCTGCCTGCTGTGGTGTCGAGGCCAAAGACGTTCGGCCAGTCGAGGTTGGCTCCATTCGACCCTGTCTGGTCCCATCCCCTTAAAGATGTTCCTATCAGCAACCCACTATCCCTTGTGCAAAGATATGGCCCAAGCTCACTGTACCGCAGCACCGACAGAGCAAGTGATGATTGTAAGGTATAGTGCTATTGGCTGCTTGAATCGACGATATTCCTCGTCTCGCAGCGCTTGCTTTTCAGTCTCCGTTATCCCTCGTATCGCCTCGTAAAATCTTGGATCCTTGGCAACCTGTGCGCCCTTTTTCAATAGTTCAACATGCTCCTCGAGATGATTCGCGCGGGCGAAGTCACGGACGTCTCGTAGGAGTTGCTCGGGCGTAAGGTGCGCAAGTGGATTTTCGATGCTGCCGTGATGAAGAGCTAGTAAGTAAGGATACACATGTTTGGGATAGTTGCACTTACAGAGCCTCAACATTTCTATTCAAGTCAACATGAGCCAGGCCGTCTTCAGCGGACCGAGTCGCCTGCGCAAAGGATTGTCAGCCTTTACGGAAAGGAAAAACAAGGCGAGGAAAATGAATTCCTGTACGTACGTATATTCTGCTGGTCAAACCTAAAGACTCTTTGTGCTCATCCATCTTGGCGGTGAGTTCCAGGCAAAGGGTGTCGAAGTGTAGCGTTGTCGAGATGAGATGAAAGTCAACGAAATCGTGGGAGCATGTTTCGGTGTGATATTTTAGCCTCGTCAGATCTTTCAGCCTTGTCAACCCCGCTCAGCTGGGAATGTTTCCGACGATGTAGGTGAGATGGTGGATGCAGGGTAGTCATGATTGGGTGCATAGCCGCATCGACCCCCCTCCATCGTCTAAAATTTCGCTTTTCGTTTTCGTTCCTAAGCACGTAATCTTTCCATTGTAACCTCGTCTTTTGTGATTGAGATGCATGTCCTATCGTTTCCGCCACTATCACGGCCAGAATTAAGCAAGCAACTTGTTGGTAGGCTTGCTGCATGAAAAAAGTGGTAGCATATTGACAACAAACGAAAACGAAAATCTACCCAGCTGGGTACTTGCGCTTGGGCCTACCCTATCAACGTGATTTTGGTTATTGGGATGTCCATCTCAGCTGCAGCTTGATGCACAGAACGGCCGAGATTACTGTGAAGGGCTAGATCGTCGCGCCCATCGTCTTGATCACAACGAAAAGGCCACAGGACCAGAAGACATTGCCCCAATCTTCGGTGCTGGCGGACAGATTCTAGATGCAGATCCGTTCTACTATGTTTTCCGTTATTTCCTCGTTTGCAGACAGTAAAGTCCCGCTCAGACTCTCAGTGTTCTAGGCCTCTCAACTCGGTAAAGGTCGGACAGTCTATCCTGCCCATACGCATGTGCTCCTTCTACCGAAAACGGTTTCATGTCTTGTATCAACTCTGATATGCTAAGATCGAATTGATCATTTCACTTAAACCGCCTATTGAAGGGCGTCTCCAGTGTTTTTAATCGAGAATATTTCTCCGAAGTTTTACCGTTCCGTTCCTACTACTCGTATATATTCGAAAGTACTCGATATCTAATAATACTCGATTTAAAATTCGATAAGTTCGACGTAATATTAAAATATAAAATATTATTTTTAATTTTACTATATATCTATTTAAATAAGATATTATACTATCTCGAGACTTTATAATATAGTAAAATATTATAAAGAATAAGTAAAGACTTATAAATTAAATTTATAAAGTTAAATCTAAATTTTTATAAGTTAAATGAAATTTTAGCTTTAGTTCTAATTTAATTAAACTCTAATCGCTTACTATACGTTTTTTAATTTACTTTTATTACTATAGAATTAATAAAGAAGATAAAAGCTTTAATTCTAAGTTAAATTAGATTTTATTTACTTTCTATATAATATTTTATTTACTTTTATTACTATAAATTACTAATTAATTATATTCTTATTTAAAAAAGAAGTATTTACTTAATAATCTTATTCTTAATATATTTTATTAATTAAGTAATTTTTTTTTTAAATTATCTAAAGTTATAATTAATAGATTAATCTTATTAATAATTCGACTTAAAGTTATATATAATTAAATATAAGTAAAGATCTTAAAATATAAATAATAATTAATATATTATAATACTTAGCTTTAAAACTTATTAATTATTATATTAAAGATTAATTAAATTAAGAATTAGATATATTAAAAGAGAGTATATAAATTATTTAAATTAGATGAAGCTAGAGAAATACGTAATATATAATATTATTTACTATTATATTTATCTTTAAAAATATAATAATTAAATATTTTAGATTTAATATATTTAATTTATAGATATATTTTATTATATAAATCTATACGCTATTTTAAATTTCTTAATAATATTATTATAAAATTTTATTTTAACTTTAAATAATAGAATAAAAGCGAGATTAATTTAAAAGTATTTATTATTTTAGTAAATAAAAGAAAGTTATTTTTCTTATTAACGACTTTATTTTTATAATTATAAACGATCTTAACTCTAGAAAACTTATTAAGAATTTAACTATTAAATTAAATAATATTCTTATTAAGAGTATAAAGAATTATTCTAAATATATAGAAATTAATTATTTAATATAAGCTAAGATTATTATAAATAGTATTAATTAATTAGATAATAGAGTTATTTAATAGCTAGTCAGTAGATTAATTAATCGCTTTTTATTTTTTAAAGCTTATTAAGATACTATTATTTATATCTAATAATTTTTAAATAAATTTCTTTATATTAATTTAATCTTAATTAATTAGATTAAAGTTTCGAAATCTTATATTTTCTATAAATTTAAGAATTTAAATATTATTTTAAAGATAGAATATTTTTAATATAATTTAAATAATACGATTTAACTTAGTAATTTTAATAATTAAAAAAATTTAATAGAAATTATTATAGAAATATATAACTATATTATTAAAAGAAGTAAAATTCTTTTAAATATTTTAAAGTATATAATTAACGATCTTAATATTATAGCGATTTTATATAAAGATTCTATTTTAGAAAATAAGATTAATTATCTTTAATAACTAAGCTAAATTAAGTTTTATCGATATATTATAATTAGATTAAGTAATAATATTAAAAGAAGTTTTAAAATAAGAATAAGTAATAATATTATCTTAAAGAAGAATAAAGATAATATTAGATAAAGTTATAATAATAACTATTTTAGAGTTATATCGTACTTTTTATAATATAATATTTTAAAATATAATTTTATTAATATCTTTATAAGTATCGAGAAAGAGAAGTTAATTATTAAAATAAGAAATTAAATTTTAAATAATTATTAAAAAGAAGCTTATAAGTCTTAAATAAGAGGACTTTAAATTACTTAGCTTATATATATTTAATATATATTTAACGAAGTCTTAGCGAATAAGCTTAAGTAAGCGATTCCCTCGAGTTTTTTTTACTTTTTTAAAAATTAGTTTTACTATTAAATTAATATATAAATATATTTATCTTTTTAATTTTATATTATTATATAACTCTAAAACTTTTTAAATCTAATAATTCTAATTCTTTTATTCTTTTTAGAGATAGCGATTTAGAATTAATAGTATAATTAATATTAAAGTATAATCTTAATATTTATAAAACGAGTTATCGTTAATTAATATAATATTAAATTAAAATATTATTATAGTATAATTAGATATATTAAAACGTATTATAGATTCTAATAAAGAGATCTTTTTATTAGCTATAGATAATAATTTAATAAAGAAATAGAGTAATAATAACGATAACGATATTATTATTTATAATTAGAAAAATATTTTTAATAAGAAATAAGATATTAACGAATAGACTAATAAATCTACTCGTATTTTAAACGATAGAATAGAGTATATTACTTATTATTAAGATATACTTATATAAAAATATCGTTTTTAATCTCTAGAAGCGAAGATTAATTCGCTTAAATAAGATAAAATATTTATAAATTATAATTATAATAGTAGCGATAATATATTAAGATTATTAGCGACTTTAGAAATAAAGAGAATTATTAATAATACTAATTTCGAATATAATAATATCATTTAATAATCTCGAAAGATAATTTAATTAGAGAAATTATTAATCTATTATAAAAAGAGTATTTAAAAATATTAAGTCTTAATATAGAAGATAATTAAGATATTTCGCTTAATCTTAAAAAATCTTTTTATTAAAAAAAATAAGATTTTTTAAACTCGCTAATTCTTTAATAATAATTAGAAAGAATTATAAACTAATAAAAAGAATAGATTTTTAAATTATAATTATATATAGTAGAAGTTTATTAACTTTCTATTAAATTAAATCGAAGATTTAATAAATCGCGAGTTTAACGTTATCTAAGCGTATATAAATATTAATTAAAATTAAAATTAAACTATATATTAATTTAATAATTATCTTCGATTATTAAAAGCTTAAATAGATCTTTATATTAAGAATTAATAAGTATATTATTTATTTATAAAGCTTTATATAAATCTTCGTTATTAATTAATTAATATTTAAATTATATTAATTAAGCGAGATAAGCTTCTAATATCTATAATATATTTAGAGAATAATAATAGAAAGTAAGATTTTTTTAGAGAATACGAAGTAGATAGTATTTCTAATTTATAAAAGAATTAATAGCGAGAAAATTAAAATTCTTAATATAAGAGATCGTAGTTATCGCGAAGATAAAACGACTTTAATTTAAGAGATAAATAATTTTAAGATTATAAATCTAAGAATAAATTTAAAAATAATAAATTTAATTTAAATAGTATTATTAGAATCGATATAGATATAATATTAATATAGATATATTAAATAAGATAACTAAGATATCGAATTATATAGATAAAAAGAAGATATAATATAATAGAGAATATCTTCGCTAAGGCTCGCTAGTTATAGAGCTAAGAAGTATATTAAAAATACGCTTATAATACTACCCCTCTCTTTATTAAATTATATCTTATAATTAATAAGTAAAAAGATAGAAAAATAGATATATATATACGCTTAATACTAAAAAATAATAAAAGTAGTATAGAAATAATCGTATCTGAAATCTTCTAATATAATATCTTTCTTTAAAGACGATATTAGTAATAATAATAACTCTTCTTAATCGTATTATAACGACGTTATTAGCCGTAATTTAAATATATATAGAGAGCTTAGCTAGAAGAAAATCGGTATAATATAGCGAAAATAAGATCTATAAACGTAGGGGTAAATAATAGTAATTTTCGAATCTATATTTAAGCGAGTAAAATATTAATAAAATAATACGATATAATTAATTAAGGGCTCTCGAATCGAATCGAGCCGTAGACGCTAAAAACCCTAATCTAATATTAAGTAAGTTTCTTCGTAAAGTATTATATAATCGATATTAATAAGAACTATTAACGACGATAGTAAGATCTATAAATAACGTATTATAGTTTTAAAAGATACTTAAATATTAGTTAATAAGAGGACTCTACGCGAAAGATTATATATAATATAATTTCCGATCGATATAAGCCTAAAGAATCGATTCTCGACTCTAAAAAAATGAGGCTATTACGAAG